AATTATTCACTAATTACCTCTCATAATTGCTTATCTCTATTCTCAATGCGACCTGAAAATGCACGCTGTACTTCCGCCCCATTCAGTACGAACCTTGTTTCTCCGATAAGGTGCTTTGCAGTCATCACCCCAGAGTCTTGAAGCAGATGGTCCGGTATCTGACTACTTAATACCACCAGTCTAGTTATGATATTGTTGCGTCTATCTGATCGTCCATCGTTGAGCCTCGTCGGGCCTCGTTTGACTCACGAGTGATGGAAATATGTCACCAGGCCAACAAGGGCGGATTTCTCGTCAAGCCACTGAATACCACTTGCTCATGTATCATGCCGCGTCTGATGACGAGCAAGGCTTGACGGCGTGGTGTACTGTGTCACTCGCAGCGCGCGGCAGCCCACAATGACAAAGTTCACTGCCGAAGCGTCAGCATACACAATGGCCGAGCAGTTCCCGATAATCCCACAAGAACCCGTGATCTAGTCCGAGAGCGCTTCCCTGTTTAAGAGAAAAGTGGTGGGTGAGAACGGTGAGTTGCGAACTAAAAGGCCACAGAGGTCTAACGTTAGCCCGACAGTGGCTTCACACAAGTCGGTCCGTAAATGCCCCTGGCTCTTTCTGTGTATTGGCAGCAAGACTGACAAGTAGTTGTGCAGGACCTGGACGGGTTTAAGAAAGGACTAGCTAAGCTGCAGAAAATAAACGAGAAGCGATTACGAGTGGCTAGGGTTAGAAATCGGATAGCGTAGGGGTAGATACACAAAACAGGCGTCTCTCAAGCTCCGTGTTAGTGCCATATTGATGGTGTTGTCCAGCAGCTTGCCCTTGATGATGATGATGATGATGATGACGGTTCAAACAGTATCATCGACGCCGGCAACGAGAGCCCGACCGAGATGCATCTGGTGCACGCTTATAATGCTCATGCTGGCTTCCCCAGAGTGCAGCCAATCTCATGGTAGGCACGGCTGATTTGAAGCTATCACCAGACTGCCTGCGGACCCGCCTTACCACATGCGCTCGGGGAGCTTGCTACGAGGCGCTGTAGTTCCAGGGTGCAAGGCGCTGTAGTTCCAGGCTGCGCGGCGCGATTCTTCCAGACTCCTCTCGTTTCCCCACCCAAGGACTCTTGATGATAGTGCCATGTTTGGTGCGCTTCATGATGCCTGTGGCCCCCGCGCCAATGAGTTCCCCCCTCCCACCCAGGAAGTGGCAGATGAAGAAGATTACTAAGCTGGTGGTCAGGACAAGCGACGGGGGAATGAAGTGTGGAGTGCAGCATTCCAGAGGATCACGGTCTGCGGTTGGCGAAGGCGTGGCTGGAAGCTGCGGAGCCACACGAGCCGTGGCGCATTGTGGCAGTGGTCGCATCAGATGCAGCTCTTTACCGCTAAGCTATAAATGGACCTTGTATGCAAGTCGTCGCGGCTGAAAATGGGGATGAATGATGGATTGGAGCCATTTTTAGCTTCGTGGTGCAGGCGACTCCATATGGAATCTGAAGGTGGCACGCACCCCCCCCCTTAGATCGACCTCGACTAACAATTATTACACCTGACCATACAAATTGCATATAAAAGTGGAAATATATTTTCTTCTGTCCAATCAGGTCAATAATGGATGCGTTCTCCACCTGCAAGGAGCACCTGTTCGAGCCTCTCTTTTTGACTCAGAACATCGTCGTTTAGCTTCTTCTGGGCCACTTTGCGCCACCCCTCGTGGATGATCTGCTCTAGGTCGCCTGTAGTCAAATGTGCAGTGTTTTTGACGTGATATTTGACCCTCCTGACGTTCGTCTCGATCCAATTAAGATCAGGAGATAGCCCGGGACTAATGATGAGTTGACGGTCATTGTCTGCGACCCATTTCATAACCTTCTTCGAGTGGTGCGAGGAATCGCTGTCGACTTGAAGGCGGAAATCTTTATGTCCAATATGATTCTCTATTTCGCTGTATAACTGGCGTAGAATTGGAATCAGAACGTCCGCCGTCATTTTCCCATTTTTGTTTGAAGGGATCGTGTACCAGTATAACTTCGACCTGAAGTTCCAGCCGACTGCGCAGACTGCATGCATGAGGGTCTGTTCGTTCTCGTCCTCAAGCTCCTCGGCACCTTGGATGTCGTACTCTTTGTTTTTTATGGTGTTTCTAGCGTTTCTGAGCTTCTTTGACTTCTCGCGAGGGTCCTCTGGCTGTACAACCCAATGTTCATTGCGGTCCTCCGGACGGCGGTGGACCTTGGTGGTGAGTGCCGGCTGGAATCCGAAGTGAACTTCGTCCATTGAGAACCCCGTTTTGAGCCATTCCTTGTCGTCATACTTGCCCTGCTGAAGGCGGCGTTGAACCCATCGAACCCGCGATCGCTTGGCCTTGTCGTGAAGTCCTTCCTTTAGTGTTGACATGCATGTATGGTACCTGAAGCTCCTCCGCATCTGGTTCCTGATTACCCTCTCGCAACAGGTGACCTCGAGGCCCGACTCTGCTGCCGCGACTGGCCACGGTAGGCGGTAGCCCTGCCATTTATCAGCTTCAGGGAGGTCCAGAAGCCAATGATGGATATGTTTACCGTCCTCGACGCTGAATTCAACGCGTCTGCCGCGTCGGTTATCGATGAGGGGGTTATGCGCCGTTCGCCGCATGTAGTGGCTAAGGTCGGAGCACTGCCTTTTTGGTAATGGTGACGGCGATGGCGACCGTGACTCTCTTTGCGAAGTCTCCTCGGACTCGGCTGTTTCTCGAAGAGGTTCAGGAATAGCACGAAGCCACCTGAATCCAGTTCTCTTCGGAATATTGAAGTCCGCAAACACCTCAGCCTTCGAGTACAGCCTGTTGCCGTCCTTATCGTGGGTATGAAAACCGTCGGTTCGGAGAAGGCCGCGCTTCTGAAGCCACCATATGGTGCCTAGGGGCCGTGCCCGCCGTGGCGTAATGTGCTCTTGACCGGGCATGCTGTTTGCTCGGCGAGGCTCGATGATTATGGGGAAAGGAGACGTTCTACGCGTTCAGAATGATTGACTCTACAAATGGTCAAAAAAACAAGTAGTAGGAGCGACGTCAGCGACGGTGACGTCGTCGGGAGTGCCATCGTCGATTTCAGGTGTTGGGGTTGCAGACCCCTGCCACCTTCTGATTAGCGTCTTGGCGACCTCCGTGCCACCTTCAGATTCCAAATGGAGAGGCGACTACGGTGGCCCCGTCAACCACTGAGCATAGGCAGCAGAGTCAATTGACAGGGAGTTGCAGCTTCCTGCCTGCGGAGCCAATCGATTGAGGCCACTTGAGGCACAGGCGACGATCGCCATTGGCGAGATGTTAATGAGGCTCGCCCGAGACTGGCAAACGCGGCAGGATGATAACAATGGACGTCTCAGCTGAAACCGCCAGGGCCACCTCTGCAGCTGCTTCGCCGGGCGCTTCACGTCGCAAGCAGGTAGTCTTAGGCTCTCAGAGCTGCGCTGCATATGTCAAGTGCCCACCCTTGCAATGCCCCCCAGTCTGACCAGGCCTGTAGCAATGTACGAGCTGGATGCTATTGGCAGCAAGCGCCCAGCTCCACAGATCACTGCTGAAGTGGACGTGATGGCACTAGTCATGGTCACAGTTGGAATGCAGCATGCTTGACTGTCTAATGCTCAGAGTATGGAGCGCAATTATCAGCTCGCAAAGGGAGTCCGCGGAGAATGAAGAGTTGAGAAAGTGAAGGGCGACAAAGATCATTCCGCCACCGCTCTGCGAAGTGGCGTTCATGCTCAGAGCCTGTCCACGTCGTGCCTCACAATGCCGTGATGGCCATCGACCCAAAAACGAAGACGGGGGATCCCGGCGCGCCTTCGAACCGGGCCCCAGCCAATGCTGCTAGCCTCGTTGTGGGCTGGCAAGTCACTTGCCGAGGCTGCACCAAAACAGCACGTTGTGGGTCTGCCCAGCCCATGGAGAGCTAGGGTCGGGACATATCCGTCCGGGGCCATGCTGGGATCACAGGTCTCAACGCTACCCGGGCGCTGACAGCACACAAGATGACTCTGCCTCTCGAGCAGTGAACGCCTAGATGCAAGTCCGCCGCCCGCACGTGGGGAGAAGTTGAGTCTGCAAGTTGCGCACAGCTGGTTTCAATTTGGAAGCCTGGTGAGCAGAACATGCCGTGGTCGATATGCACTCACGATGTCTGCTCCTGCGGCCTGGGGACTCCGGCAACGCATTTAGGTGCTTCCTATGGCGAATAAGTGTAATGTCCGCAAGCTGGGAAGAGCCTCGCTGCAGGCGTGGAAGGTCAACCTCGTCGAACAGTCCGATGCGGGTCGCTGGAGCTGCGAAGGCCGAGGAGCGATGCTGGGAGGCAGTGGCAGGGTCGTTGTGACAATCATCAGGTCCTATGCCACGCACTGACTTGCACGGCCTCTCATACCCGTGGAGACCCTGCTACGGACCGTGAAACGGCCTCTCTGATGACAGATGTGTTGCATTTCTATACTGTCTGTTGTGACGTCTTGTTGGGACCCCACCTCGTAGCTCGCCCCATACCATAATGCACAACTGCACAAGAGATTGCCGCTGTTCCCACCAGTGGCTCTAGCCCGCGATACTCGACTGCCAGGTCAAGCGCTAGACTATTCTCATAAGCTCAGCCCATACGAGTAGCATAAAACACCTTGTTCACATGAGCGATCGTTGGGACAGCTACCCGTCACTATGGCACCACGCTAGACGTGTCAGAATAGCTGCTTAAGGCTCTCAAACAGGCTTGCTATGTTGAAGGCCAAGTCCGGCCGACGCTTGCAAGAGTGCTGTTGGGCTTCGGATTTCCTGCCACTTGATACGGCTCGGCTTGCCCGGATGGCGAGGGGCAAGAGTAACAGCCTCGTGGGCCTCGTTGTACTCGTCGGTCTACCAGCCTGCCGTGGAACCGGAGCCCGTACGTCGTCTGCTGACGGCCTCAGGGGCTTGCAGGAGCACGTGGAGGAGTGCCCGGACAGCTCTATCAGGGCTATTCTCGGAGGCTTGTCCTAAGGCGGCTCGAGAAGGTGTGTTTCCCTTGCCGACGAGGCAACGTAGTCTGGGATGGGGAACGAGATCTCCAGCGCTATGCGATCTGTGCCGGGGTTGCGCGCCCCATCAACAATGTCTAAGGTGAAGGGGCAGTTCGAGAAGGTAAGGTCGAGGACGGGGCCAGCACGTCGCGTAAGGATGCTTGCCTCGTTCGTGTAGATAAGGCGGATCGCTTCGGCCCATAGGACGAGCTCGCGGCCACCGTTGTGCCCCGAGGCCCCGGGTTCCCATTGCGCGTATTGTGGGTTACAGTCCCCAGTGGATGTCCAGTTGTCGACAGGGACGTAGTAGTCGAGCCGCATCCATTGAGTGCTCCAGGGAGCTGGCCGAAAGGTTGTCTGTGCCCGTGTTGGAGGGCTCCTCCTCCTCATGAGTAAGTGAGGGGGGTTTCGTGGCGGGCGAGCCCTCGCGCTCGAGTCCCTTGTGGTAGTGCCGTGCGCAGGTGTCCCGGGTAGCGCTGAGCTCCATCCGCGTCTACATCTTGAGCTGCCCGTTCTCGTGATACGGACGAGTAAGCCATTAGTCGTCCGCCACGCGATGTGGCCCATGGCATCTCGCATAGCCCTCGATGCAGGCACACGGGTCATCATGTCCATGCGAAAAGGGGCGTAGCCACACCTATGGCAGATGACCTGCCTCACACGTGGATTACCAGTGACTTGGTTTGACAGTATTCAGAACTAGAGACCTAGGAGTCATCCTCAATTATCGAACTTACTCCTGTCCACGAAACCAATCTCTCCCTTGTCATACTTGTCAATGAGCCGTTTGTCAATCTGGCTCTCGTAGACCAAGGACTTCTCACTCTTTGGGCGCCCCTTCCAATGTACCGAGAATCTTCGTTCTGATTTGACGCTACCCTTTCTTGTCTTCTCAGGACCGGCTTTTGATTGGCGGATCATCTCAATCCCAAAGCGAAAACCCTTGAAGTCCATTCCAAAGCAGTCAGTAGGGAACTCGCTAATATTCTTTCGCGGCTCCCATGTAGTCTTGTTGTCCTGTGACCACTGTATAAGGAATGTGTCCGACCCCATCGTTCGAGGAGACAGTCGACTGGTTAGACTCGATCGCGTTCTAGAAACAGATATAAGACAACACATCTTGACCAGGCCGAGTGCTGTGTGCTTTACTCACGAAAGCCTGCATTACGTTGCTGAACTCTGTTCTTGGCATTCCCAGCAGAGGTTGTAGAGCGCTTCACTCGGGAATTTGTTTCCTGTCGCTTACGAATCTCGGCGAGTGCCAATCGCTGTTCTGCGCCTGGCAGCGTTTTCTAGAGCGCGTCTCCATCATGTGGCTGACGTTCGGCTGTTCGTGAGCCAGCCCGCCAGACGCCAGACTGTGCACAATTAATTTTGACTCCGATTTATGCGCTGGCAGTGTCGATAGGCTTGTCTGTTCAGTATTCTACGCGTTAGCAATTATGGTCAAGTCCTTCTGAGGGGTTGGTAGTCAGAAACCGTTGGGTATGGCCCAGGAGAATCTGGCTGGGCTTTCTTGCCGTTGTTCGAAGCGTTGCTGGAGGTTTCGACTTGTTGTGTATGTGCATCTGGTGGAGGGTCAGTCCAACAATCTGTCTGGGCTCCTAGCCATATAATGTCAATGTCACTGCATGTAACAAAGTATGTTGCTTGTTATTCAACATCCTGGGCTTACTGATAAGGTGGGATTGACCCCCCTCGTGCTCTTGGAACCCTCGTGCTCCCTGCTTAGATGGAGGCCAGACGCTCATCTCGGCGCAGGGAACACGTGGTGTCCCGTGGTTGGGAGGGCTTCTCGAGTCGACACCAGATTGATGTGAGTGCTGGATTGGAGTGGGAGTCGGGAGCTCTAGTCCTCTTAACACCATGTGATCTTCTTTGCTGAGGAGGAAATCCATCTTGTTAGCCGAGGAAATATGGCAATAGCAAGTTTTTCAAGGAGAAGAACTGTCGTTGGGCACCCATTGTATTTATACATCGGAGACTTCCCAAAAATAGATTGCTCCGTACCCCCGGCCACGAGGATTCGACAGTATGACTGGAAGTAATCAAAAATGTCATGAATCTGCATCGTCCTACGTCGTCGCCTGAGACACAGGCCGATAGAAACCCTAGGCTCACGCGCAATGCTAGCGACCCATGGACGCCAGGCGTGTCGCACTCATTACAATGAAGATGATGAGACTCTACACTTTTCGTCTGCTCACCAATATACAACCTTCGGAAACATAAGCTGAAATGAGGCCGGTAAACGACCTCATAGAGTGGGAACTATGCGCTGCGCGGTCTTCAACGCGACTTCGTGCGCTCCATGAACCTCTAGCAGCATGGCAGCGCCTACATCACAGCTAAGCCACGAGTGACCGCGCTTATAGCCCTAACGGTGGCTCAATTCCGCGGAGTAAAGAGGCTTAGGCACAGGAGAAAATCGACAAGGCCCTCTTCTTCATCCGCGTGCCCAATCATCTCGCATCACTCAAGGCACCCGCGCCGACCGCCATTGGTGGACAGTTTGGCTGGGTCAAGACAAGTTAGTACCGCAGCGCAGTGACGATGAGATGCCTTCGGTTGAAGACAGAGCCTCACGTGCGCACCTATTCTAGCCAGAGGCATTGCGATGGGACTAATTTGTGCTTAGTTGCGGTGCACACGTCAGGTGCCCACGCTTGTCAGGCCAGTCAGCTTCATCACGGCTCGTCCTCGATGCTCCCAGCAGCAGGCGCCAGCATCACAGCTTGCTGCCGGAGAGACACCAAGGCACTTGCTACGGTTGCGGTTCGAGTGTAGCATGGTTGTTTGTCTAATGGCCGAGACATAGCTTCCTGCGTAGTACTTGACCGGGGCGAATAAAGAGCTGGAGAAAAGCCGAGGACAAAATCAACATTGCGAGAGCAATCCCTCGGACATCGTTCCGCACCATGCCACGTCATAGAGCAGGATGCACGCGCTGAAACCCAGATGCGTGATTAGGTAAGGTCTCAGCCAAGGCTGGTCGAGACTGTATAAGAATCAGCACGTTACAGGCCTACACATCTCTTGAGGAGGTGAGCAAAAGTCAGAACCCGTCCGCCAGGCGGCTGATGTTCCCATGCGACTGCATGTGAACTCGCTCCGTAGCTGAATGGGATGGGCCACGCTGGGAATAGGAGCCACTGAAGCAACCCACTGAAGCAACCCACTGAAGCAACCACTGAAGCAACCCACTAAAGCAACCCATTAAATCAACCCATCAAAGCCTCCCCCTCACTGAAGAACTCCGACGTGGATCATCCACTAAATACCAAGCCACTCACTAAAGAAACCCACTAAACTACACACGAAAAAATACCTTACAGCGCCTCTACAGGGCAGGCCCGCTCGAGACAGTGACCGCCCAGCCTAGATGCCCTCCGGACTGGAAGAGGCTGAGGTGTCACGCTTCGTAATATAGCACAAGCTGACCAAAGCTGGGACATCTGGTGAGCGGCTGTTACAGTACCAGAGGCGTTGAGCTCGAGAAGGAGCCGCCCAAGCTGCAGGTTGACGGCTGTCTCATGCTCGCCAAGGTGCATTCCCATACGCCGATCCATGATTGAGCAAATTAAAGTCGCTCAACAGCCAACAATACGCTAGCCGCAAAAGAAGCAATCTTGAAGCTGGGCTTGGCTGGGACGGTAAGCTACGTGCGGGGGAAGATGAAGGCTTGTTGATCGTCCCTTGGGTACACGAGGGCATGGATCCACCTGAAGTCGCCGTGCACACGGGCGGAGGACAGCACGAGTTGAAGGTACTGGATTCCCCAATTTCCACAGGCTTACTTTGCCAAGCTTGCGTGGCTGAAAATTGCAAAGCCACACCAGAGCTGTGGCGCGGTGGGGATCGCACTAGCCACAACTAGCTTACTGGATCGGAAGTGTGGCTGCGTTGTTGGATACACTGGACCCGTGAAGCCAGAAGTGGACCTTGCTTGGAGCTCTGCGTCGTGGCTGGGAGTGGTGGCACGAATAATGGATCAGAGCCATTTTTAGCTCAGTCTTCCAGGTGCCTGCAATGACTTTGCACTGGGTGGGAGACAGGCGCATGAGGCTTGGTCTCCAGGGAGTGGCAGCTTCCTGGTTTTGGTATGGCGGAGCCAATCGATAGAAGGGCCCCTCTGAGGCACAGGCGGCGATCGCCATCGGTGAGCTGACATATGGTAAGTCATGAATATTGCGTCTTGGTTGTAAGCGCGTTCGAGAAATCTCAGTGTTTCGGAAGCTCGTGCAGGAGACTATGACGTGGAACCGAAGAGCGCACGTTGCGCAGGCTGCCCAGCTGTTGCACCACCTGAAAGAGGCGGATCCGTGACATGCGAAGAATATAGATTATATCGTGCTCTGCAATTTCACGACACGAGCAGGTGGACTATCTGCGTCAGGAAGCAGGAGATACACGAACAAGATATCATCGGTGTCCAAGTCAAAAATGCGCTGCATCAATCTGCCTGCGAACAAGCGATATATTTGCCATTCCAAATATCAGGTTCTAATCAGACGAGAATATATGACACACTATACACTAGGCGTTTACCTCCCTCCCAGTTCCTTCCAGACCCCACCAGATCCTGTCTCCCACCACTCTGACAGCTTTCGCAAGTTCCGGTATAACCGTTGGGGATTGTAGTACAGGATGTCCTCATGCTTGGTGCTCGGGTCTTGCAAATACAAGACATGTGCTTCCATTAAGTCTCCTATCTCATCAGCCCCTGAGTAAGGCCCGCAGATAGTGACATTCAAATAGCGGGTTTGCTCGCTGTCTCGCTCGATGGTTCCATCATCAGCCAGTTGCTGACTAGTCTCGGCCTCAAGCCCTTCCTCGCGTTCCAGGCGGTGTGGCTCGGACTGCTCGGTCTCGTTGCATAATTTCTTGGGTAGAATATCGATGTATAGCTTGAGGGATTTGGTAGTAAGCAACTCCTCTATCAGATAGCAATGATTTGACTCGAGCTGCAACTGCACGCCGGGTATCTGCTCCCAATGCGATAGGCTAAATGGCTCCTCTGGACGTAGGCATGGCCAGGAACTGTCAGGTCGTATGCCGTTATCAGGGGCTTTTCTGAACTTCAGATCGATAAGCTAGATTAGATGTATCAGCGCTAGCTCCAATGTATGGGTCAGTGGACTTCTCACTTGTCCATAGCAAGCGATAGGATCGCCGTCCAATACTTGTTGTGAACTGGTCGAGGCCTGGTGGACGCCTTGATGACTTGGCAGACCAGGCGTTGGAGGGACTTGTTCCGGCATCCCCGGGTAATAAAAGGAAGACCTGAGTAGAAGTTGAACGATAGAATACTAGATGACAAGAGACTAGGCCAGTGTCGGCGAAAGTATCAACTGAGCTCCGTGAACCATTGAAGAAGGCTGGGAACCAGTGTCAGCGGAACTGGCGGAAGAAACCCTACTTAAGTATGAATTCCTCAGCACTGCCCCGTTCCAACAACGTCAGGGACCCAGACTTTCTCCCTTGTAGCCTGATCTGGTCGCATTCTGCCTTGCTCAGCCGATTGTCAAAGATACAATCAGCGGCCACAGGGGTGTCATTCATGCACCTGAGACACCTTCCACCGTACTTTACTAGACCGCAACCGCATGGTGATCCAATGTCACTCCCGAGTTCTACCGTGCAGTCTAGCACGACAGAGGTTGCACTCCTGTTAAGGTATACGTCGACCTTGCCACTAACCCCGTGCCGCGGCTGAAAATGGTTGTAGGAGCCATTTTTCGCCTGGTTTCGCAGGCGATTGCAGTGACCCTGTCAACCACTCTGCACTCGGCGGGCGCAAGGGCACTACATACACTCAGTGTGCCGGGAGTTGCAGCTTCCTGCTTTCGGCGTGGCGGAGCCAATCAATTGAGAATCCTTCCAGGCACAGGTGACGATCGCTATTGGTGGGTTGACAACGAGGCTCGCCCGAGACTGGCAAACGCAGGCGGGAAAACGACGGGACGTCTCAACCGTAATGGTCACCTTTTACAGCCGAGCGCATCGCGTCAAGGTAGTATCAGGTCCTCATAGCTGCTGCGTCAAGCCCAGCTCCCAAGAGTCCGAACCGTGACACGCTCCAATGATAACGGCACCTTGGAGCTTAGCCCAATCCTAGATTTGGTAGTCTTTAACACTACAACAGCATTCCGGCCAAGACCCCGAGGACCATGTAACCAGCTTTCTCCTAATCTCCATTTTCCACATAATGTACAGAAAGCTCGCCTCTGGGACCCCCGCAGGATACGCACGCAGCTGTGACATGGATCGAGTCAGCCAACCAGATCATCCTTGTCTTAAGCGAGACCGGAAATGTAGCGTTCTCTGTCACTCATGGACTTTGGCACTCAGTTGCTCCTCCTCCTTACTCACTACCTCCTTGGTCTCCTCTGTGGTCTCGTCCTCCTTAATCTCCACCTCGATGGACATGGATTCGGAGACGAAGGGTGGCATCGAGGGCGGGCACGCATTCTCAGAAAACAGCCTGGCGGTGTCTGTGCCTGTGCCCGGCTCGAAGGATATTTCCATGACCTTCTCTAGCCAATGCCCAGTTTTGCAATCTCTCGTATTGAGAATATTCTCGAGGTCGGCTTGGCTTCCAGAGTGTGGTCGTAACACGATAGCGACGCCTGCGACAGTGTGCCACACTTTTTCGGGCATTGGCTCTCGCCGGAACACGGGTATCATTTCGTAACAGCCGTTGGGTCAAGAGTAAAGCAACACACAGGAGCATGCCTCCGTCACGAAGTCTGCTTCTCCACCCGGTTGGAAACAACTCTGCCCTGCTGAGGTGATCGCCATGCTGAACTAGGACTTGTGCGCTTGTATAGAGGAGAAGACCATGAAGTGCTCGGTTGAACGCGCTGGGTGAGAGACCCACAGATGCTGGACAGCACCGGTCACAGTTTGGCGTCGATGATCGATAAGTGCAAGCAGCACAGACTCTGATTGGGTCCTAGAACGACCCGACACCCAATAGGTCGTGACGAGATAGGCCGTCATCCTTAGCTATGCTTCTCCTACATTAGGCTCTGGGTCATGGCCTCGACGGCACGCTGCGTCAACTGAAGGAGGGCATCCACGACTGTGGAGTCCCCTGCAGCGCCAAAAATGGCCACAACATTATTGACGATGACCTCGGCGGTCCGCTCGCCGAGATAGTGGCTCGCCGCTTGTATACTTTGACCGACTGTGCCGAGCATTGTGATCGGTAAAGAGCGTCTATGCGCGAGAGCCAGATAGCAGTGTGTGCAGCTTGGGAACTAGAGCAGTACTAAAACTCGTTATGGCTACCTGAGTACCTAGGTAGGTATCAGAGAGGGCTTCGTTATGGTGGGCATTAAAAAGAATCAGAGAGGGCTTCGTTATGGTGGGCATTAAAAAGAATCAGAGAAGATGAATTGGCCCAAATCGGTCCGTTATGTGTTGTAAGCTGATCGGGATCACGGTCACAAGGATTCTAGCATTGGCTGTCGGTTTTGAGAGTTGACCAAACGAGCGTTCGGACGGGGTTTAACATTTGTAGTTCCATTTTGCATTGGTGCTTTTATACGATGTCGACCACACATTGGGACCAGAGTGTCTGCAGTCGTATATTGAAGCATAACAAATGAAAATTGCGAGGCTGCCATTAGTTGAGACGGATGCTACTTGGAGCGGTACATACTGCATCTCGGCTGCCACGCCAACGTCCGATACGTCGATCCGTAAGTTTGTGGCGTGAGGTCACGCGTGATTCTGAGTCATCAAGGGATAGAAGTGTCCTCTGATAACTTGGAACAAGCTGTGGTGTAACCGTCCCACCAATTATGTTGGCCCAGGAACAAATAAGGTGCGTGTCATGGCTACCACATACGGCGAGTCTCAGCTCAGCTCTGCATTTTATCGGTAACACAAGCTGGAAGGGACACAAATATGGATCAACGAAAGGGGCTCTTGCACCAAATATTTGGGAACAGCGACTTGCGGGCACGCGCTGTCTCAGCTGTCGCACATGTTCTTCAAGCGGTGCCACTCGGCATTGCGTGCATAGGAGGCGCATCTGCCCCTCTCGGGAAATAGGCTCCTAGACTTTGGTGTTATCAGCCCGGAAGTTGGCAATCTTAGCCACCAGGAAGAATAAGCGGTGCACCCAGCCCTCCTCGGTAGTTTCGACGTTGAAATCCATGTCCACCCCCCATTGATCGGGATCCCAAGCTGTCTGCTAGTGGAAGGTGAAAGCTGCGCCCAGCCCGACACTCTTGGCGTTCCAACCACATTCACAGATTAGGGTTCGCGCTCGTGTAAGGTGGAACATCCGTTGGGTTGGCTTCTCAGTCATGATCTCGCACACGCTAAGCACCACGGCCGTCGCCGCGCATGGAGGGTGAAGACCGGGGAAGGCGGACTTTGTCCCCGAGAAGTGCAAGACAAGCCAACTCCGGCTGCTCATCAAAAGATCCCGAGATTGTGACCTTGCATTTCTGGCGACGACGAGCTGTCACCACCTATCGTCTGTGTTGACGTGGTTCCAGAGACGATCTCTGCTACTAAACCCCCCCCCCCCCCCCACTGCAACCAAGGATCCTAGCTCCCAGACGCCAACAGCTGCTAGAAGGCATTACTGTCTAGCAATAATGCATTTATAATGCCGGATCACACCGCCTTGCCCCGCAAAAGTCGGCCACTAAAGCTCCTTGTTCCGCACAGTCGTAGTTATTCTCTCCAATCCCTCATAAATGCATGGCATATCCACCGGTCAGCGACCAGATGCGACGAATTTTGCGGTCAGCCTTCCCCCCCCCCCCCCCCCCCCCCCCCCAAACCTCTGATACCCCAGCCTCAACATCCGCAACTGGAGGCTCCTGACGGCGACCCTCGAGCCCATGGCGGGCGAGACGGGGCCCCCACCGCTCTCGATGCCGAAGGCTCTATTGATGGCAGGATTCTTTGCAATTGCCTTTTACAACACCATCGAGATTTTCGTCTTAATCTTTTCCATATTTAAGAAATGGAGGGGATGTTACTTCTGGAGCATGGTAGTCACTGCCATTGGGATTCCGACTCACGCCATGGCTTTCCTGTTGCGCTACTACGAACTCGCGCCAAATCTTCCCATGAGTGCTTTCACAATCGCTGGCTGGTGTTTTATGGTGACCGGACAGTCCGTCGTCCTATGGTCGCGCCTACATCTCGTGGTTTATGACCCGACGAGGATCCGTTTGGTACTCATCATGATCATTTTCAACGCTTGCGTCCTGCATATCCCGGAATCAGTTATTTTCGTCCTTTGTAACTCGAGCAACCCGGCACCTTATCTTCTCGCCTTCCACATCTACGAAAGGATCGAGATCGTGGTCTTTTCTCTTCAGGAATCTATCATCTCCGGTCTCTTTCTATGGGAGGGCTTCCACAGTTTCAAGCCCACATTAACTCGTATGGGCTCGGAGGGTCCAAGCTTGCTCCGAGAACTCGTCGTCCTATTCCTCATTAATGTACTCCTAGATAGCAGCCTGATAGCGCTCGAGTACACCAACAACTTCGAGATCGAGACGACATGCAAGCCCTTCGTATATAGCGTCAAGTTAAAGGTGGAATTCATCATCCTCAACAGGTTGCTCGCCTTTACCCAAAGGTTCGCCTGTGGGAACCGTTTCCTGGACAGTTCTCCCATACACGACGTCACGAACTCTTAACTCGAACTCGAGCGCAATACCAACAGATAGTATCGCGATGGTTTCCCTCCGCAGGGGCCAGACAGACGTAAGCAGAGAGGGAATCCATACCTGGGCATTTGAGTTCACTCAAGAGTTTCGGCCCTCTAAACTCACTCATGTGAGTTACGGCCAAGTCGTGAGTTTAAATAAGAAAAGGTCATTACTCGCTTTCTTCCCATTTAGGTAGTCGGCGATAATACCCTCGGTATTTCAGTGAATGACCACCTCACTACTCAATATCACTAGTTCCTATGCTAAGTCCGCTCACGGGAACTACTAGGCAGGCCAATACTCGGTTGGCCAATGAGCCAGCCTATCTCCTCGACCCGCCTGACTGATGAACAAAGTGGATATAGTCACCCCTTACTACTGGGAATGATTGGCAATGTCTTATCAGGGCTAGTACAGCTTCTCTTTTTTGGAAATACCGGAGGGGGAGCCCAGAAATATTGGGAAGCTCCTCGAGGTGCAGAGGACGATAAGCTATGGTCATAGAGGACAGGACTTTCAGACAGTAATCTTGAGTACTTGTCTTGTGTCTCAGGATGTCCTCAACCATCCGTGTATAGTTCATTTAGACCCGGAAGCATGTCGGCGAGGATTTGTTCGAGTTCCCACTGAGGAGCTCGCTCGAGCTCCTGCGCAACCAACGACACCAAAAAAAATGTGCCATTAGCCTTCTCTCTCAGTTGCTTGCCTATACGTTTTTGTAGCTCTGGGTCGTCTTCGGAAATTTTGGAAATGCGACGTTGAATATATTCGTCAACGCCCAAACGGACATGAGCAGCATTATCTTTCGATTCGAGGCTCAGGATTGCACTTGATTGTTCAGGAGGTATATTTCCCTCCAAGATAACTTCGTTTCGACATGAAAGGAGCCACTTAGCACGAGACTCGGCTGCAAGATGTAGAATAAGCTTGAGAAGACGTGTTCGATACTTCTCTGCCTTGTCGCATTCGTCTAGTGCGTCAACAACCAACGTTGTATTCGAAAGCTTAGGAATTACTTGGCATTATGTGATAAATTCCACCAGCCAAAACTACTACAACAAAAGAACGTGAACCGCTCAATGAGATGCTCATACATCCATTGTATCAGATATGGAGCGCCTGAAGTGAAAGAAGTAGCATAAAGCCTAGATATGTATCCAGGAATCCAGGTGCTGCTCGGTTCACCGAGGAGTTCGTCGTCACTTTAGTTAGTGGCTCGAGTGATAATCCTAGGAGCTCATTGTCCCAAAGTTTTCTGGGGCATTCCCAAAGCACGGAAGGCAAATCCTGTACCTGGCCAGGGTTCCATTGAGCCGTATCCGCTCGTTGCAACCTTCACCCTGTCCAGAAACTAATACAACAACACCAACAACAGAAAAGGAAATGGCAGCGCAAAGGGGAATTGGACGGCACTAAAAGGGACCAAAACCAGCCAACCGAGGCGATTAGGCTGGCGCGTTGTGCACCCAAGAGTACTTCGCTTTCTGTTTGTCCTCCCGGATCCTAGCTATCCATGCCTCCACATTGGTTACAGCATTCTCTGGAAACAGCCTGTGTTCGATCAGATGCGAGAGAACCTCAGCGGGGCTGAAGCCCTGTGTGAAAATAAACATGACATTTCACTTGACCCGGGCAACCATCACCATAATGCTCCTCTGAAGAGAGTTTCGTACATCTTCTGTTCAGGGGTCAGTCTCGCGGCGTTAAAATCAGTAGTATGAGTAATAGACTAATGTGACGACCAGAACCAACAGGGGATTGTTTGGGCGCAGGGACAGCACAAACAAGGCCGCATGACCGGGCCACGTCTAGGGCAGGCTGCGAAGGCTGGTGCGGGACGAGCCCATTAGGTAATCAAGAGGATTAGGTAATCAGCCGACGCTTGGCAGTCGGCACTGCGACGAACAGTTGTCGCATCTGCGACAACTCCCGATCGGCACCGCGACACCAGTGTGTCGCAGGACAAGCCACACGATGAAGGGCAAAGGATATATAGATGCGATGGATCTCCTAGACAGACAGTCCTTACCTTTGTGCTTCAGCGATCAATCTAAGTATCAGTTTCACCACACACTTGAACTAGTCACTCAATTGCCGAGACTGGTATCTCTTCCAAGAGACACGACAACCCCAAAGAGAGAACGACAGCAGAGTGTTAGTTGTTATCGCACAGGCTTTACCTATCTTGCAGAACAGCAACCCCAGCGCCCTGCCAGACGGTTGACCCCGGAGGCAGGATCGTGACACAGGCCTTCCTTAAGGACCTTAATGTGACAACCCGACCAACAGGTCGCAAGATCGGGCCAGGGACAAGGGCAGGTCATGCACGCGGGACGACACACCCCAGGTTACGTAAGCATTTCATTATGTCAGCAGGATATGTGGATCGGAACATATCCAGCGATCCAGGATATGTGGATCGGAACATATCCAGCGATCCAAGGATATGTGGATCGGAACATATCCAGCGATCCAAGGGCACACCCCCTTGGAACCACGATGAAGGACAAAGGATATAATGCGAAGGATTTCCTAGATAGACAGTCATTACCTTTGTACTTCAGCGATCAATCTAAGTATCACCCTCACCCTTCACTTGACCTAGTCACTCAATTGATCCGAGTGTGATATCTCGCAAGAGACACGAACGACAACCCCACGAGACACGACAGCACGGAGTCAGTATTGCATAAGGTGCCACCTACCTTAGTCAGGACATAAACCCCCCAGCGCCCGGCCAGACGGTTGACCCCGGAGACCGGATCGTGACACTTAATATAGCTTCGTAAGGAGACGCCTCTGTATGGCATATCTGGATCTGGCTTATAGACTAGTATAGGAGACATTCCAGCCTCGTTGCCACATATTGTAACGGACTGGCACCTATAACGGTACGTTTAACCCCTAGGGCAAAAGATTAGGCAATAATCGCAGTGGTGGCGATCATCTAGGTGCTCCAACTGTCTTAAGTAGCTTACGCCCACCCAGGGTCGTAACACATATCTAGACCATTACCCAGACTATAACCTAGATATTTAACTTTATGTAATCCTCTAGATTCACTAGGTTAGGTCTATACCTTTCTGACGATAATCGAAGTACCTATTCGCTAGGTTTATCTAGTTGATTCTGTGTAGTACATTTATCGCTAAAGAGGGTTCTTATAATAGCTTATGTACTACATAAACGACTATAGTCAAGACAAAATTAGTACCGGATAACTTACGTCTTTATCTCTTCCAATCTGCTCCATAACGCTTATTCCCTCAAAGTCACCAAAGACGTATTACAAACCATAACCTTAAAGCTCTCGGCGAAGAGATCCATCGGGTCTGTCCAACTGCGTTGATTGTAGCCTCGGATTATGTGGCGAAGGATGCGGAGTTAGCTGTCAGATCGGGCCCAGCATATGACCCAGGACGAGCACAAGAGGTGTTAGGGCAAGTGAAAAAGATGTTGACTTGACTAGAATGCGGAACAGCGTCTTGTGTAGTTGTAGAGATGGCAGACGTGACAATCACACTTAATGGCCAGGACTTGGCGGTATGGGAGTAGTGACTTGCCAGTGATGTCATAGCAAGTGTAGCACTTAGGTACTGTGCGCTTTGTACTTATTTTGCTGCTCTTTGCCGCTACTCTCGTCGCTGTTTGCCGCTGTTTATCGCGTTTTGTCTTTATTGTTTGTCGCGTTTCGTCACGACCCACTCTACGGTGTACGGTAAGGTCGAGTGAGATGCAGTCCACAGAGACTTCCAAGTCTAGCTATTCGCAGTTACTTCTACCAACCAGGTAGGCGGCGCCTTGGTCTCTCTTCGAATTCCTGAGCCGATTAGCCTTTATCTCCGGATGTCCGCGGGAGCCCTACCTTCACGGATGCGAAGAACTGCGTGACCGCAGCTCCGCCCCCGAGCTGTTCCGCCTCACCTTCCTCTGCCCTAGCTTTGACGAGCTTCGCCACAGCGAGGACGTATTTCGGCGCGCTCCGCCTCATGTCTTCGTTGGTAATGGCCGAGTTCGTTATCTGAGCAAGCATGACTTGCATCCAGCGCCTGATGTCTGTCCACTGAAGGACGTGGCCACCAAGCGCCAACGTCTGATGCTGGCGCACCCGGAACACAAAATGAATCGTCCCCGGCATGAAGAAAACAGACTGGCCAGGCTTCAGGATAATATATCTCCAGCGGCCACCTGTATGTTGGTGGGGATCGGCCGTCCACGAATTTCGCTCCTCCTCCGTCGGACAAGACATCCAGCCGAACCCGATCGACCCTTCCTGGGCAGTGATCCACGTAGCAAAGCCGTGACTGTCCATATGCGGCGCCGTGTTGTGGCCCCCTTCCGACAATAGGACCCAGTCGAGAACGTTCTTCCACTCGTTCCACTCCTGCGTTGATGCTACTACCCTTTCAGCGCTATCCTCCATCAGCACCGCATTGCGGACTTGAAGGAGAAGCTGACAGTTCTCGCCCGTCAAGAAGTTTGGCATGGAATGAGGCAGGGGGCTCTGCAAATCGAGAATGTTCCACGGGTCGTCGGTGCTGTCCTGGGTAAGGAACCGTTTCCGGACTTCACCGAGTTTCCGGACTTCATATGACCGCTTAGTAGAACCGCGAGATGGTATTTGCACGGAGACCGACTTGTCCAGGAAGCCCATTCGCCGGAAAAGCTGAGCAATGGGTCTGTCGCCCATGCTCCATCGGAATTGCTGTTGGCCTTCCGTGATTATCGGAGCGTCGTGAGGAGATCCGGACTCAGCCAGGCTTGCCGCTTCATCGCCGGTGCAAAACAGCGCCTCAACTACGCCCTTGCTACTGTCTGTGTTCGGCTGCTCGGCCTTCTCTAGCAACTTGTAGATAAGGTCGTCGGTTCCCTTGCCGTGGGAGTCTTGCGATGACATATGCTGGCTAGATTTCTCCTGCAGCTCAGCAACGACTCGTCTCCGGTAGGTATCATCTGCCATCCGATCGTGCATCGGTCGGTCTCGGGCAACATCTGGTCTCGCCATAGGTGTAGGAAGGAACGGTGGAGCCGCGTCAACCCGGGCCCGTTTTGATACAGGCTGAGTGATGTCTGGCACTGAAGCGGCACGTCGACGGACCGGGCGATCGGCACCAAAGGATGTTACCGCGCTCGAGACATATTGGGTCCCCGGCAGGGTCGCTTTTTGGGCGAATGCAATGGCCGACGTCCGCGTCGCGAGAAGCTGGAGATGTGAGCGGCAGAGTTGCGAGAGAAAAGGGGAGAGTTGCTCTGCTGCCTCTGGCCCGAACATAGACGGGTTGTCCAGGGCCAACAGGAGTGTTGATGGAACCTCGGCCGGACAGCATCGTGGAGGGATCTTTGGGGCCTTGACTGAGGCAGTAAGTCGAGCTTGTTTCGGTTTAGAGGCTCCCCCGCTCTTGGTGGGCTCGTGGTAGGACAACTCCTTGCGTGCACGGAGTGACATTCCAGAAGGCTTGTTAGGAGTGGTATTTGTATCGTTAGAGCTATCCAGGAAGTGAGGAGCCTCTGGAGTCGTTGCGGCCGTGTCCTCTGCTGAAGTAGTACTGGATTGGTCATGGCTGGTGGGTGTTGTGGCATCAGCAGCCCCAGCAAGGAAGGCATCAATGGCTTCAGAGGCAATGTCGTTCCTATTTGAATCCGTATCACCGGGTTGCGATGCCGCGAATGCCAGCATGTCTAGGCCCGCAGTACCGTTCTTCCCTGACGGCTCTGCGATGTCGGCGCTGTTGGCTTCCGGTACCGCCGCCGCCTCCGTAGTACCGCCGCCGTTGGTCTCAGGTAAGTCGACAGCAAACTGCTTATGGACCATGAGACCATACTTGTCGAACCCGAAGGCATCTGGTAAGTCTTTCGCAGCCGATTTTTGACAGGGAAACGGATGTTCGCGCGACCAAATCCTGACGTTCTCTAGATCGGCCTGCTCAATTGGGTTGACTAAAGCCTGGACCGGGCGTCGCCCTACAGTCTTAGACCGTTGGAGCATTGACCGGTTCAGACCGATCACGGCTTCCTCCCACGCAGGGACTCTCCGTGCCGTGGTGCGAAGCTGGTTCCAGTATTTCTCTGTCCTGGAGGACCACTGGTAGTGCTGGACAACATCTCGACCCCAGCAGCGCACCACCTCTTTCAGGGGAGTGAGGCGTTTGGATCCGTCTGTGGCTACCCCAAAAAACGATCCCACTGCGCTGCATCGTCCTCCTGATTTACCGGCGATGGCTGGGTCGAGTCTCGGTTCTTGGTCTGCTTCCGCCGTCTGTACTCGGGGCACTCGGCCGACATGACATGCTCGCAGGCGGCGACCAAGATCTGCACTCCGGCATGCCGATCGAGCAGCTCGTCTCGTTTCTGCACGCACAGTTCGTATCGCTGCGCATCGGTCTCGCAGATGCGGAGTTCTTCGCGGAAGCGGTCGACTTGCGTCGCTTGCTCGGGCGCTAAAATAATCGCGTCATCGTCGGGTTCGTTGTTCGGGCGCATTTCGGCGGGCCGGGACGGTTCGGCATCGTCCAGACGCGGAACAGATGAGTGCGCCATATCGGACCCCGTCATGGTCTGTAGAGTGCGCGGCGGTGGTTTGTTGTTGTGGACACGTAAGGTTCGCAAATGGCGGTGGCGACCAGAATTGCCGGTCAGTTTCGGACCAGGCAGTGTGGGCCGTCGACGGGCGTTGTCATTGGCTCTTTCGCGGACGAAACCAGCCATCACGTTCACGTGGCTACACACGGCGCGCCGCGAATTCCCCGCCAATCTCACGCGACGTCTTCAGCCTCGCGATTGCGTGTCGCTCTAGCACAGTGCGCCTCGGTATCATCTGTGCGAGCACTAACTGCTATTCGCAATCAACCCGTAAGTGACTCACGGGACTCCTTCGAAACGCACCGATAGCCTTCACGGCCTCTTCCCGTCCACTCCGTGGTACGTTGTGAAGAAGTGGATGCTGTTGAATGGACCGTTCCCATGACGTCTGGTACCTAATGGGATACCTATACATTCAGTCATCAGACCCCAGGGTTTTTCGTCTTTCCTTCTTTTTGATCCAATGTCCGAACTTATTGCGTGTCCGCACAGAAGAAAATGGCAATCTGCTTTGAACCCTTTTAGAGGACCAGAAAAGAGAGAGCCTAATAAACCCCCAAGATGTGCTCCGCCCAAACCCACCGCCCGAGAAAACTAACGCCTGCCACTGTCCGGTTACATGTAAGAATTCCGATTCTCCACCGCACCAGCCCCATTATAGTCCAAGTGGACATCTTGCTTCGTCGTAATGGAAGCCTTCAGGTGTTTTTCGCTCATCACTTCCCCCTTATACTCGGCCATGGACTGAGCGAGGAATACAATATTTCTTATCTATGCGGACAGTTAGCGCGGCTCAATCACCAAAAGCGGGCCTCTTACCTCTCGGCCATTGATCTCCTGTTTCGCCAAAGGCTGGCCATCACATCGCTCCTGAAAGCTGGATGTCCGTCTTTGACCCGGGCTTGGTCGAGAAAGTACTTCCAAACAGCCATACGCGCCTCTTGCTTCAGCGGTTCGTACCTCAGGGCCAGATGCACCCGGCTGAGCACCGCCTCGTCAAACCCCTGCAGTCGGTTGGTGGTGAGAAACAGGATGCCATCGTATTGTCCCAGCTCCCGCAAGAACACCGAGACCAGGGTATTGAGTTGCACGTTCTCTGAGCGCTGAGCCAGGAACACATCCGCTTCGTCGAGGAGCAAGAGGGCTTTCCAGCGGCTGGCGATCTTGAAGATGGTTTTCAAGATCGGTTCCACCTTCACTGGATCCACTCCAATCTGGCCAGCAGGGACCTATTTGGTCAGCAAGAAACAGAAGCACGGCCGGGGAATACATCCTGTGCATAGCGGAATTCGAGAGCTCTCTGCCAGCGTCTCTGCCGTCAGGGTCTTGCCCACTCCCGGCGGCCCACTATCACATGTCAGCAGTGGCCTCGTTGGCTGGGGCGAGACAACGCACTGGAGCAGGAAGTTGATCCCGCGTCCTTTCCCTTGGACGAGGTCCTTAAAGCCATCTTCCGGAGTGCACTGCAGATACGTCTTGGTGAGGGCTAGAATGGGCATCTTCTGGCTCTCCGGAATTCTCACGTCGTCAATCGAAGACGGGTTCCATTCGACGTCGCAGATGTTCGTAACGGCAAACTCAACTACGCCCAGTAAGCCCTTCTCAGCGGGCCAGTATTGGATCTGTTTTGAGATGATTGCTGAAGACGGCAGTCTAGTTATCGCTAGAGTTCGCTTGCCGCGACACCCCGATGCCCCGCCTACGATTAGTGAGGAAGACGAACAGTACTCCATCGCATGCGAGGTCGCTACTATGGCCTTTGTGAGGCAGAACGTACCCACCATTACTCTCCCCCAGATATACGCCTATGAAGGCCCCGGGTCCCAGCTTGCTGCCGATGCCGGTGCCATTTACATGCTTTTGGAAGGCTTCTATGGAAATACCCTACAGGATGTCGAACCTGACCTGTGCAATCTATCGTAGGGTTTCTTTCATTGCTTCGATTCCGCCCTACTAACCGGATCTAGATTGCAATCCAGGAGCACATCATATCCCAATGGACGCGGGTACAGGTAGAACTAGCAACTCTAGCATATCCGCGGATTGGTTCCATCTCTTCCGTATCGACAACAGGAGAGCCTGTTATTGGCAGGTTGGCCAGCGCCTCAGCAGAAGGGTTGAGGTGCCACGGCCCTTTCTCTCGTACGGCTGAGTACTTCACTACCGTTGCAGATGCTCCAATTAGCAAACTGGATCTGACGGATACGGATTCGAATGGTGTTTTGTCCTTCACCGTACTTGGCGCCTTTGTCTTTCGCGACATCGTGCAAAACACTACCCTATTCGAGGACAGTGACGCTGAGGGGCGGTTCCCTCTGAACCACATGGACCTTGGTACGCAGAACATCCTTGTTGACGACAGATTCAACTTCCGGGCAATCATCGACTGGGAGTTTGCCCAAACTGCGCCCTGGCAGGTCAATCACTACCCAATGCCATTTCTGCTACTGGAGTCGGACACGGAGATCCAAGGCATCCTTCAGAATCCCAATCACCCTGCGCATGGGAACGTGTCGCGGCAAGAGTTTGCTCGAAGGTTATACACCAAGAAGTTTCGAGACGCCGAGGTAGAACAGGGGAAGACAGGGCGATCCCTCGGAAGCTCATTCGCCGAGGTGTTAAACAGCCCTGCATCGAGGATATATGCTTGCTTCACAAAACTTGGCCGCTTGCCAATGGCAGATGCAGGCCTCGTCCACGAGATGGTGCGGCTCGCCTTTGATTTGGATGCTGAAGGGACAGAATGGTATCTCTATGTTATAGGGGATCGGCTGAAACGAGCAGACAATAAAGCAAGGTAGTTACACAAATACTAGGTTGCCTGGCTCTTGCTTAGGTAGTCGGATCCTTTTGGGCTTCCTGAAGGATCTGCCGCATCCGAATATATAGCCCTCCGTCCTCTCTCTCCCACCACCCACCATTTGGAAATACAGCTTTCCGTAACCGGTTGACCCAAGGTATCAATGGTTGATAATAAGGAGTAAAATTCTCCTTAGCGGTCCTGATGAAGTCCCCCTCATGAGATACTTGCCCTTTCTTCTGCTCCGCCAACTCCTCTGTGTCGATGTAATTCCACTTGTCGAACCGTGCGACGACCCTGTGCTCGTCCGGCCCTTTACAATGGATGCATATCCAGAACAACACCCAAAAGAATGACTCGAGATCGTGCATGAAGGAATGCTGCTCGCCTAGAAGCGCCCCGATTGCCATGAATGCCCTCGTGCCAGTCTTCCCCTTGGCTCCCGAAGCGCCCTCTCGTGGCTCTTTGATGGCGAGATCCAGGTCAATCAAAAGGGAAGGCCAGGAGGGATTATTGACGTCCTCGTTGATCAAGAGGTTATTGATAGAGATGTCTCTGTGCAGGATGCCGGCCTTGCGTAGGGATTCATGCCCTTCAATGCAGCCGTCAAGCGCGGCAAGCAGAGACGTTCGGGAGCTGGCCTTGTAGATAGGAGTTCCATAGTCGCGAAGAATGACACGACGATGCACCCGATTTGACAGATTGCCGCTGGCTTGAGATGTCGAGCAAGACCGCTTGCTGTGTGGCAGAGAGGCGCCGGCTTGACTGGACGATCGTTTCTTGCCAGCAGCTACACTGCTGCTGCGGCCTTTTCGCGAAACTGAGGCCATCGTACTCGACGGGGGGGCTGATCGTTCCGGCCGGTAGTTCGTGGCACTGGTGACGTCTAGTCCTCCTCGGACGTTGTTTCGGACGTCGTCATCCGTTCCATATATCTGAACCGTTTCGTGGTAATAGTGTCTGGCGATGTTGATGACGCCTTTGCTGGTCACCTCGCGCAATAATGCGCCTTCCTCACCGCGTTCCGGATACTGCCATGAATCTTTGATGACGAGCGGTATCTGTGGCTGCCCTTCGCGATGAGCTTTCCAGCATGTCGTAGCCCGACCGGCAACGCAACGTGCACGTTGCATCACCTCGTCAATGATGAGGCGTTCCTTCGAGCCGTTCCGCTCGATCTCGATGAACCGCTGGCCGTTGGCCGCTGTAAATGTTGGATCGAAGCCGAGCTCCTCTTCATTCATCCAGAGAAACCCGAGGACCGTAGACACAAACCGCAGCCCATCTTCGTTGATGTCGAACCGCTCGGATGCGAGGCCCCCAAGCCGATCAAACTCCCATATCCTCATGAAAGATCCGCAGATGGTGAAGCCCAAAACAAAGCGACGAATGTCTTGAGCGGCGAGGACTTCCCTCGCGTACGTGCCAAGGTCTAGCCACGCCTTCGCCGCCGTGTCGGCGGCTGGGTTGCTTTTTAGCTCGCCTGGTACCAGGATTTGTGACCAGTGGCATCGTGAGTCCTTCCCGGCCTTTGGGTTGTCCACGAAGCCGACGTCCAACTTGCGTTCCGCGGTGGAGCCCTGGATTGGCTTGTTGGGCTGTGCTAGTGGCCTTCGTCGATGTGTCGGGATAGACTTGTAATCTTCTGCAAGCGTCGCCAGCTTCTCGCTCAGCTCTGCAAACCAGCTCAATACATCGTCCTGGTTTGCATCTTTTGGCCATCCGCTCCACCCATTACTGAAGAGTGGTTCGCCGCCCTCCATGCACTTCTTGAAGACAGCCTCGGATGCTGTCGTGAGATCTGCCACCCGCCCGAAAAATGTCTCGTGGAATCGAGGGAGCCCGACGTACATAACGCCCAATTCATCCCTGAGGACTCTGTCCACATCCTTACGGTATTCGGAGGAGTTCGCGAAGCTGCTCGTATTGTGAAGCCTGGTAGTCTGTGCCAAACATACAGACAAATTTAACTGCCCGAAGATACAAAACACCCCATCTATTAGGACGGGCTGGTACACACTAGTGCCACGAAAGGCAACAGTATAACGTTAGCAGAAATCTGATAACTATCATGATAATTTCGACGACTAGGCAGAGACCCCCCATTCCCCTGCTAGGTATTTCATACTAGCCTTAAGGAATAGTAGACCAGAGACAAGTCAGTTATTTAGCTATTCTTTCCCACCGGACACAACTGTGACGAATGCTCCCAAGCAGGTTTTGCTAGACAAGCCTTCAGTGCGGTTTGTGCTAACAGGGTCAGTGACGCTTGCGGACTAACGTTCTGTCTTGTCGATGGGTCGGCGGGTGTGCTGTGCGTTGAGCTGCTGGCGTGGCGGTTCAACTGATATTCATAAGAGTCGTTAAAGCGTAGTGCTTCACCTATGGGTAAGATAGATGGTTAGATTGATCACTGAGGTAAGGTACGACTATGACGAGGAAACTATCGAGGTTTATATAACGAATGTCCTTCCCTCATTGATGCCCTGATCGTCTGGTGCTCGCGGTCTGATCGTGTTTGTATCATGGTCGTGTCATGACGCGATCCCGGACTGATCACTCCACGGGGGTGATCGCCCAGTGATCGTGTGGTTGGTGTTGTAGCTGGTGGTTGTTGCTGGTGGTTGTTGCCTCAGGCCGTCATGCATGTGTCCGGGCTGCCTGACCCAACAGTTTGTCCTGCGCTTGGCCGCCTGCTGGCCATGTTCGTAACAACGACACTGCGCTCGACGTGCGGTGTAGCAAAACCGTCGATGTCGTCGTAGCGCTTGCCTGCTGAATGTTGCAGCCTACTGGCGGTATAGTCTTCTGACGGGACGCTGTCGATATTGTTGCTTCTCTTGCTATTCTCGTCGGCGAAGATCAGGCGCGAGGCGAGGATGTCGATGCTATTGGGATGATGTCAGCTGTTAGCAGGTTTGGGCCATTTATAAAACGTTAGAGTGTCGAAATTAGAGGGGCAGACGTACAACATGATGAATGGGAACAGACAGCCCAGAATGTACATAAAACGGTCAACCTGGTCGGCTAGCAGATACGGGTCCTCCACGCGGAAAGAGCCCTCCACGCGGAAAGAGAAGGTTATGGCACGTCCGATGCCGATGAACGCTAGCGAGGCGAGGCGTATCTCGGTGCTGCACATGAGGTAGCGGTACAGCCTGCCGCCGCCTCCTAGCCCGCCCAACTTCGACGCCCGGAGCGTCCTGCTGAACTTCATCAGCAAGAACACGGCGCTCACGGTTTCGGCCATCGCGATGGGCAGGAAGTAGGCCAAGTGCAGGCGGTCAACGAGGGCTGTATGCAGGGCCAGGTGGTCTGGTGAGGGGTCGTTGATAACGACGTAGCGCGTGTCGAGCACGAGTACTGCAATGCGGAAGAAGAAGATAACGACCATAAGCCCCCAGAAGATCGTTAAGAAGATTACACGCTCGATGCCGCAGAGGACAGGGGCCAAGATCGCATAGCCGTAGAAGGGAAGTCCAGCTTCTTGAATCTGTTAGAGCAGGACGAGGAGACCACCGCATTAGTCGAATGTAGTATAGCCAGCTTGAGACAAAGACAGGGACGTCTATGCGCCTCTGAAGAGGGGCATTCAACGGTACATCGTACTCACCATCCACGTGAAGTTCGAGAACGCAGCAGCGACCGCCCTGTTTACCACCGGGTAGTCGGAACCCCAGGCGTAGTAACCTAAACCATTGCCCAGAGCACACGCAGCGGAGGTGATAATCGGCACTAGGAGGACGACCGAGAACTCGCCCACAATGCCAGCGATTATAAGGCCTACAAAAACATTGTTGAGCCCGATAACACTGACAGTGGCGTAGGTCGTTTCGAAGAAAGGTGCTTGTACTTGAGTAGCCATACTTGAAGCCTAGCTTTGAACTGAAGAGTTCCGAATAATGATCGGTTTCGAAGGGAGGAATGTAGGCTTCTATCAGACCGGATTCCTTTTAGGCTTTGCACTGTCGCCGCTGTCGAAATATCAGACATAATGTTGCTGTTAGCATAAGGAGGAAGTATGTAGCGTTGCATAGGGCCTTTTAATAATATCTGGGGTTCGTGGAGAGCCACAGTTCAGTCACAATTCTGTCACGCAGCTTTACCTCTCAGAGTTCCTCTTGATGGGACGTGGCGCCCACAGAAGGGCTTAAGGTGGCTGCGCTAGCCAGGATGGCTCCCCCTGGAAGTGTCTGGACCGACCTACATTTAGACACGGGGAGAGCCATGTCGAGATCAGCAGCACAATCCATGTTAGAAACCCTACACCCCAACTACAAGCATGCAAAATATCAATCTGTCGGAACTGCTGTGAAGGAGACAAGACAAAATACACTGCGCGCGAGAGGTATCGCGAGCGCAATATCAATAGCTTCGACTGCGTAATTGATAGCGTTGTGGAAAAGGTTTGATTGTGGTTCTGTGGAACATTGTGGTGTGCTCTTAGAAGTCCAACAGCCACTATTTCCACAATTGTACTAGGCAATTGGCAGGCACGCAGAGCAGGAAAAAGGTGCGAGCAAGCCGCCCCGAACAGTTAAATTAAAGGCAGTTGAAGGCCGCCACAATAGCCAGACTGGTGATGGTTCCAGAGTTCTGTATGGTTTTAACTGGGTGGGAGCGCTTTGGACCTGGTAAAATCCGCGCATGCCATGGACCCTGTGGTGTGGTAATTAACACTTCCATTAGGGTGTCATACTTGCGCGCATGAGAGGGTGAAGAACGCATAACCTCCAGTGCGGCTTGCCACCACCAAATTGACAGACTCCAACCGGTGAGCTGTGGCGCTCGTCTAGTCGGTTTTCGGACATATCGGGATGATGGTGCGCAAACAGAGCAGGACAGACTGCGCAGAAAGTATACCTGCAATGCCTGGAGGCAGACAGCAAGGGCGAGCGGCTATATTAACAAATATGCGGTTAACATTAGCTATGTTTTGTGATGGTTTTGGTGCTTGAAGATTACCTTAATTATATCAAGGCTCGAATGCGCACAGTGGAAGGACGCTAAAGTGAAGGGGTACGAGCACAGCACAAGCAGAGGGTTCGCACAGAAGTACTGGCGCAGTGTATGTATGTACAAGGGAAGGTCCCAAGATCAAGCCACATTGAACTCTGCTCCCTTCCAACCCCCCTGCCCCTACCTCCTGCATTTTATTTTCCTCGCCCATTTCTCGCCAACCCCCAAGCGCCTTCGTTGCTTTTTCTGCCCGCTTTCGTATTGCTAACGTCCTCGAACTCAGCCACTGACTATTGCCTCAACCAAGCCTTGGTTCTCATGCCGCCCGATCCTATTTCTTATACCGTTGATTATCTTTTCTGGCTTACATACACCCTCTTCTCTTCACACGTGTGCTTTAGTTTTTATTGGTATGCATGCCGTCGGACTGTCCGATTGCATCAGCGCGCGCATGCGTGCAGGCAAAGGAGCTGCACTCAAGAGTCACACAAGTACCCGCACATGTGACAAAACACACAGCCTCTTACGCCGCCCGGGTGCATGTGCCCGTTAAGCGTTTGTGTAATTTGATGACGTGGTGGCCGGCGCTGGATCCGGTTGGGTACATTGTGGTGTGGGATTTGGGGATCGATCAGCCCCCAAAATATCGGACCTATGTCCGAGACTCATTTTGGCAAAAGGGGGTTGGCCCGGATGATGCTGTTGGCCGCGAAACTTATTTTTTTCCGCCTTCCCCGCTCCTAGCGCGTCGAGGAGACGGAACTTGTGACAAGTCCCTCCGCGCGGAGGACAATACCGAAGCCTAGCTGTTTTTGTAATCGTGGCGCCCTGTTAGCGAGAGTTGGTGGCGTCTTCTGGCTCCAAGACAGAACAGTGTGTGATGAGGTGCTACTCTTGGATGTCGAGATCGACGAAATGTCCCTTTCAAAAGAGGAAAGTCTGGAACGTGAGTCCACTTGGATTGATGCATCATCCGGCTCACGGCGCCACACCTGTCATACCTAATGTCTAACAGGCTGGATTGAAAAATGCTAAGGTGGTGAGCCGGGGCAGGTGAGGAATGATCTGATCATGGGAGGAAACAACCCCAGAACCAAACCAAATCACCAAAGATTCCCAGGTTGCGGTGGTGTCGTTCCACGGCAGAGTGACTAAAGTAAGGGGCAATGGAGGAGCCTTCGGGGCCTGTAGACTTGCTACCTAGTGCGGAACATGCTGATCAAGGTTCTGAGGAGAGGATCTCATTGTCGCAAAGAGGAAAGATGACAGCCTGAATTGTGCGTGTGTGATGATGATGTCTGTCAGAAAAGGTGGTGGTGCCGGGGCACGGGACAAGGAAGGCATCTTGGCGTGGGAATACGACGATGGAAGGATTCTCGCAGCGAGGAACGCTCACGGCCGGGGACGGAGGTGGCTTGCTCTCGTGAAGGCGGCTGGGTACACATGCCCAACCTGGGAACGGCGACGGCCACAAACACTACAACTCTTGACGCGTTGGAGGCGGATTAGGAAGATATCATGCACGATGACGGGCTGCGTACTCTGTGGGGAAACCTAGTCTATCTACGGGTACAATGAAGTATTCCAGCGTAACACGGGTCCAGACGGTGGCCTAAGCTCACTTTCCCAACTCCCACAACCAGGAAAAGGGACCGACACGGCTTTATACCTCGGCTTTTTCCTCCGAAATGTCATCCTCGGGCGACTCCTCCTGGCTGTAGAGGTCCTTGCCACCATCCTGGCCGTCGACGGGGGCGGAGCCGAAGGTGTACCTGCACGAGTTATCAGGGCGGCGAGAGCGCAAAGGAGACGACGCGGCAGGTCGATGGTGCTGTCTGAGTGTTGGACTGGGACATCAGGGAAGCGTCGCGAGCCTGGCGAGCCGGGACACGCGAAGGTAGCATGTCATACAGGTCGGCCTCGGTCCGGGCTTGATGCGAGGAGATGCTGTGCGGCAGGCGTTCGCGATGAGATGGCGATTAGTACGCATCGGCAGCTAGCACCAGACGCTGGCGAGGGCGGCGAAGGCGCAATCCTCCATGTTGGAAAGGCGTCCAACAGACGCAACTGGATCCAGGCGAATTGTTGTCCATGTTGATCGAACCCTTCAAGTTTCCGTGGTACTGCGGCTGTCGGTGCTCGACGCGGTCGGTGCGGCCATTGAGGGAGCTGTGCTCTGTATTGTGTCCAGGAGCGCACTCAACAAGGTCTGGTTGGTGTTGCAGCTGTTGGTTCGAGGGGGGCGCGCAGGAATTGCCGTTGAGGACGAGCCGGTTATCGCGCCTTGAGGACGGCGCTGGAGAGGTTCAACTCGGCTTCGATGCGCATGCAAGGAACGTCCTCGAGGACGCCGAGAGGGGCAACAGATTTGGGGTGAGAACTGTGCCAGGACGGACCGGCCCCACTATCGTTGGAGCAGCCACCTTGTGGCTGACACGGCACCACCGTCCTGCCGCACCCATACAAACGCACTGGCAGCCGCCGTGGCTGATACGAACGGACCGGAGATGACGCTTGGTCCCTCGATGAGGTTTGGTCGCACACATCATGAGCTAGCAAGCATACAGAGCGCGAACGCATCCTTCGATCAGCTAACCCGGGTATGGTACGAGTTCTCCTCGGTATTAACTTCTTCCTTCTCCACTTCCTAAGGGGCGGGCCCTCAATGGCGGTCACACAGTTAGGTCAACCTGCGAGGCTGCCAATGTCCGTCTGGCAAAGAGCTCCCTGGAGCTCGCACGGGAACCCCGGACCACTCTGCGCGGAGCCGCCGTGAGATCGGAGTCAGCCCGCGCAGGGTCAACTGACCAGCGGACTATCTCCTAGCTCGGACCGTAGCCTCTGCGCCATATCGCGGAACTCTTGGACCTCGATGCGCTGGGCGAGATCGCTTAGTGCTCGCCTGCCGCCTTCCCACATGATCCTCACCGTGCCTCTCTTCTACAAGCGTCATATATTTTGTGGTCATACTGAACTCGCATTCGAGCCATCTGCATGGCAGCACTAATGCCCGTCTCGGAATGTCACAAAGATTATCGGCTTACCAACCCTCTTATTCTACCTCATAACACATAAAGAGAAGCTGCGAAGTGGAGTGCAACATTGTCCCCGACTGATTGTGAAATACATAAGGGGTGGGCTAATATTGCCTTTCCGCCGCTGTTCAACAGTAACTCCTAGAATCTATCGACGACTCCTACCAGCCTAGAGGTAAAATGAACCAGTCCTGATACCTCGTGCCTTAATTGAATCGCCTTTTCTTCAACTCCCATTCCTCTTCCATCCACTTGTCTACCAAAGTCCGACTTTCCACTTCCTGTAGATGCGCGGGATCAGAGAGTGAATGGTGTCCTGCTGTCCTCTTCCCGATTCGACAATTTGTCGGTCTGATAGCGCCACTATTAGACTTGACTTTGCTGGTGGAATTACTCCTGTCATAATTGTTCCCGTTGACCACGAAACCTGTTTCGGTGGTGCGTCTCCTTATTGGGACTCTTCTACAATCGTATTGCCCAAACCTGAATAGAGAGGAATTTTGAGAGGAAGCTCTGTACGTGGTTTCGCCATCTGCTTCCTCCGAAGCAGGGAAGAGGAGGTCCGACAGCGCTCGAGTATTCTTGCCATCATTCTTGTGCTCGGAGAGCTCTGCACACTTGCTTTGTGCGAGCAGGTATGTTGCTGGCCATCGCCCAGAGAGCTGAGTCATCGTCGATTGATTAGATACGTCTCCCTCGAGTTTCAGACAACACTGGCCTGCGACCTGTTCCAAAACTTGACGAAGAATGTAGAGTCCCCCGAGGCTTTTGTATCCTTGAACATGGTACAGTTCATTGCTGAGAGTTGGGAGACATATCCGTTCTTGTGCATCCAATAGAGAAACCAACGGCTCTAATTTGGCATAAGTCATACCGGGGATGATAGGCTAGTTCCGCTTGCATGCGGAGAGTGAGGTACGTGCTGCTTGGAATAGACCATGGCTCCAGTAATACACCCCAAACCGAGTTCGGGACTTCGTACTTGCGAGAAAGGTGACGAGCGGCGTGAGCTAGGTCCTCTAGCTTGATGGACGGCTCAGTAAAACCCCAATTGCACTTCTCTTGTGGTGGAGCAAGATTGAGCGCACGAAGCACATATTTCCTGATTTCCGAGTTTCCAGTTTGAGCTCCGGTTTGATGGAGGAAACAGGTCTCTGCCCGGTGAGCAAGAACTGCACCGTCCTTTACCTCCATTTCGTACTCGCGAGACAAGCTCAGCGATGACCAGATGTCGCAGACTTGTCCCTTGTCGACCTTGAGTAGCTCGCTGACGTCTGCAACCGATTTCCCTCCAGCTCACAAGAGCACAATGATGATACTACAGCAAAATGCCATCCAAGATTGCTCGGCGTTGAAAGAATTAGCCCGCTTGCTTTGCTCGGTACCATGCGAAAACTATCCGGCGGGCAATCTCCGCTATCCAGGAACTTTCTTCAACATCGTTGGGGCCTGTACACAATGAGGACCCGATGACAATAATAACTCTAGGTAAATATCTGGATAACAAATACTTCTTCGTCTTATTTCATTACCAGATTTTCATAGATATTTGTTGTGGTCACTTGGCTTCTGATTGACTGTTAATTGGTTTGCAACCGACCCGTTAGTTCCTGGGTATCGGTTCGCGATTACCTAATCTTCGCATGACCCCCAATAGCTATAATCCTACGTACCGATCTCGCCCGGTGCGCTATAAGACTCGTACCCAGTTTCAACTTCAAGGTCGAACAAAATCGCTTTGTCTGCACCACCTGAAACCGGTCCGTGGAGGATGTCGACTCGGGCTTGCGCTATTGCTCTGCTTTTACCAGTCAGCAGTGTGCTTGGACTTCAGCTGATTTTTCCTGGATCCAGGAAGTTTACATTACTCAATACTCCTTTACTTCTCATCTGGAATCCGTCATAATGTCGAGTAACTACCTTCCTCCAGAAGAACGCCGCCACTTTTGTTGCGCGACCAATGCACTTGCTGGGTTCCCTTTGTGCTAGCACAGTTGCACTTCCCTTGTCATTTTGCTGAGTCAGCTGGTACCTCACCTAATTATGGGAAGAACAACCACCCAACGACCAGATGGAGTTTACCGCCTGCCAGGTTCGGTGGTTTCGCCAGCAAGGCTCGCTTGGGCGAAAGGATAGAGCAGATTGGTAGGCCGAGTGTTATCCTGAAGGTGATTTTGGCCCATGATCCCAATTTCTTGATTTCCTGGTCCGTACGCGATTCCCTTACCTACCCATGACCTGACCTCCCTTACTGTGATGCCGGTAGACGAGCGAGGATCCAGTTACCGTAGGTAAGAGATCTTCGAAATAGCTTATGTATTATCTGATAACGAAGGTAAGGTGATCTTAATATTATCTTCCCACTTCCCTCCGCCATCGAGACCGACATGGGCAGAAAGCTTGCGAGACTGTGGTTGCATTCCGACGCAGACATCGTGCGGCGCGACTTGGCTCAGCTGGGAACAGGTCGACTGGAGATCGGAGACGTCGGGCGGATGCGGTCGCCGTTATGCAGAGTGCGACCCAGATAGCGCTGGCGCCCCGCGCGCGCCAGCTTTTAGGTGTTTATTGCTGTTTCTGCACGGATTTGTTACGTGCACAGACCATTTGTAGAACATCACATATCTCTTGAGGGAACGAGAGAAGCATCGATGTGTCCACGGTCGACATTGCATATATATGGAGCCCTAGGATTTGCCTGAATTCTGGGGCGGAATAAGTGAGTAGGTCTATCACTAAAGGAGACTGGTCATGTGGCCTGTTGTCTTTCCAAGAGAATCCATACTTTACAAATATTACTATTGTATTCTGTCTGCATTGATGTAGTGACGCCGGCTATTGAGTTGCTACGATAAATCTCGCCCTGGCTTGAAGACTTTTCCCTTTACCAATTTACTAGTCGTTGATCCATTGAGTTCTTCTAATAGTCCTCCAATTTCCAATGTTTCCCCACAGGCAGCTTGCCCTCTTATTTCCTAAAGCCCCCTACTCTCACACCATGGCGATCCCAATGCGGACTGTAATAGCGACCTGCTTCGTCCAAGCCCCCCGACGCTTTGTTTTCCCTAGCATAAAAAAGGTTGATCCGACAAATGACCTCATAGACCGTTGCCTTGCGAGGAAGGTCAATGACAGCTTCACCCACAGTTCCGCCCTCCTCATTGAACTTCTTTACATATAGTTTTGCTCCCTTCCCGAACAAAACAGCATTAGGGTTAACTAGAAATTTCCCCCCATCGCTGTGAACCTTCACGTCCCAAGCGTAGTTCCCATTACTCCAGATCCACTCCATTTTAAGTAGCTTAGAGGGCTTGTAGGTTACTCGGGTATTTATATCTTTGAGAAAGTCGTATACATAGTCGTACCTGACGCTTTTCATAACAACGGGTTGATGTATCGCAGTCATCCACATTTGACAACGAGCAAACAGTGAGGGACTCCTTGAGGACATGAAGTCTTGCTGGCTTATATAGGCGACAAGGCAGACTAAAAACTGCTGGTATGTCCACCCATCCCGTTTATAATTATCGATGACTTGATCTTGTAGTCTTTTCCTCTTCTTAGTCGTGTGCTCCCAAGTCTCGATTTCTTTCGCCAAGGACAATCCCGGTTCCCAAAACCATTTACTCTCGACCTCATTTGTCCTTTGTGAATCCTTGGTCGTTTCGGGCTTTTCAAGTGTCGTGATCTCAGTGGTGAGCATTTGTATTCCCGTATCCCTATCTGTTTGATGCTGGTTTTCTATTCGTATGAGTTCTTCCTCAAATTCACCTTTTATTTCAGCAAATTTGTTCTGCACAACAGCATCATAATATTGCTGGAACCTCGGTACCAGGGCTGGAAGCGCTGCCCACTGCCGTTGCCGCTCCTGCCAACTCCATTGCTCTTCTGCATAATCAGGACACCGAGACTGAATGACCCATCTGTCCATTGCCATGGATATTGTATACCATGTTACCAGATTCTCGTCTTCGATCTGCCCGATAGTCTTGGACATGTACCTAATGATAAGCAAGAACGTTGTAGGACGCGAACTTGCGGTCACGGTTGGAGATGATATTTCGTTGAATACCCCAGTCCTTCCGAAGCACTTGGCGCGCCAGTGCATTGGCCCAGTCTTGGGTCGTATAGTGATCGTGGCCCGGAATCAGAAGAGTACGCTTCGGCGTAGCGCACGTTACAACTAACCGTGAGCATGCAGCTGCAATGGTCGAAATAGGTCTTGCCTATCAATTGCCAGGTGGTGTTGTGGTGTGCAGGCAAGCCGACGATGAAGTCCATGGCAATGGTTGATCTGGGCAATTCACCGGGTCGATAGGCTGATAGTCGCCAGTTGGGTTCTCATGGCTGAGCTCGCAAGCAGGACAATAGACTACGTGACTCTTGATCAGGTTGGCTTTGCTAGCGAAAGACAGGTCTGACGGGTCTTAAAGCATATTATTGACTTCCCTGTGGTGTTGGTCGTCATGGTTCATGGCAACACTTGACGAGGTTGTGCGAAATGCAACGGTTGCGGCGGTCGACCCTGTCGTAAAAAAGGCGACAGTGATCAACCTCGAAGGGTAGCCAGGGCGGGAGAAATTGACAGCGGCTACCTTGTCTGCCGAGTTGTCGAAGTCGCGATGGCGACCATGGATTTGCAGTACTTTGTGGGGTTCCATGATGGCTCCGGACGCGGAGAACCACACCTCGTCCAGAATTGCGGGCTCGTCATATCTCTTGAGCACACCTACGGCGGCATCCTCCTCATCTTGGACCGCACGCAGTCCACTTAGGTCATGCGGCACGTAGTTGGACGCGCTGGTCAGCCGGCGATTACCGCGACTGTGCAAGTTAGTTCGGTGAACGATGCGCTTGGTATGGTGCACGTAAAGCCTATACTTGGTGGCGTCATGATCAGTTAGCACAACAGCTAGCAAGGTGCACGACTGGACAATAGTGCGGAGGCGGGGCACAGCCCACATAAGGCAAGCAACTGCGAGGAACAAGGACATATATTTATGACGACGAGGTGGTAGACCTGAATTGATCTCTTTCCCCCAGTCCGTGACGTGCGGCTGGTCAGGCTGGGCAGGGGCAGCCACCAGACCGCTAGAGCCTGGCGACGCCACGTCCCTAAGGCTGGTGTCCGTCAGCTGGGCTGGCGACAAAGCGACATCAATATCGCTCTTACCAGACTCGGGCATTAGCACAATCCGCGTTGTATTGTATATCGCCCCTGAGGAGGATCGACATGTCTCAGGCCTGCCACCAGGCCGCCAGCATACCGCGCGCTGTCCTCCCCAGGCCGTGCCTGCCTCTTAAGGTTCGTACGCACAGGTGGGTTTCCAATCATCTATCACGTGCAGCCTCTCTCTCGCTCCTCTCTTCATGGCGCCCCGCCCAGCGAGTGGCCATCGTTTCCACGCCAGTCGCCCGCAGGTGCCGGCACCAGGATAAGACAACATGAAGGCACTTCTTACCCCACTCCACGACGCTATTTGAAACGGTAACCGAGATAAGTCCACGGCCATGGGATGTGTGTATCCGTAGAGACGTGCTCTACATGTTCTGCAGCCGAGTGTGGATCCCAGACATGGCGGCTACCTACATTGCGTCAACTGGTGTGCGCCTTATCATATTTGTCGCAAGTATCAGAGGAGTGGCCAGAAGTATCCAATCCAGCCGAAGTTGAGGCCGAAACCTTCCATAGACAGCCCATACATGTCAACAAGGCGCCAACCGTCGAGTCTGTTTAAAACACCGCCAACGCAAAGCGGGAAGACTCCATGAAACATTGCAAGGCAGAGCACCAATGAAGGCAGTCACCCCACGCGGGGACCTAGAGACCCAATCATAGTCGCTGGTACGTTTCTTCAACTATTGAGGCATTAGTTGGACGTCTGCACAGCCCAAGAAAGTTAAAAGTCGGTAAGTTGAAGACCCGGTTACCCCCGCCGTCAGCCTTTGACGAGTGGCAGCCTTGGCTAGAGTGGCCAGTGTCGCTAATTGCACTAGTGCTGTGAAACTGCGCACTGCCTGCGAGGCTGAGTCGGGGTTGGTCCCACTTTGCTGCGCCAGTTGCAAGAGAGCTTGCAACACTCTCGACAGTTTTGCTTATCACGTGCTTAGCTACCTAACCCTCGCGCTGGTCCGAGTCCAGGCTCATGTAATCGAACATATGCCGCTCGTTTCCAATCAGTTAGCTTACAGCCCTCTTCACGGCGCGGGTGCCGCTCTTGTTCAAGTAGTCATCTTCAAGGGCGCCAGTGAGCGGGTGGGTCAACATATACGTCATAATCTCACTAAATACCAACATCGCCTGAAAGAGAAGGACGGCCGTTTGATGGCCAAGTGCCCGGCTCTTAAGTATGACCGAAATCCGGAGTGGAATAATATAGTGGATAACCGGAATAATGCTTGTCGTACTTTATCGAAGAGACAAACAATCAAGTTGACCGTCGCAAACAATGAATGCTCCACTAACGGGTATAATAAGTGAACCTTTAGCTCCAAGTAGCTATGTTATCGGTCGCCAAACTTGATCGACCTACTCTTGCTTAACGATACTGCAACTTTCACTTCATCACGGCAGAGTTTGGCTGCCGACATATTGATAATGTCACCTACTAGAACAGCAGATCATATACAGGGCCAACTGTCGCCCAAAAGCCTTATGTTATACCATGCGATTCCATCATGGCAACAGGATAATGAATTCCTACTCTCTGGATATCGGTACGTGCGCTTGAAAACTTGGCTAATGCATGGCTAATCCTGTTGTAGGCCAATCTCCGGGTCTTTATACGTATCACTACGCAGCATTCTGTATATGGATAACGAGACTGTGAACATCGTTTCACATATGTCTGGTTGTATCGCATTCACCACAATCCCATTCTTTCTTCATCATATGCATCATCCTACGATATCGCACTACTGCTTCGGAGTGGCCTTTTGTTTCGCGTGCTCCGCCATGTAAGCCCGTTGCTCAATTTCTCCGGCGAGATTATTGTACTGACGTTGAGAACATCTTCCACTTCCTGTTGAACTGGGGCGAGTGAGGAACGACCTGATCGTGGGAGGAAACAACCCCAAAACCAAACCAAACCACCAAAAGTCCCCAGGTTGCGGTGGTGTCGTTCCACGGCGGGATGTGCTGCTGAGGGCACCGAGGCAGGTCAGAATTATCAATAAGAGAGGGGAGCCAACCTATCTCAAAAGGCAGAAAGCCCCTTGAGAGAGGATTTTTGAGAGAGGGAACTCGGCGATGCCGTGTCTTCGGTTGTGTCTATGGGAAAGAGAAAACGCAGTCTAAGTACATAAACCAGAGCACTGTGGGCCCCTGCCTTTGTCAGCCTGGTGATCCAGCCCGGCCCCGTCACACTGTCCAATCACAGTCGCAGCTGGGCCCAGTCCTGCAATCGCCTCGATTATTTAGGCATCGTGGTCCTCGTCTGGAGTGCTAATGCACCCATGGTTCTTTCGGACTGTCCGGCATCCCGGACCTGCAGAGATTCTACAGCTCGATTGTATGCTATTCTTATCAGCAGTTCGTCTGAGCATATCTGATTACCGTTTGGTTTCAAGAATATCATCACAGCTGCCATGAGTGTGGTGTTCATCTTTGGCCATAACTTTGGCTTTTCTGCCTTTAGAAAGTGGCGTGTACTTGTCTACAGCATATCCGGCTTGGGTTCACTCGCATCACTGTTACATAGCCTTCAAATCAAAGGCTGGGCCGTTCTGGTAAACCACCTGTCCCTTGGGTGGTTGGCTTGTACGATGTCACTTAATCTCATCGCCGCAGCTGTCTATGCCTCAAGGGTACGTCGCCTCCGATCCTTTATATAAGACCCAACATTGACGTCCTGGTTGTAGATCCCCGAGAGATGGTTTCCATATAGGTTCGACCTTGTTGGAGCTAGTCATCAGATTTTCCATCTCTTAGTTTTGATAGCCACGTTCACACACCTAGCAGGCCTTCTTGCAACTTCTCAATATGCCTCCAGGTGATCGCCTCATGGCCTAGCACAACATCGCGGCTTTCTCAAATGCTATACCTACCCGGTCGACACTGCAGTAGTGGGGCATATAGACCCCAGGCAGTTGACTCAAGTATGGGGTGTAATAAGACAGGACGTGTAGGTATCTAGGTGAGGAGGTTTTAGGGATCTCTTATAACATTCTCAAGAAGATATAAGAAAGAACGGGTACGCAAATGTAAGACTTTAATGAGGTCGAAAATCAAATTGAATCAAAGAGTGGTAACTAGTGATGTCTAGGTGCATGCTATTGTAAAACATTGCGATGGCTTCAAGCCTTATGTACAACTCTATGAACTGCTGAAGTTCAAGGTGATGCTGGATGACTAAGCACCAGACGAAGCATATAAATAGACATCGTGAGATCCTGCAGCATGAGATAGACTTTCTTCCTTACAGAATACAACATATGCAATTCCTACTCCCATACCTGCTTCTTTTCAACATACACAAACCCCTAATCAGACTATCCCGCGCTGCTTTGACACAACATACAATATAAGCTTCCTAATCCTTACCTTGCCTTTGCAACATACCTCGTCGACCCGCCGCCTTCGTAGGCTCGGCTATCGGGCGCCGTCTCTCCCCTCTCATAAGCCCAATCCGTGTTACTTGGGGTCACCTCCAGGACCCTAATAGCGGCGCCAACCTGACCCGCCGTTCAACCTCGCCGCAACTATAGATGCCAGGAATATCATCCAGACCTTCTGGACTGCTTCGGTTTTGGACTGCTACCCTTTCTATCCCCCTCCCCATCTGAGATTGTTTGTCCTGACTGGGAATTGGATCCGTAGCACCCAGCTCTCTCCCGAACTCAAACAGGTCAGAATTAGCTACGGTATGTATAGTGAAGATGATGTCCTCGTCATACTCTAGAAGATGTACACCCTCGCGTCCTCATTCGTCCTCGGAACTCTGCATATCTTGAAACAATTCGGCCATGGCACGAATAGGTCTTCCGTCAGGCTATCCAGAACTTCCAACCTTGCGCTCTCTAACCAAGCAACTGGTACCACTTTCTCCACAACCCCCCCGCTCCCGCCAGTTTTACTCGTTGGACAGCTATGACCATGGTGTCACGATCCGACCTCCGGGGTCAACCGTCCGGTCGGGCTTCGGTGGGTTGCTGTCCTGCGGGTAGGTAGAGCCGTCGCAATATCACTTCCTGTCGAATGTCGTTCTCTCTGGGTGTTGCCGTGTCTCTTGGAAGAGATACCACTCTCGTCAATTGAGTGACTGGTTCAAGTGATGTGTGAGAATGATACTTAGATTGATCGCTGAAGTACAAAGGTAATGACTGTCTGACTAGGAGATCCATCGCGTCCATATATCCTTTGTCCTTCATTGTGGTCATGCCTTGTCCTTCTGACGGTCATGGTGGTTCGTTCGTGACCGTCGGCCTTGGCACCTTCGACGGTCGTGCAGCCCATGCATGACCGGTGGTACCGTACCCGTCCCTTATCCTTATCGTGCTTACGTAAGAAACCTGTGACATGCCCTGTCGCATGATCCGCCCTTGTCCTTGGCCTGATCTTGCGACCTAGTTGTGTGTGTGCCTTTCGTTTTGTCCACACAATCGTCCTGTAAGGCCGTGCCGGCTTGACGGTGCGGATGCGTATCGGCACCTTGTCGGCACCCTGGCTGCACCGCCTCGGCCGTGCCACACCCACGGTGCCACGCCAGTGTGCGTAAGGGACAATGCACGGTGGCGTTATCGATACGGCACCACATCGGTGCCAGATCGCGAAGGAGGGCAAGGAGGAGCTTCCCTTCTTCAAGAATTAGTCTTGCAGTAATACGACCCCTACCAGCCACTCTTGACTACCTAACTTACCTACTTATGGTGTGACCCTTACAATTCTAATTCTTCTACTTAAGTTACCTAGTAGGAGATGGCTGGACGAAGAAGCGCGCGAAACCGGGCCGAAGAGGTCCCGGTTCGCCCGAATTTCGACGAGAGGTCCTCGCAGCTAAGAGGGAGTAATACGATACCCCTCCAAGACGAAAACGACGTACTCCAACAAGTCGGTACCGATACGGAAGCGATACGAATCCACAACGAGACCGAAGCGATGGACGAGAGGATCGCCGCGCTAGAGAGCCTCCAGCAGAAGCGTCACCGGTACCAGGAGCTCCTCGCGACGCTCCAAGACGACGCGGGACTTTCGGACCAGTTCAACGCGATCCTACAGCAAAACGGCCTCGCTTCGCTACCGCTTCCATCCCGAACCCACGGGAAGGATATGAAGACCGAGAACATCCCAACTTTCGAGACAACCTGGTCCTTTCGCAAGCGTCAGGACTGGCTGAACGACCTCTCCCTTGCCTTCCGGCGGGCTAAGCAGACCCTTAGTACGAACGAAGCCCGGATCCTCTACGCTCTCGACCGAATGGATGCCGATTCGCGGGCGAGATGGCAGCGATACGTTAGCGAGCTCCCAACACCCGAAGAAGAGGAGGAGGCGTACCAAGACTGGGACGGATTCGAGGACTGGACGCTTAGCATCCTACAAGGTGCCGAAAACCAGGAGTTTCTCATCGCGCAGGCACTCGAGAACGCAGCGCAGAGGGAGTCTCAGGACCCAAGAGAGTTCGACTTATACCTAAACTCATTGGAGGACCAACTCGACGCGGAATCGGAACAAACCCGGGTAATGCGCTTTTATACGAAACTACGCCCCGAGTTCCGGAACTACCTTGCGGGATTCGGTGGCGATAAGCAGGCGACTCGGGCCCTTATCGTATCCTGGGCGCAGACGAAGTGGGAAGCTTGGAGGGCCGCTCAGGGCCCAAACAAGCGGAAGAGATCCCCCGAGAGGAACCTAGCTACTCGCTACCGGAAGGACGACTATCGGCGCCCCGAACGGGCTCGAAAGGGTACCGACTGGGCACCGAAGAGGGCAGAGAACGATTTCAACCGAGGAGCAGGTTCCCGGAAGAACGGTGTCTCCTCGGTCACTGGTAAGGTGCTCCGCTGCTACACCTGCGATAGCGACGAACATCTATCTCCCGCTTGCCCAAAGAAGATACAGGGCCGAAACGCCACCGTTGCGGAGGCAAGACAGCACCGAAGCAGCTCGAGAGGGTCTCACACGAGCAGCAGGGGGAGGAGTCGGGGAAAAGCCCCGGCCCAGTAGCTGAACCCGCGCCTGCTGAGCCTCTCTTACCTATGCGGGTTACTCCCCGATTTTACACCCGAGTACGAGTCGGAACCGGATCGACAGCGATTCACACCCACGCCGATCTCGACTCAGGCGCAGAGATCGACTGCGTTAGCCGCGAGCTAGCGGATAGGCTCCGTTTCCAGCCCGCAAAGCTACAGGCCCCCTTTCTACAAGCTATCGGCAACCTCTCCTGCCAGACCTATGGCGTTTTCTGGGTCCCTCTCGAAGTAGTCGACTCGAGAGGCACCTATCGGGCCTTGAAGGTACCCTGCGTAGCCGTGGACCGAGACCCGGACCCCCGAGGAAGCCCGGTGCTCCTTGCTAGGCCGACTCTCACGCAGCACCGAATTGTCCAAGATCACAGCACGGATCGGTGGTGGTTCGCTATCGAGACGCCCAAGTGCGAGATCTTGAACGCGAGACGGTTCCGAAAGGAGGCCGAAAAGGTAGCGTTCGTCTACGCGATTATCACCAAGGAGCACGCTGAGGAGGACTTGCCACTACCAGACGAGGAGGCAGAGCCCCGGTTTGAAGTGAAGGCTATCCCGAGCGAATTCCATGACTTCGCGAACGTTTTCGACCACGCCAAAGCAAGCACACTACCTCAGACGAAGGGGACAGACCACTCCATCGACCTGATCGAGGGCGAAACGGCACCGTATGGACCTATATACCCCCTCGCACAGAACGAGTTGAAGGCGCTCCGCGATTATATCGAGGAGAACCTGAAACTAGGTCGGATCAGGCCCTCAAAGAGCCCTGCCGGGTCCCCAATCCTCTTCGTACCAAAGAAGGACGGGACCCTACGCCTCTGTGTCGACTACAGGGGACTCAACCGCGTAACGGTAAAGAATCGGTACGCATTACCACTCGTTTCGGAGATCATGGACCGTGTCCAGGGGTCTCAGTTCTTCTCCAAGATCGACGTCAAGGACGCCTACTACAGGATTAGGATCAAAGAGGGAGACGAATGGAAAACAGCGTTCAGAACTCGCTACGGCCATTTCGAGTATTTAGTGATGCCCTTCGGGCTCACCAACGCCCCGGCAACGTTTCAGCACTATATCGATACTGCTCTAAGGGGTCTGGTCGACGACTTTTGTATTGTCTATTTAGACGATATCCTTATCTTCTCGAAGGATCGAGACACCCATACGGCGCATATTCGACAGGTTCTCGAACGCCTACGTACAGCCGAGCTCTACGTTAAGGCGTCGAAGTGCGACTTCTTCCAGTCCCAGGTTGAATTCCTGGGTTTTATCCTCTCAAGAGACGGAGTGGCAATGGATCAGTCCCGAGTCGATACTATTTCGACATGGGAACTACCAAAGACCTACAGAGAGATCCAGGTGTTCCTGGGCTTCTGTAACTTCTACCGGAGGTTTATCCAAGGCTATGCCGGGATTACACGTCCCCTGACGGACCTGCTAAAGGGCAGTGTCAACGGGAAGAAGCCAGGGAGTGTAGTCCTAAACGATACCGAAGAGGAGGCGTTTCGTAGCCTTCGCAAAAGGTTCACGGAGGCACCACTCCTTCGGCACTTCGACCCTTCGAGGGCGATTCGGTTGGAAACCGACGCCTCTGCGTTTGCCCTGTCAGGGATCCTCTCCCAACCAAGTGACGAAGGCCGATGGCACCCTATTGCGTTCTACTCGAGGAAGTTTAAGGACGAAGAGACGAGATACGGCACCCCTGACCAGGAGATGCTAGCTATCGTCGACAGCTTCAAGCACTGGAGGCACTACCTACAAGGTACCGAAACGACGGTCGAAGTTCTCTCAGATCACCAGAACCTCCAGGCCTTTATGCGGCAGCCCAAGCTGAACGGCAGACAGGCGAGGTGGTGCATGCTTCTCGCACCGTACGATTTCCAGATCAAACATCGACCAGGGAAGTCCAACCCAGCCGATGCGCCGTCGAGACGACCGGCTTACGAGGCCGAAGCGGCACAAGAACGGCCGTACATCCCGTCCCTAGAAGCAAAGCTTGCCTGGTTGACAGTTAAGGATGCTAAGGCAGATTACGCACAAGTTGCAAGTGTCTCCCAAACCAGAGACAGGGAGTTGCAGAGCCAGTGGGGCGACCTGATTCGGGCCCAAAACGGCCTCCTCCCGCAGTCGATTCCAAGGAGGATCGCACGAGTTGCAGCAGTCGAAGAAGACATATACGCTGACTCGACCGCGCCAGCTCTAGAGGAGCTGATCCGCAAGGCACAGGCCAAAGACCCTGTAGCAAAGAGAGTGCACCAGAGCCTGGATCGAGAAGATACCGAGGCAGACCCGAAGTGGTCACGGGACGCAGGCGGCACGATCCGTTGGCAAAACTGCATATATGTCCCAGAGGAGCGAAGCATTCGCGATGAGTTGATGGTTCGATACCACAACGACCCCTTAGCGGGACATTTCGGGGCCAAAAGAACCCTTGAACTCTTGCAAAGAGGATACTACTGGAAGTACATGGGTAAAGACGTCGCCGAGTGGGTTTCGACCTGCGAGGTCTGCCAGGGTAGCAAAGCCCCTAGGCATCGACCATACGGCAAGCTCGAATCGCTACCGCTTCCCCACCGTCCATATAGCGAGTTAACAATGGACTTTATTACAGGGCTACCAAGTGCCTACTTCGAAGGTACGGAGGTCGACTCGATTCTAGTAATCGTCGACAGGTTCACAAAGATGAACCACTACTTCCCAGTTGCAACAACGATCAGGGCCAACGAGCTAGCAGAGCTGCTCTACAACCACGTTTTCCTATCGAAAGGGGCCCCATCCGGTATTGTTTCGGATCGGGGAAGTATCTTCACGAGCGAGTTCTGGGGGGCGTTCTGCGCCCACCTTAAGATCAAGAGGCGCCTCTCAACAGCGTTCCACCCGCAGACGGACGGGCAAACAGAGAGGGCGAACCAGTCTATTGAGACTTACCTGCGGTGTTACTGTACCGAATCGCAGACGAACTGGCCCCAGCTACTCCGAGTTGCGGAGTTTGCACACAACAATGCAACAAACGCATCGACAAAAACAACGCCGTTTATGATGCTTATGGGCTACCACCCACGCATACAGGGTGACCTCGAGGACGAGGCCATCGGAGGGGGGATAGTCCTTGGAGCGAAGGAAAGAGTTGAGAAACTCGAACAGCTACGCGAAACGGCCAGGAAACACTGGCTATACGCCACCGAATCGCAGGCGAAGTACTACAACAAGAAGCACAAGCCACAGACCTTCAAGCGGAACGACCTTGTCGGGCTCTCCACGAAGAACCTCAAGCTCAAAGGGGTCAGCCCGAAACTCGCACCCAAGTACATTGGACCGTTCCGGGTCCTTGCCGGCATCGGAACGTCAGCGTATCGGCTGAGCCTACCATCTCAGCTCGACAGAATACACTATGTCTTTCCAGTCAGTCTGCTCGAGCCGTGGAAGACACGGGCAGGCCGAGACGGTGCCGAGAAGGTACCGATTCCCGAGCTGGAAGAGGACGATGCGGAATATGAGGTGGAATCAATCCTCGACCACCGCATCTACAAGGGCAGCGAGCAATATCTGGTCAAGTGGGCAGGCTGGCCGGCAGAGTACAACCAATGGGTCCCAATTGAGGACGCTGCCAATGCCACGCAGTTAATTCGGGATTTCCAGAAGCGCACCGGAAAGGCACCGAAACGGCCCCGACGTGGACGTGGTTGACAGGCGGAACGAGCACAGCAACATCACGACACGGCACACACCTGATGCGCAGGGAAGACAGACTTCTCATTTCGGACTACCTATCTACTTGAGGGCATGGCCGAAACCACACCACAACGACAGCGAATACCGTCCTGTTCTTCCCCCATGCAACACCGTGAAGTGGCCATTTCCAAATGACCAAAAAACCCTGCCGAATCCATGCCGAAGAGGTGTCGAGGTGACACTCAAAGAGCCTCGGGAGGAGTGGGAAGCTCTGCCATGAAGAAGGAGAGTTCGGAGACCTGGTCCGAATCGTCAGAGTCAGCGTCCGACGCCAGGTCGGAACTGAAGCCCTGGGGAGCCCATTCCTCAACCATGGCGAACCAGTGGGTAATCGCCGCCCTCCAAGCGCTGTTCTCACGATCGCCCACCAGGAGGCGGGGACGGAGTGCAACACGGCGCTCAGCGGAGGCCGGGTCGGACTGGAGACGTCAGCAATCCGCAAGGGAAACGGGCGCGATGAGCCACTTACACGAGGCAACAAGGGACCGTACAGAGACACGAGCTGCTGCTGTCGGATCCAGCTCAGTCCTAGATGAGCCCCGGTCCGATGGGTCAAGAGTGTTGCGTGCAGCAAGCCCGATTCGGCATACATTTACAGTCACACTCTCACACCAAGTACGAGCACACCTCCGGAGAACTTGTGCCGGTCGTATGGCGTGCGATGGACGCCTCCTCCCCCGTGGCTGAGGACCTTGGCACTCTTCTCTGCGCGCGCCAGGGCAGGCAACAACAGCAGGGCTAGATCCCTTGGGCTTTGGTGCCATTGTCTGTAAGACACCAGCTGGACAGCTCAGCGTGATGTGGAATCATTTCTCGTCCTCCTCCCGACCGTCGACTCGGATCTTTAGGGGGTGTAGTGTCGTAGGTGTAGGACATCTCCTGCCATGGAGCAGGGCGAAACGCTCGTTTTGCTTCTTCCTCAGCTTCAAGAAGATGAGCGACGGGAATGGGCCAGACATCTTCATCATGTTCGGCAGTGAAGGGGGGGGGTTCAGAGAAATAGGAGCATGGGTCTTTCGGATGATGCCCATCTTGCGGCTCCATGACAAGGTTGGCGGATCATCGATCTTGTCTACGAATGCGGGCGCCCGCGGAAGATCTCGCGGATGTATAATAGCTGTCACATTCCAGTGAGAGGGTCCAGGAGCCCCGGCACCTCACGGAGCACCACTTTTCCACATGCTTCGTGGTGTTGGTGTGCAGCAACAACAAGAACGGCATTGCGAAGCCACCCGTCCAATTCCTTCTTCTCCCTTGGATCAGTATCCCCAACGAGGTACCAGAACCTCACGGAGTTCTCTTCCTGGACCAGAAAATCGGCACACACACACACAAACACCGGATCGAAGGGAAACACCCCTGGTCTTCTCCACTCAACGGTTGTGCCAGTCATACCTTTATCGGCGACCCTTTACCCCTGCTTCCGATACCCAAAAGCCCAGCGACGAGGCCGCACTTCGCCCCCCATTTCTCTTCCCGCTATTAGGCCGGGAAGTTCAGAAGCTCGCAGTAATGTGTCACGGTCACCCCAAGATGCACCCGTGCTCGCACATGTCGGTCAAGTGGATGTTCTGCCACAAGGCGCCCTTCGACCCTTCGACGGGCTTCCAGATCGGGCCCTGCCGGAGCCCCAACTATTACCCCGTGCAGTCCGTCGGGAAGCACTGCTCGCTGCAGTTCTGCGCCTTCAAGACGCTCGGCGGCGCCTGGTTGTGCTGCCAGTGCGGTCAGGGCCCCAACGAGTTCGGCTGGTGCAGCGCGCCGGCGGCGGATGGCGGGTGGCCTCTTCCTGATGCGGATGCGGCCATCCCGGGCTGCTGGTCTCCTGATGCGTTCCCGGGGACGTGTGGGCATGGGTGTTGCTCGTCGTGTGTGCCTTTTGGTGAGTTGAGAGTCTTTGATATCGAGGCAATCTGTTCCGGTTGTCCTCGAGAGTTCTAACAAGGAGCTCATTTTGCAGACCCCGAAGGCTCGTCCACAGATGGCCAAAGCTCCATGGCAACGACGAGCGGCAGCTCTGCTGGTGACGGCGGGAGCCGCAAGTCTCGTCGCAAAGAGAAGGCCTCATCTTCTTCGTCCTCCGGCCGGAAACACAGGCACTAAGAGGGATACCACGGCGCTAAGGACAGGGGCGCGCTGATTCTATTATCTCAATCATGTTCAACTACTGCGTATTGTTTCAGGATGGGACTTCTTTTGGGGGCGTTCCTCTTGTTTGGTGTACAAATGCTCTCACCTTTTTTTTTCGGACATGGCATTGGGTTATTGCCTAGGAGTGAGCCTCTGGATTGGTATTCTGTCTGTCTCTTTGTTATAAGGCGTTTCCTTTTCTTTGTATCCTAGGAAGCTCTCTCACAATTTCACTCTTTCTGATTACGACCAGAGTACACGCCTGGAATATGACCTTAGCGGACAGGCCCGGCTCCTCAGCTTGTGCACTTTCTTTGGACTTGGATGCAATCATTGAAATGGCTCGCAGGCTGAATGACCTTCCACCAATCATAGCTGCCCCGGAACAACCTTCCGGATCTCTCCTATATGACGTAGTATGATGGCCAGTGCTGGGCCCAGGTATGTGGTTCACCGGTGTGCGGCTCACTTGGCACATGTTGGTTTGGATACTCCATCTGCACCAGATATCGCCGCCAACAAACTGTAATACATCGCCACGACCGTATAAATCGATGGCCTGATCTTGTACGTGCAACGCATGCCTGGATAAAATCCATGCGGTATCACAAGATCCTCCCGGGCCTGGCGAAGGAGAGAGAAAAAAAAAAAAAGGGGGGGGTTGGGGGGGCGGGGGGGTTTGCACAACGTCGCACGGAGTGAGCAATGAGATCTTGATCCTCCCGATCGCAGTATCCGCATGCCAGTCCCCGGGATCGGTCTGTCGCGGACGACGGATCGGGGAATTTGGCAGGGCCTGCATGAGCGAACACACAGACACAATGCTGGGGCACCGTGGACGTGGTTCGATCCAGCCCCTGTACGCCACCCCTCATGTCCCATGTTCTACCCTGCATCCTGCATGGAGTGTGCAACACGGGCATGGATTGTTCCTCTGGGTACCTACGTGGGGGGGCTTGCACGGAAATGATTAGAAGTGACACAATAGGTCGTGGGAATGATGAAAGAGGGGGATGCGGCTTTGCTATGGGTAATCGCTTTTCCCCAATCGTCACCAACCACCAGAGCAGTGGAGATGTCTCCGAGGATGAGAAGTGGATCGTGAGGCTGATCGACCCGGTAATTGTTGGCTGTTGTGACTCGTGCCAAGGGAATCGTTGGGCTACAGTACCCCCGCCATATAGCGGATTAAATGATGCAGCACTCAAATCCGCTATATGGCGGGATCCGCATTATAAAAATGAGGCTATTTTGAGTTCAATTTACTATGTAAAGAAGGTCCGGATGTCTCTTTGGACGAGTTCAGGGCCTCCTGTTGCCTTGACATGTCGTTCCTGCTTATCCAGGCGGAGGATCAGGTCGTTGTCGCTGCCACTCTGCATCCCATAGAGGCGGAGAGTCTGGATAGCCGTGATAACCTCCTGAACGGAGACCATGGGTATCTCCACCACATTGTTATCATCGTCATCGGCGCTATCCTCCTCGATGAACGAGTCAATGATCTGTTCCTCGACGTCTTCGAGGCTATCGACAACGACTTCTTCAGCGGGATTGAGGAAGTTATTGATATCCATCGCGTCGTGGATGAAATTGGCGGAGTGCATATACTGTATGCCACGTGCTATATCTGCCTCTGCACTCTCGATTGCTCCAAGAGAGGAAGAAGGGTGCTGGCCATCACCACCTTCCTCAGCCCTTTTCAAGCCCCTTTTGAAGCAATTGACGATAGTTGTTTCTTTGACGTCTAATTACCACACTTAAACACCCCATCGAACTGCCATAAGGACGTTCATAGCGTTGTACGGGTGTCAGCCGGCGTCGAACTCCTTGGCCATATAGCGTACCCATTCCCTCTTCTAATACGCCTTCCAGCAGTTGATAATTCCCTGGTCGAGAGGTTGAAATCGGCTTGTTGAGTTGGCAGGCAGCCAAACAATAAGGGTGTTTTGAAGCGGGATTGGGCTCTTCGCGATGCTTTTGACAGCCCATTCATGGGCAGAGAAGTTATCCATTAAAAGGACGACCTTGCGGCCTGCCATTCTGCGTCGAACCAGCGTAACCACTCCTCAAAGAGAGGGCCGACCATCCAGGCCTTCCTGTTTGATCGCCAGTACAAGCCGAGGGTCGCGATGTTGACGTGCGAAGCTGTAAAGCAACGAGGGGTTTTTGCAGTCCCAATGAACCACACTGGCAAGCGGTCTGTAGCTGATGCATTGCAACAGAAATGGGCTGTTATCCGAGCCTTTTCCTTCTTCCTGCCGGGGAGGATACGTGTGGAAATGGATCTGTCGGGAATGCGCTTCCATTGAAGGCCCGTCTCGTCGCAGTTGTAAATGTCGTTATCGTGATAATTCCGGAGGAGTGCGCGGATTGCTGCCATCTGCATTTCTGCATCTTCAGGTACGCTTCCAGTCTCACCATGTTGCTCGCGGTATTTGAGGCCCTTCCGCAACTGGAATTTGTACAGCCAACCGTTGCTGAATTGAGGAGGAGGAAGGTCTTTATACATCGGAAGTCGCTTCCAGAATAACTCAGCCTGGTACCTGATTATATCGCTCGTAATTGTGACCTCTAGCTCAGCGCGCTGAACCCAGAGAACCAAGGCTTCTTCTAGCTCGGGCCACGTCTCAAGTCGACGACGCTTCGAGGAATCGATTCGGAGGGATGGCGATGGCTTCTCGAGATAGGCAAAGCGCTTGCCAAGGATGTCGGATACAGAGGATGTCGAGATAGGGCGATTGAACTCCTTTTCGAACCATGTTTTGAGGGCGAGATTTGGCGCGTCTGGGTGGGTGCGGCGGCGTTCACACAGTGCGATTTTCTGCGCTAAAGTGATGGCCTGGCGCGTCATCTTGGGGCGGCTGGAGGGTCAAAACACAGCGGATTCTGGATCGTTATAGCGGATAATGTATGGCGATAGCTTCAGAAGGTGTGCGGATTCGCAAAACGCGAGGTTTTGCGGATTTTTGGTGTGTTTGTTGATTTTGACGCGTGGCCAATCCGCAATATGGCGGGATCCGCACTATCGCGATCCGCTATATGGCGGGGGTACTGTAGTCATGACACGAGACGCAAGCCTGACCAGGCCACGAGCGCCACATATGGGCAGAGAGCGCGTGACGGGTGCTCCAAGGCCATACTCTCCAGTGACTCAGGCCTGCCATCGTCATCTCAGCAGGGGAGGTCCTCATGGGGAGATCAGCCATGCTTTGTGTGCCTCTGTGAGACTGGGGTGGTCAACTGCAGAGCCGCCAGGGTACATTCGCATGTTGGTTGCTGGATCGCATTCTCGTCCCGGGACCCTTTTGTGCCGCAGAAGCCAACTCGCTAATGCCCAGACTAGCATTATCGCCTATTGTGGCTACACGTGTATACTGACGTCGCATGTTTCCGGATAAGTGCTTCGCAGACTCCACATTCACGGCAACAAGTCTCACAAGGTTCGTGTAGGTGGAAGATGGCATACGCCTGCTCCTCTCAGCCAGCTGAATCTTGGTTACTGCGCGAACACTTAATTCCGCGCCTTTCCACTGGTCAGGGCGGGCGCCAGTGGACGTCAGCAGCCTGGCCGGTCGCGAGACTAGATGCTCGGGCCGCCATCTACACATGCATGCGATCTCCCTGAGCGCTTTGGCAGATAGCCATGGTGACCCAGGCATCATGCATGCACATTGGACTCCTCGCAGCTGCAGCAGGCTATATTCGGAAGTTCTGGAAATGGCCGAGTGGCGCACAACCGGCATAGCAGATTAGTGAACGAGCAGCTGCCCAGCGCCTGCAGACATTGCCTGATGGCCCCCATGGGCCCTCGTGACTGTGACCAGGTCTCACCCTGGCTACAAGGTAATACAAGGGGCCGCGGCCCGGGATTCGCTGCTGGATCCGAGCAGCTCTCCTCGCAGAAACGCACATGCGCCTCATCCCACCATGGGAGTCTTGTGAAGGGTTGGCGGACTTTATCCTAAGCCTAGGCTCTCCTTTCAACCTTGAGTACACGTATTTAGCACCGAATATAAGGGCATATATAAGCTCACCTCCTCCTGCCTGTCCAGTATCGCTGTCTGTGATGTTAGATTAGACTTTGCACATGCGCTGGATCCAGCGCATCATCACACAGATAAGCATCCAAAAGGGTGACGTCGCTGGGCATAGGTGGGGAATCCGGGGTTTGCTTCGAGAAGTGAACCAGGTCTCGGAAGAGGCCAAAACCGCCGAAATCCCTTCGATCCAGTCCTTGGGATTTGCCTCACGCCACCGTGGGCCGAGACACGGCTGGAGAGTGCACACACCCCCAAGGAAGCGAGTGGGCCTTGTGACAGAGTCACGCTGAGGGCGCGAGGGCCGTACCGAAATCCTGGGTCCGTGCTACTGAGACACTTCGATACTGATAGCCCTGGCGGACAACTCCCTCGAGGCTCCAGGTATCTGGTCGAGGCCCGTTGAGCGTTCCGATCTATTCATACAAGTAGCCACTCAACGGCTCTGTAGTTGCAACCCTGCCTGTCCTGATGCTGTCATGTTTCGCCTGACCACGACCAGTCTTACCCTCACCAGTTAGACCAGTTGGTGCATAGCTGGAAGCACGGTGTCCAAGACTCAAACCCCAGCGTTTTGTACTATTTTTATCTTCAATGTGACGTATCGCACATCGGATGATCATCGTATGACATGCACACCGACCCTCAGCGATGCTGTCGACCAAAGAATGGGGCCACGTAATTTCGAAAAGGGCCGCCACATCCTGCCCGGGCTGGCCTGATAAAAAGCAAGTCGGTTTCCACTTCACCCTCCCGTGAATGCTGACTGCGTCAAGCGGCCCGGCTGACATGCCTTCAGGGCGCTGGCCCGAGTCCACAAATCGTCTGCTGCCACGTTCCAGCCTGCACAGCACACTTCATGGGGAAGAATCGAGAGCCTCCGAATCTCGACCAACGCATGCTGCACGATTACCTGCTGCACCGTGGGAGACTGGAGCGTCTCGTAGAAGCAGAACACTTCCGAGTCGCTCTTTCCGCCGAGCGCTGCGTGAAACTCTCGTCGCTGCGTGCTGAGAATCTGCGAGATGACATGTCCGATGGACTCCACAAGAAACCGGTTGGGTTGGTCGCCTACCATCGGGATGAGCGAGCTGATGTCCATGCCATCGTGTGGCACGCCAAAGAAGACGACCCCATACACCGCCCCGAGCAAAAGCTGGTCGTGTCTGCTCTCCGACCTTGACAGCGATATGAGGGCCTGTGAACGTTAGCAAATGCGGTGAGGCACGCTCACTCGGATCGTAGCCTATACCTGCTTGATAATTAGGTTACCTAAGCTATGCGCAATGACAAGAACCGGCTTGATGTATGTGCCCGCTAGCGCTAGGAGGCTCGAATGGAAAGACGCTGCGAGGTCTTCCAAGTTCTGCATGCTATTGCTCTGGGGAATACTGGAGTTGTAGCCGTAAGTCATGACCCGTGCAATAGGACGGTCGTTGCCCTCGAGAGTGAAATCATAGGGGAGAGCATCTCGCAGCCACATATGCTCGCCGCCTCTCTGCTCGAAAGATCCGAAGGCGTGGCGGCCAAGTCCAGAGATGGCGAGGATGCTACATTTTCATTAACTCACTTGTCCTAGTACTGTGTGTGATTCTACGTACTCTAGCTTATGATCCTCAGACGGAGGAGAGCATAGTGTGGTGATGCCGTGGAAGTCGTTGTCAAGAGTGAGATGTAGCTGCCGGCTTGACCGCGATGGCTGGGTAGCCGCCGAAGAAGGCGGGAGAGGGATTGCCCATTTCCCGCCTGTTTGCGGCGCAGGTGGGCCGCGCTGGAAGGTCACCGTGCCCACTCTCGAACGGCCACCAACCTTGTCTGCCAAGGACCGGACAACAGGGCCGGCCATACCGTCCTGAGGCCGAAACTCCTCCTTCCGCAGGAAAGACTGAAGTTTCTCGGCGTCCCAGTCTCGTGGCACTCCGCGAATGCGAAATGCCTTGCCGGCTCTCGCTTGTAGTTCTTGTTCACCAGCGGCCTGCGGCTCTCGTCGTCGTGACCTTAAGGAGCGTTAAACCGAAACTATAGTAGACTAATGGAAGAGATTGGCTAGCCTCAAGGGAAGTTGCTGTTCACAGTGATGGAGAACGTGCGATTAGACCAACATTCCGGGCTCACTTGCAGAGTTTCCGTGCCCATCATAACCATTTTGCTGAAACTATTGGCTCCTTACTGAAGCGCGGTCTTGGTTTTTGGCAGAACACATGTCTTGCGTTTGTACTAGACATAACAGTTCCACCTTCCTGTAATAAGTGATGAGCCTGGGGCTCCTGAGCATGTTACAAATCTTGAACACGTTGTGCCTTGGCGCCTTGGCCAGCCAGACATGTTCATCAGATTCAAGAGTGGTCGCTATACGAACGAAATGCATCATCCATGATATACATAACGTCCGATAGACCATACACAGGGCTTTCTCACCACCTCAAGTACGGGTAATGACAGTCGGGAACCACAAATCCACTCTTATGGCCGCTGTACCCCTCTATCCCGACGGTCTGCTCCTTCTTCGGCCCGAATTGTACTGTGACGAGCCTTGAGTGTTTTGCATCGCCGAGTGCCGAGGCTGCCTCGAGCTGATGTCATAGGTTGCGATCCGTCCTGCTGTATATGGATGCTTCCTGGGTATGGCATCGTCTGGCGTGTCGACGTCTTGAACCCGAGCATCGAAAGGGTCTGTGGGGAGACGGCACGGGCGGCCTGGATGGCAGAAGGCTGATACTGGCAGCTTATACTGCCGCGGAGGGACTTGAGAACGGACTGGGCATCACCTAAAGCCCGCAGGCGGAAGAGGATGTCGAGAGCCTCGCCCTCGGGTGCGGTGCGCATTATGTGGAGGAGCTCGCCCTGGCGCTTGTGGACCTCGAGGGACTGCTTCTTGATATCGGCGCTGTAGAAGCAATGGACCTGGTGCCTGGCACAGAGGCTGCACTTTGGCCGGCTCCTGTCGCACTTTGGAGGGGAGCGGCCATGGTCAGTGGGGGACAGGCAGGAAGGAGGGCAGAGTGGAAGGAAGAAGAGGAGGCTTACACGACTCTTGCGGCTGCGGCAGCGGTCACAGGCGCCCGAGTTCTGGCGGCGGCTTGCGGCTGACTCGGCGGAGGCATCGGTGGTGGCACTGCTGGACTCTCGGGGAGCCGGCAGCAATGGCCGAAGGTTGGCACCACTCATGGGTAGTGCGAGGTCAGTGGCTGGCAGGCAGGCCTGAGGCTTGCGACGTTGCAGGAGAGGCGTGGGGGAATGGGCGCGCGGGCGGCTGGGGGACTGTGTTGGCTAGTGCTTAGTGCCGCCAGAAGACGTGTCGCATGGAGTGCCGGGACAGTATACCGGTCATGCACTCCTGACAGGGATAACCTGCAAGGGCGCCATCTCTGCCGGCGACTAGACCGCACATGCTGGACAGACGCGAGGTCGACACTCTCGGGGATAGCGCTCGACACGATGACGCTTACCTAAGCTGCCGTGCGCGTCTTGCGTCACGTGAAAGTGGCATGGGGGGATAACGATATGTGACGCAAGTTATCCTGTTGGCCACGAGCCCAACCTCCCAGTCGACAACAACTTTGTCACCACAAAGCCACTCTTGGTCCGCAGTGCAAGTCAGTTCTTGCTCACATCCCACAATGGCCGGAGAAAGTCGCCACAACCTGGCCAATTCGCACGACTACCATCTCAATGGCACGTGGGCCCCGGCGTCGAGCTCTGCCAAGTATGTGTCCTCAGTGCCGCTCTCTGCAAAAAATGACGAGACTGACGAGGCACGACAGCTTTTGTGCAGAGGACTATGACATTACCCGGTACATCGCCGAGTTCATGAACTCGCTCACAAACCTGACATACAGTAAGATTTCCCCAGCCGGCTCCTCCTGGCACCCATCACGAGCGGGTTGCTCACTGATCCCGCGCACAGTCTATTACGCTCTCGTGTACATGTACGGGCCCGGCAGCCGGGGCATCTGGTCGCCGAGGTACGACTTCATGTCCGTCTCGCTCATTGTCCTGGGCATCTCGTCCTTCCTCTTCCACTCCACGAACCGCCACACAATGCAGTTCGCGGATGAGCTGGCGATGCTTGTCCTTGCCTGGGCGATATTCCACTCCATGTGGACCAACGGACCTTCCAGGGCTTCCAGTACAGCCTCCTCGCCGTCGTCCTACGAGACTCTGGTCAAGACAACTCTCGCCGTCTTCTTCCCCGCATTTGGCGCCTTCTACGTCTATACGGGAGAACTCGTCTACCACTACGCCTGCTTCCTTGGATTGGTGGCTCTCATCATCGCGAGAGGATACTATCTGTTCTGGCTGCGGACTCCGGCCTTTCCAGAAGCAAAACGAAAAGAGTGGAAGGTCGGTGGACGCAAAGCGCTCGCAGTCCTTGTGCTCGCGTACGTCCTTTGGAACATTGACCTTGAGTTCTGCGGGGAGCTCCGAGCGCTGCGCGCGCGTGTTGGTCTGCCGTGGGCTTGGCTTCTGGAGCTGCACGGCTGGTGGCATATCATGACCGCATACAGTGCAGCTAAATACATGGATATCTTGAGAGAGATTCAAGACGAGATCGGGCGGGAGAAGCAAGCGTGAACAACGATAGTGCAAGCTTCATGCATATGTGCACCTGTGTAAACTTCTGGATGAGGTGGCACGCACCTTGGTACATAGTTTCATCTCCCTTGGTGGGGTGGCTTCTACATGAGTACAATGAGACGGCTCATGGGAGGTCTGGAAATTCGCACCTGAACTCTGGAACAAGCAGCGGGTTTCGACAACTCAGCGCCCGTGGCCATTGAGTCGTTTTCACCACAGGCGGGTTCCGAGAAATACTTCTTCCTCTAGCTCTCGATCCAGAAGATTGGAGTGTTAAAGGCGGCGAAGGGCTCACCGATTACATGAGTGAGAGGTCAGCCTGCCGCTGAACTCGTCACGTAAGGTGTGTTCCTAAGACAGGCCCTGGTGTTCATAGTCTACCTGAAATCAGTCTGCAGCAACGACGTCCTTCGCGATCATGTAGCTGCACGCATCACTCAAGACGTATGCACCGAGAACATGATCATTTCAAGACAGTCACAAAACGAGACTAGACACAGTTCTCTCATTGTGTGCATTTGGCTTTTGCCAGATCATTATTCATTACTGCTTTTATCTTCTAACAGACCCAGTTCAATGGAATCCCAGAGACAGGGTGTACTTGAGCGGCGTCTTGCCTGTGATCAAGACTTGATCGCCTACAAGCTCGAGCTTGCCGTTCATCCACGAGTACTGCTCGCCGGCGCCACCGAGGATGACGCCCTTGCCCAGACCCGATCCGAAAGTGATCGAGTCCTTGCCGAATGTGTACGTGCCAGTGCCGTTAACGAGGTGGAACTGCTTGCCAGCGTTATCGGCAGACCGGATGTCCTTCGCGAGCGGCACGAGGGCGTCACCGCTGCCGCCGACGGTTTCGTACGAGGAGCCGGTGGTGGTGGTGGTGGTGCCGTTCGTGAAGGTGCCGTTGGTGCGGAAGGTGAGCTCAAACATGACCTCAACATCCTCCTCGCCAGTCACCTCGAATTCGAGATCGTAGCCGGCCGTGGTGGGGCTGACGGTCACATCGGTCTGGAGGCGACGCAGGCTCTTGGGTCGGTTTTCAAAGTCGAGCATCGCGTAGAAGCGGCCGTCGGGAGTCGCGCGGGACAAGTCGTAGACGCCGTCGGCTTGGAGGTGCTCGGGCTCCATGGGCAGGAAGTAGGGCACCTCGAAGACGTTGCCGAGCTTCGTGACGCCTGTCTCTTTGTCATATTGCAGGCCGCTGGAGCGGAAGTGGCCCATGGTGAAGAAGTTGGGCAGCATGCGGATGGCGTCGAGCACAGCCTCGCCGTTCCAGGCGCGGAAGATGGTCGGGTTAGTCGACAGGCCGGAGCCGAAGCGGTTGAAGAAGGGCGACTGCTCGCCATCGGCCGTGTACCAGTCGGTGCCGCCGAAGACGGAGGTCGTGAGCTTGCCCTTGCGAGCCCGGACGAGGCGGACCGTGTTGTAGTGCTTGTCGAAGTCAACAAATGGCTCCTCGGAGGCCGGGAGGACAGCGGCGAGCTCGGGGCGCTCGATGAGGTTGGCGAGGTAGTCGCCGAGCTTCGAGGGGGCGAGCTTCTCGGTCAGGCGGGCCATGGCGGCGAAACGGCCGTTCTTGTCCTCGAGGGCCATCTCGCGAAAGTGCGGGTACGAATCGGGCAGGTTGACGCCGGGAGACTGTCTCTGGTCCTGGCGCCTGCTGATGATCGTCTCGATCTCGCCAATATGCGAGGCGTGCTCGATGATGAGCTCGAGGTTGCGGCGGACGTAGGAGCGCAGCTCTGGGCGACCGAGCTCGTGGGCGACACTGATAAGGCCGGGATTGGTTACAGCTCCGTAGTAGATGGGACTGCGCTCGCTGTAGATGCCGTCGGCGTCGATGTCGATCTTCTCGGCGAGCCACTGGTCGATGCGGCGGACGTGCGTCTCGTTGCCGGTGATCTTGGAAATGTGAGCAAGGGCACCACAGAGCTTCCAGCGATGGTTAGGCGTATGAATGCCACCCCACATGCCGGGTGCTGCCTTCTCGAGCATCTTGCGGATGATATTCGCGCGGCCCTGAGACCCGGCGTGGTCGTCCTTCTCGAGGATGCGGACGAGGATGCTGTAATCGTCGATGAGGAAGCCGGTATCGGGAGGCGAGTGGCGGTTGCCAACCGAGTACAAGCCGTCGTCAAACTGCAAGCGGACGAGGGCGTCGAGCATCTCGTCAACCAATGGCAAGATGCTCTCGTCGTGGTAGTAGGTCGAGTTAGGCCAGACGAAGGGGGCCATGAGCTGGCGGACGGCGTGAGCGACTCCGCGCGGCTCGCCCGCAAAGATGTCGTCCTTGCCCTTGATGATGGACTGGACCGTGGCATCGGCGGCCTTGGTCAGGACCGCCAGAGACTCCCAGTCGAGCGCTGCTGGTGCATCCTGGCGCGGGTTGAGGGGCGAGGCGGTCGCTGAGACCGCGAGCAGCGCAAGGCCCAAGATGCGACGAGGAAACATGGCGACGAGCAGAGATGACACAAGACGGGGACGTGCCAGGATGGAGAGATCGACATGGACTGCAGAGGACGACGTTGCATCCGGGCCTCTTTATACGTGTTGAGAGGGGGGGGGGGGGGGATGTGGTCCCGTCGCCGGATTTCTTTGCTGTTCATCGGCACAAAGCTACCCGAGGCTCCGCGAGCGAGTGCTCCTTCTCCACATGCTGCCTTCGAGCAAATTTCACAAGCACGGACTCTTCCCCGTTGACGAGCAAGTACAGCTTATTGTTCAAGGGCTCAAAACCCCTCCTCACTACCCCGCCCAAGAACCCCACATCACCTGACTGATGTGGGGTCTTGCCCGAACGCATGTGCAGTCAGGTCCAGCCAATGCTCACTTGTCACGTGGACGGCGTCGCAGCAGGCTCTCAGGCAGTCTCTGCCAGCAAGCTCTTCACAGCACATGTGTCCTGTCGTGTTGTGGTGGCGTGTTCGCGGAACAGCTCAGCGATAACCATCGGGTCAAACGACTCTGGAAGCTCCCTGCCACGGGATTTGAACATCGTTGCCATAATTCTCATGATGAATTCATTTCGCGAGATCGAAGTCGTATTTGGGGTCTACCATCGCTCTAGAGCTTTCTGTCCCACACTTGGAGCCAACAACCTATTGCTGAAGGGCAACAATCGAGGTCAAACCAGCAGATCACCACTATGGAATCCTGAGTCTGCTATTCCCCTATGACGGTGGACGCAGGTGTGACGACCAGCCAACAGGGGAGAAGTTGTTTAGGCTACAGGCAGCACAAACAATACCGCATGTCGGGCGAAGGACAAGGGCAGGCATAGCGGGACAAGAGGCTGAGTCATCAACGATAGGGAACCACGATAAGAAGGATCACTGGCTCACGGAGTGATCCGGTCAGCCTCACTCTTTGATCACGGTAATCCAAGGGACGGCTCACGGTAAGCTAGCAACACATAGCTCACAAAGCTAGAGGATGACGGAGTATATGTTTCAGATAGTTTCCTTAAGCAGATAGTCGTTAGCTATATACTTCAGCGATCAACGGCTTCGTGAGTTCGTCCTTGGGCGCCAACTACTGATCGTGATTATATTAAGCGTTCTGAGCGAGGCATAGGAAATTTGGGTATGGCGTGCCAAAGATGTCAAAGGTGTCACTCACTTCGCTGCAGGCTTGAGCAAAGTGTGCCGAAATTGCAATTCTTGTCCATGACGTGGGTGTCATTCCCTATTCTCGCTGCGCCGAAGCTCTCATGCGGCCAGAACTCAATTTGGAGCGACAGATACTGTGCTATGTGGTCACTCGCACACTGAGTGGTTCGAGATCACCTTCTATCAGGCTAAGCAAGTCGATGACGGCTACGTAGAGATGTGGAATCTGCACGAGTCATACGATGTAAGTGGGCGGCTGAGTGGGCTGTGGGTGCGCGTTTAGAGTTTGTTGGCCATGGCGGCTTGCGAAAGGCTGGTGGCTAGAAGGCCCAGATTGGTGGTCAGAAATCGACAGACCAGAAGTCGCTCGCGCTGAAGAATGCCTGCCCACGGTTGAGTTATAGAAGGCCGCTCTGTCGTGGCAGTATGCTCTGCGCCGCAGATCTTGGGCGGCACTCGGTGTACAGCTGAGAAACGCCAGCCCGTTATTCGTTCTGTGGCTGCCCTTGTTTGCTGATATTCGCCTTGCTGGTGTGTCAATCTTGCCGATATTTAGGTCCGCCAATAGACTCGATCGCGCAAAACCTAGTTTACTTGGCTGGAAGAGCTGAGAAGGAAGGCACATTATAGTTGGAGCCGGCCGTGATGTTGGGGTTTCAGGCTTCAGACCCGGTCTCGCCTATAAGCGCTTCGACCGACGGCGAACCTCATTGGACGTTGCGGGGCCCCGCGTCTGTCTGCGTCGTTGGTGGCGCTGCACGAGGATTGTGTATGGACTTTCGCCTGGAGAGCCTCTGGAGATGGAGTCTCTCAATTGTCCAGTAGTCATGGTCTTCAATTTCAGACCGTGCCTGACATGGGTCGGCGCCCAGAACGCGAGCAGCTTCCTGCTTAGTTCTGCAGCTTGTTGTGCATCTCGCTCGCTCTGAGACAATATCTTTCGTACCTCGGAGAGGTATACGTCGGTTTCGGTTGTTCAGTATTTACCACTTTTGATAGCGCTGCGGTGTTGATCGACCTCGTCCCCGGAGTAAGTTTGGTACAAAATGCTACACTTCAATGCTTCGAAGTCTGGTTGTGGAGATAGTTCTACATAAGGGGTCCGGTTGGCATCCTGTCTTTCGATTTTGGCGAGCTTTTCTTGCAATGTGCTCGCTATGAAGAGGGCGCTGTTGGCAGACATGCTTGCAGAGCGGCTGACGAGCTGGCATTAGCTCATCAGAGCATCGAGCACTGAGCTGAGAAGAAGTTGGTGGCACGGGTGTACTTGTTAAATTGTTTGCGAGGACCGCGACAAGGGACGCGACAGTCGCGCTTGTAGCTGATTCACATTCATTAGACCCACGGAGCATTTTGGGGCACCAGCCACAGCACCTAAAGTACCTCCCTTCTTGAGCGCCACCTCGAGTCGTAGCGCCCTGCAGCGCCCCGATAAGATACTTCGGCACCCCGTGAAATCACCTGTCACAAATTAGTCTAGGTACTTCTGAAGATTCCGCCTCTGCCATCAATGAGGCCTCCTTCCGCACAATTATTATGCTCGCATACGTAGAGATGTGCACCATCACGTCAGCGGCTGTACTCATCTCGCCTTTGTAGAATTCGCCCTAGTGTTTGCATCGAAGCTAATCTTGGCACAAGCCTGCGGGCGGCTGCAGCTTATCAGCGGCCTTCGTTGAGGTCGCGTCAATCACACTTTGGTTCAAGCCCAGCAAGCCAATAGAAATTGAAAAGCAGCATCAAGTTGGACATGTCTCGGCGTCTCTGAATGGTACTGTAGCTCTGGCACAGCCCTTCCCTAGCGGCTCTGGTCAAGCGAGGATCCAGTTTTGGCATCTGCCGACAGGCGTGTTGAGCTGCTTGTTCGGGCCACCCGCAGGTATATCAGAATTATGGTTTGGATTAGTAACCGTTCAGACAGGCTTTGACATTGCATGGACTGCGGCGTGTCCACACTAGAGGCCATCCAAAAATAGCCTTTAGTGCCCAGAGGAAATGATCTGGTTGTTCGTCGCTGTATGTATTACTTTGGAATTCAATCAAAGCCATACTGTATCAGACAGCGACAGATGTTCAGAATGTTCATTGGAACTCAAGTCTCGTTCAATCCCCTGTCAGTGCTCCACTTGTGGAGGATACTTATCGTGGAACAATCTGCACAGTGAACGCCAAAATGCGCCACACCCGGGTGGTTCGTGCGGAAACATCAACTAGTGTGTCAAAAGCGGACACACGTATCGGTCGCTACTGTACTATGTCATCGACTCAGCTTCTTGCATGCCGATGGGCGCACCTATTGGTCTCCCAGCACCGCGTCAACCACGGCTCTACGTCAAGCTCCATATGTGGCTTCCCGTGGTGCGACTCCATATATGGCCATCCCCAGATGTGGATGCGGCTCCGCATATCAGATGTGATCACATTCTGGGTGGTAGCGCCTCTGGATTATTATGGAGCTACCGATAAGCTTGGAGGCGAAAGAGCAGTCGCGTTGTTCACTGTGAGTAACAGCTTGCGAACATGCTGTAAGTAGTAGGACCAGGGATGCGCGTGGATCGAGAAGGAAGAACAGAAACGGGCTAGTGAGACTGGCAACAAGCGATTAGGCGTATACGCACTCGCATGTCTCTTCAGGGGTTCTGTGCTGTGCCAAAGCACGACGACCACGCGGTTCAACTACGAGTAGCAAAGCCCGTAGAAGTATCAAACTTGACGAAGCGCAACTTTCTATTCATGTTCAGGCGTACGACAGAAGAGATAGCCTTTTATAGTATATGATGATTGCTGTAGAAATTTGTGTTTCCTCTTTAGTTTGGCGATTTATTAGAGTATCGTTTCTCTCTATTAGCTTCCTCATTTAATTGCCAGTGTGATACCTCTTCCAACGACGGAACACGATGTCCGGGACACAGTATCATCACGTCCGGCTCTGCCTAATTAACGGTATAGCGGTCCCGAAGCCCGTTGAAACGGTAGTGAACAGAGACTGAACCGTAACACCTAAGCAATCAGTAACCTATATTATTTTTTGGCTAACAGGCTTATAAATGTATGTAAAGATTGTGCACAAAGTTTATACAAGTAGATTTATGATATGCAAGCTAATGTTGTTGCTAAACTTTGGTATGAGCTATCATAATTGCACTAGTGCAGTAGTATGCTCCGAGATCGGTCAATCATGAATGGATGCATGAGTCAGCCATTCCAAAGCTCAGTCCTCATCAGTTGCGCTCAGTCGCGGGTGGGTACAGCTCAGGTGAGGCTCAGGCCGTCGGGCGAGGAAGGCATTTGGAACGATTCAGATTAGCTTGCGATTATGGGGGTATTTCGAGTCGACCTGTCGGCCAGGCACAGAGCGGGGATTGCATTTCAGGGTAGGACGTCTACTGACATTATCCCACTTATCACCCAGACTGATCTTCAGTTCAGGATATTCAGTTTGTGGTTTTCTACAACGAAGAGGAGAAGCCAGAGCTTGGTTTTAAGCTTGTTCGTGATGCGAAAGGAATGACGGATATTCCTAATGAAAGGTAGAACACTAATAAGCCTTACTGAGATCGATGCTAATCCAAAAACTGCAGGCCTCAGCACGTTATTTACGAGGGAGACTCTCCTGGTCCCCTCTTCCAGAACGGAATGCTCTTCCATCTTGCTTTCCTTTTAGCAAAGAATGCGCTAGAAGGATATGAAACGATCGACAAACTCTTCGCGAAGAGACCCTTTTCAGGGGACAGAATTTCGATCATTCCATGGAGAAAAGGCATAGAGGACGAACCCTTCTATCCTAGCGCATTCAGCAAAGGTGTTGAGCGAGCGGGCCCGATCTCTCGCCGTATCAGAGAGCTTGGAATACGGGCCGGCTACGCTGAGCCGCCACGCACGCATGACTTCAGGGCCGGTAGCTTGCTACGTGTTTGTAAGTGCCGAAACCTTCTTCACCGAGACTTTCTTCAGGCACAAATAGCAATTGCTTATAATGCTCGACTAGCAAAACATCATACGGAGGCAGAACGCAGAAAACATGCCGGGCAGAAGGACAACGGCACCTACGATAAGCATTACGCATCAACACTTGCGGCAGATGGACAAGGTGCATACTTCACAGGCCGTTCTCGCAAAAGCGTGCTCGAGCTATTCCAGGATCTATCAATTCGCCGCAACCCTTTTATGTTGCAAGCACTCCCGGCCCAAAGTCGTGCCGAGTTCGAAGACTCGGAGCCGATCAAAGAGCTTCAGGCCGAGCTGCGAGCAATTCAGCGGGGAGACGCGAATGACGATACGGCGAGAAAGAGAAAAACGGAACTATATCGCATGCGACGAAGACTCGAGACCGAAGCGTGTCGGAAATTACGAGAGCAGCAAATTTTGACACCGTCTGAAGCGAACACCGAGCTCTGTTACCACCGGAGCTATTTTGACCGGATACGCTATCTCATGCCTGAAAGAGATCGACTCGCCAACACTCTATTCCAGCCCGCTCAGCTGCGCGACTCACTCGGACGAAGCGCCCTTGCGGATTTGATTGCGCTTTGCACACAGACGCGCGAGGTCCAATTTCGGCCAGGGTTGGAACCAGACAAGTGCAACTGCAACAAAAGCCAAGAAGATTACGATTTGAAACATGTCCACAACTGCTACAAGGAGCGACAATCGGTCCCGACGACTTTTTGCTTCATATGCCATCAGTGGATTTTTGGAAAGACGGAATGGAAGGCACATTGCTCAGCACACTTGGGCGACTTGGACACTATCCCGAAATTCTGCGACCCCCTCACCTACGGTGGAGTGCTCGCAGCACCTGGGCTTTGTCCATTCTGTCTCGGGAACGAAAACATGCCGCCCGAGGTTCGGTTCCATCAATTCATTCACATTCCCGCATGGAAAAAGCATCTGAGCCGTTGCGTTCAGAGTCGAAAGATTGCGGTAAGCAGCGGTTCTTCGGCGCAGTATAGTCATCTGCACTGTCAGGGAAGACCGCCATTTGCCTCGCTACAGAAGCTCCTCTTCCATATCGAGGATGCCCACGGCTGTCAATTGAGCTAAACCCACTCCGATATCGACGATGGAAAGAGGAAAAGAGAAGCAGAAGATCAACAATATTTCAGGGGCAAGAGAAGTCGTCAAACCTTCCCATGCTCTACCATGCCTTTGTCAGCTTCGAGATACCGTTTCATCGAAGTCACCCAACACTCTCTAGCCCCTATCAAAGTCAGATCACCAAGTCAGACCAGCGAAGAGCTTCCGGGAACACAGGACGAGAGTCTTCAGAGCACGGCAGTCCAGAGGTCAATTCCTGATCAAGCATCAAAAATTCCTCTCTATAAGGATGAAGCCCAATGTCAAGAGGAGTTCGTGGAAAATGAGGAACCACTCTGACAGACGGAAGCCGGACCGTTGGAACCCGGTTCTAATCTATACGCGGTAGAAGAGCTTGTTGGTCGGAGGAAGAGAGGCAGAGTTATTGTATATAGGGGTTTAGTGGCGGGGGTGGCCAGCGTCAGCCAACAGCTGGGTAAAGAAGAAGGACATCGATCCGGCTTTGGTTAAGGCATATGAAGATCGATCGTCGAGAAAATAGATTGTATTCTCGCATTCTTGAGAAAGACGTATTTCTGTCCGATCCTAAGCTATTGCTATAGCAGCTGCCGCCAAAGAATTTGACGACATCCGACGTATATAAGTCTGGAGTTGGCCACTTTAGATAGTTGTTACTGCATGTTGATGCTGCTGTGTCGTAAGCAATTGCGAGGTAAAATCAGACTCCCCGAAGCTTAGAGTTTTCTGGTAGGGGGATGCCGCGACGTAGCATTTCCTGAAAGGCGCACATGCGGAGTCCGCTGTCTTAAAGCCGCGGTTGTGGACTTGCTATAAAGATTTGAATAGCTGAGTCAAGTCGTTGAAGCTGGTCAGCTTCCATTCTGTAGAGCCTTCCGTCCATGCCCTGAATGAAAGTTGGGATAGTGAGTGGTTGTGGATTATGCAGCAGAAGGGTCTTGCCCTGATCTATCTGGATGTGGTATCTTGGGACTGCAGTGCCGGGTTGGTTCATGGTGCTTTGCTGCACCTCGTTGGAGGCTTGTTTGATAATCAGATTCTGCTGAGATGTGAGGGAAGAAGAGGAGAGGGAGGCGGGGGCGGGGGCGGGGGCGGGGGTGGGGCAAATCAAGTGAGCCACCTAGCTCTCCTTCATAAAGGTGGGCCGGCAGCTCTAGTATCGCATCATGACTAGCCGAGGAGTCGGCCGGCTAGGGGCAGCAAGCACGCGCAATCCATAGCTACAACTCAACGACATCTTATCGCCTTCACTATTGCAATCAGTATCCAAGTCCGTATTCAGGGACTTCGTTTCCGACCAGGATCATGTCTAATATATGTCTAGTAGATCGGGAGGGCGTGCGGTAGAATTATCATGTGCTGCCGTGCACCACGCGCTTGTCCAGCTTACGTTGGGCTATACTGAGTCGTCATGTGGAAAACAGTTGCAATCGCAGCTATGAAGAAGCATGCTTGAACGGCTTGCACTACCGCGGTATGCTGCTAGTCATTTCTGGCGAGTAATTGTGACGGGGGCAGCCGCCACTGTACAGCTAGGTTCAGGTTCAGCGTCTCCAGTGACCAGTCGGAGAATAAGCGAAAGTGGAGCCATGAACAGTGCCGAGTGATCAGGATTAAGTACCCTGCCGTGGAAAACCTTAGCAGTCGCTATTTTTGGCGCCCTTGACCATGACTCACAGATCCCCACTCAGGCTCCACAACCCATCAAAACTGCCCAAGCGAAGTTCTGCGTCTCTCTCGGTTTCTCAACCTCTATATATCGCTGTTGGTACGGCCGATGCGGGAAATGGCTCCACGACTCTCCGACTCTCAACACGAACTGGCCGAATCCATGATCCGCCGAAGCTTTACAAATGAAGCTATAGCTAATGCTATCTCTTGTACTACGCGCGCCGTTAGCCGAGCACGAACGACCTACGCACGATATGGAACCACGAGAATGGCATGCAAACGGACTGGCCCTAATCCGAAGATCACGCCTTCAATGCTAATGGCACTTTGCCACAAGCTCACAACCGAACCTGATATGACTAGACATGACATAGTGGACTTCCTGAGTAAACGTTTCAATGAGGATGTATCCGTGACCAACATCACTCGTGCTTTAAGAAAGAGCAACATGACTTGGAAGGCAATGCGTCGTGTAGCCGAACAACAGAGGCCCGAGCTACGACACTTCTACCAATACAGGCTCAAGAAGCTTGGATGTCGATCATATCATCTGGTCTTTATTGACGAATCTGGATTTGATAAACCGACCATGTTTCAGCGAAAGGGCTGGGCTCCGGAGGGGGTCACACCTGTGCACAGAGCTAGATTTCAGCGCGGACCCAGGCTGCAGCTCCTCGCGGCATATTCTCAAAAGGGTGTAGTATTGTCCCGTTTCTTGCATGGTAGTGTGGACAAGCCCATCTTCGAGGACTTTGTGGAGCAACTGCTACGCCACTGTGGTAAATGGCCAGAGCCTGAGACCGTCCTCATAATGGATAATGTTTCCTCCCACTACTCCCAGAAGATTCGACAGATGTGTGAGGACGCCTCTGTGAAGTGGGACTTCATTGCACCATACAGTCCGAGAACTAATCCCATCGAGGAGTTCTTTGTGAAGTGAAGACACATATGAAATCACAACGTAAGAATCACCAAAGTTTCATTCAGAGAGATTTCGAAGGGTATGTGAGATCCTGTGTCAAAATGGTGGGTGGAAGACAAAGCAGTGCTGAGGGTCATTTTCGAAACGCTGGGATTTACGTAGAAAGTCATGCTTGAAAAATGATTGAGTTCGTTCTAGGGAAAAATCACTTATTGCACCGCGATATCATCTGCCCACTTCTGCACCCAGTTCACAATCGAGCGGCAACGCCTTCCAAGACCCCGTTCGCGACTAGCATTTTTTGCCCCTCCTTCTGATTGGCGTGCAGCCATTTAAGATCATATCCTTTAGCCACGGTTACCTCGCCCGCCAGCTTTGTCGCAGCTTGCCAATGCTGATTGGAGACTCTAGCGCTCAGCCAGTGGGCGTATACAATGGGTGCCGTATCATCCGGCTCCGCGAAGTCTAGCGCTAATGCTGGCTGACCCTGGTCAGAAGAAACAGCAGCCAGATGTTGGTTACAAGAATGTTCATGGCAGAATAAGCGGACATTTATGGACTGCATGTCCGGGCCGTGCCGCTTCCGCTTCTTACGAGCGTCTTCTTCAACCTTGCGTGTCTTAATCAGCTTGCGGATTCCTTGTGGTACGTCGGCATGGGTCTCAAGGGGGCGGCCTTTTTCAGCATGATCGACAAGCCGATCCATGACGTCCGAGTCAAGCTTCCAAGTCAAGCTTCCAATGACGATCGCTCTCCCGTAGGCAGGAAAATCCTCGGTTCGTGTAGCTGACGCTTGTGCACTCCATCAAGCTATACACGTCTTTCCACACGGCGCGAGTACCAGACGCTTCCTGCTGAGCGACTAAGTTGTTCAAGGCCGCAAGGTGTTTCTTTGTCGCACCACGTCCTGCTTTTCCCTTTTGGGCCGACTCTTTACCTTCCTTATAGATGAAGCAAACCACAAGCTTGCTTGTGCCTTCGAAATCCTTCCAAGATCTCAGTTTGTTTTCGACGCCTTCCCAGTCTATTCCCAGTTTCGGAAACCGTCTTGTATACGCAGGCACGCCGCGCTTGGAATTGGTCAAAGTTATTGTTGTCTCGTCTGGCTGAAATTGCGGCTCGGGTACGTTCTCATTCACGGGGATTGAAAGTTCGGCCATCAAATTGTCGTTCCAGTAAGTACCAGGCGCAACATTGACGTCCTCTATAGTATCTTGTGTCAGCGTTGTGATTCTCCCACGACGTAATTGTAGCTTCCATATGTGTGACATTGAGCAGGTAAGGTACGTACCGGTGCTCGCATGGCACCGATGAGTCAGCATTTAGAGCTCCTCCGGAGCATATAAACCGAGTTTCAGAGCTCGCAGTCACTCTTTTTAGAACCTTTCTTTTAGACAGACAACTTTCAATTACCACTGTTGAAATCACTCATTCTGAGCTCTGTCGAGCGCAGGAACGTTACTTGCACGAAACGTAACAGTAATCTATATGCTGAACACCGATAACTATGCGGCCCGAGCCGGGGGCATTGATGCAACGCAAGGTAGGGGATAAAAAAAACCCTACGCAGTACGATGAAGGCATGTGAATTGCAAGGGTCCAGGGAGCAGCCGGCACTCATACTACATCACCCGAGCGGTGGAAGGCCCGTTGTGCTCTTCGGGCGTTAGCACAAGAAGGAAAATAGACGCGGAACCACAAAAGACTGGACAGTCTGTTCTGAGTGCGGTGACCCCACCCCGAGAACGACTGTTGCGCATGATTGCAGCGCCATCAATCACTTGGTTTGCAGGGTTTGATTGGCTTGATACCATTGGATTTCGCGCAGGAACTTAGGCTGAGCGCGCTGCCGGCAACAGACACGATATTGGCTTCTCAGCCCACCATGTCTCTTCGCTACTCACAATGCAATTTCAGGTATGTAACTGGCGGTCAATTATTATGCTTTTTATCGTTGTTCTTGCTCACGCGGACTTGATAATATTAAAGTTTTTGTAACGTAATCCACAAGTGACCCGCCAACTTTAAAGGCACTCGTACGACAATGTATAAGTCAATTCAACCATAACGCCTCAAATCAATTGAAACTATTCAGAATCCTCTTCTCCAGAGGTAGACTCAACTTTCTGACATGTACGAGCATTATGACCGGGCTCCCCGCAGACGCCACAGCGTCGCGCGCGCGTCTCTGTCCTCCTCGCGCGACTACTATTTTGACTCGTTTCTGCCTGTAACTGCTGCGTCGCATCTATTTGGTCCTTTAAGTCCTTTGCCTGTTTAATCGTAAGGGACCCTCCTTTCTGTAATTGCTTTCTCTTCGTACGGCGACGGCGGCTAAGGCGGTTATTTGCATCTCGAAGTTCGACGAGTTCATAGCGCATAAGGGTCTACTCGTGCACCATTATCGAGATTCCTTTGTTTAGCTGCTGTAAGCTTGCAATTATCGAAGAAGGAGAGCTACCCTGATGTCGTACGATACGATTCTTGATGTATTCGGTCTGCGATTCCGCCTCGATCGGGTTATTCGGCGTCTTCGAGACCTAGGGTGGCGGCAGGCCTGCAGAACCTGGCGGAGTTGGCGTATGAGGCTTTGCATCTAGCTGTGAAATGACGTATTCCGGATCGTAGGGTACTAGGCCAGTCGCTCTAAAGCCTGCCTGGATATTCTTTTCCGTAATCGCAGCGCTGTACGCCTTCTGGAAGGCTGGGAGGAAGTCTTCCTTCGATACGTAGGTAATATGCGCCCGTATTAGACCTTCGATTTCTTTCCCGTACGCCCGTTTTAGAGGTCCAAAGCACCCAACATCGAGAGGCTAGAGCTTATGCGACGAATGAGCAGGTATACAGAGCGTAATTATGTTCTGGTCCTTATAGTACATCTCGAAATCGACCGAGTGGTGGCTCTTGTGGCCGTCGAGGATAAGGAGCCGGAAAGCACCCTTCGTACGACTCTTTGTATGCAAATCGAAGTGTTTCGCCCATTCTAGACCTCGCTCGTTCGTCGTCCACCCATTTTCAGAGAGTGCGATTACCCAGTCGGGCGGTAGAGGGCTATCGGACGTCCAGGAGTCGAGGTGGACCTTGCCTGCGTAGATGATGTACGGCGGGATCGAATTGCCGGACGACCCGATACCCTGGATTACTGCAACCTATTCCTGATTCCCTTGCTGTACTGCTCTTAGCTTGCCGCGTCGATCGGAGTTTGTAACGACGGTTTCGGCGGAGATCTTACCTATCGCGAAGCCTGTCTCGTCGAAGTTGTAGATATCGTTATCGTGGATCCCGTATTTCGCGATTACGTTCCGTACGAGGGAAAACCACGCGCGATACGCGTCCGGATCTTCGCAGAGGACTCTCTGATAGTCGATTCTTCGATTAAAACGCGTCCGGAGCTCAGGTCGTCGTCGTACGAAGTTTGCGGCCCAATTAGTCCCGACGCTTGGCGCGTCGCATGCGCGGAGGAGTCGATCCGCCATTTCTCGAACACCACCGAGTCGCGGTGGAAATGATCGCGAATCTAGGTCGATTACGTATCGTACAATGCTCTCTTCTTCGTACGAGGTTAATTTCTTGCAGGGTGGTCGGGTATCGCGTTTTTGCTATGCACCGCGTCTTCGGTCTCGTAGTGTCGTACGAGGTACATGATAGATCTCTGCGGCCTTTTGTACACTTAATGTAGGGTCTGAAAGAAGCGCATTTAGCGCTAGAATAATGTCGCCTTCGTTTGATTGCCGTGGCATAATTTTTGGTAGAGGAATGTGGAATTGAAGATAGCTTGTACGGAAAGACTGGGAAAGTGGGCGGGTCACCCGTGTGGTACGTTATATTACAATGGATAAGCTTTATAAAACCTCCTTTCTGGACTGCTTCGCTACACTTGACTACCGGGACGCTACACATAGCGGAACGAAGGGGAACCCTAACAGTAGGACTATATCGCGCAAGTCCCCCGGGGGTGTGATAGTGGAGAGTCGAGGACAATATCTCGGTCCAGGAAGGAGCCGTTACGAGAGCCGCGCTGGGCGAGGCTGACGAGCTGGCTAAGCACGCTGAACTCGAGCTTAAGCTTGATACTGTAGGTAAAGGGCTTGAAGCTCGTCTGGAGCAAGAAGTTATCAGAGAACTCAAGAGCTAGTATAGTGATGTCCAGAAGGATAATTGCAATATTAACGTAGATGAGCCGCTTCATGAGACGGCGTAGCTTAGCGTTATTACGGGTGTGCTGTCCGATACGTATAAACTTAACCGTCTCCCAGACGTATACGGCCGAGATAATGGTCTCCTGGACGAAGAAGACGGTGAGCTGGATCCTTTCGTACACCTCGTAGGGCCGCTGGAAGGGGGCCGGGTTGTCCGAGACGACGCCGTAGACGAGTATAACGATAGGGATAGCCAAAGTGACGGCGTTAATAATAATCATCCAGAAGATAGCCCGCAGGCGGCGGCCGTCGCGCAGGACGAGGTGGAGTCGCGAGTAGAGGACGACAGACTGGCCGTTAACCATAGTGGCCCAGCCGATGAGGATAAGGGTGGCATTGAGATAGTCGTTGCCCGAGAGCTTGCGGTAGTAGAGGAGGTTACCGACGCCGCTGAAGGCGACGCCCCAGGTAGCGACGCATAGGCTCCAGAAGTAGAGGCCGGACCAGCGCTTGAAGGTGCTGAGGATCCATACTGTCAGCTCGAGGACGTTATATAGCGCGATGCTGATAAAGACGGTCAGCACGTTAACGTGGATATCGTTGAGCGGAGGGCCGCCCACTGGCGCCGCCGGGTTTCCCGAGCTCATTGAGGCGTGGCAGGCCGCCAAGCACGCCGTCGTCGCGATTATTGCCGTCGTTACGTTAGGCGGACGCAATACTGCCCACCAGGATAAGGCCGCCGCGGTGCTGTCCGCGGTCGTGTCGTCGTGGCCAGTGATGGCAAGCTCTTCTGCACCGTTATTGCCCCTAAAGCTAGTGAGCTCGGAAGGATAGCAGTAGCGTCTCTAGGGGACTGGGGACTGTGGAGTCCCCGTAAGCAGCCTTTGGCGTCCAACCGTGCGTAGAGTTATGTCCCTCCTATGATCCACACCATCGACGTGACGGACAAGACCCGATGTGGTGTAGTCTAGAACTCTAAGACACGGCTGAAATCCTGACACCCTACTGTCATTATTCATCGCAGGGAACCCATCAATTGCGCTCAACCCTTACCTCTCCACCCGCCCCACCTTCGAAAATCGTCCGTGCCCTGCCTCCGTGTCCTTCCCATTCTCGACCTGGAGCATGTTATGCTCCACAAATTCCCCTTTACCTCTGTGTCCTCCTTATTCTCTCCTGAGTTTGACCTCAATTTCGCTTAATCCCTCGAATCCCTAAATCTCCCATTCCCACCGTGATCCCGTCTTTGCCCTACACTTATACTGCTCTCCTTTCGCCGACAGGCCTAATCTACGACTAAGAAAAATGCCCGTTACTATGCAGAACTTATAAGTTAACTCGATCCCCGGCCCGGGTGTGCCTTGTAGCCGTGCCGACCGTGTCTTTGCCTACCTGCACCTCTGCGTCGATACCACTTATAACCTCCTTATCTGCCGCCGCTCCGACTGCCGCCACGCTATCTCCCCAATAGGGGACTAGCTGACCGCACACCTCTGGTATAAGTATAATGTCCCGCTCGCCGACCGCCTAGGCCTTACGGAATATGTTCGCGATTACTATCCGCACGGCTTACAAAACCCTAGAGACGCTGCCCTACTAGCCTGTAGCTCCGCGCCCTACCCGGAGCTCTAGGTCTATAATGGCTTTAGCTGTCGCAAGTGCAGGTTCTACACCATTAGCTATCGCGAGCTAACTAGGCACCTTTCCTAAAAGCACCTGGATAGCCAAGCAGTAACTCAGACGCGGATCGATCTGCTCTATGAGTAAGCTAATCTATAGTCCTGGACCAGCGGACAGAACCGTTAATACTGGACTGTGACTAGAGTGGACGAGAGTGTGATTTATCCCGTATCTGGTTATTACGCTATAGGCCACTTATTAGAGACTATATCTAGGCCAGCTATAGTGGCTAGCGAGACCTAGCAAGACAAACGCACGGCTTTCGCGCAAAGCAAGCCATGGCTCGACCGAACTAGGTGGCAGCAGACCTACTGTCCTGGGGCAAGGTGGAATAAGGTGATCATAAAGAAAAACCCCCTATGACCAACTGTATACCACCTGCCGGGCAGGTGTTGCGGTGTTGCCGCAAAGGAGGGAGGCCGGTGGTGAGGGCATCACCGACCCGCACCAATGTGCTACAGCAGCGATTTGGGGAGGGGAGCCAGCACCACCAACCGCATGGTTGGGAGGGTGCAACGGTGAGGAATGGGATGACCAGGGCGTTCCCATTGTACATCCAAAATCTTTGGGGAAAAACAATTGAATTGAAGGAGCTGTTCAAAAGAGGGATCTCTCCTGTGAAGTCGTCGCTGCTGTAGCGATGTCTATGTACAAGAGGTGCGCCTCCTATCCTTAAGGGATTTAAGTACTCTGGCACCTGGAATCACCTGATCAGTCCTGGCCGCACTGCACGGTCACAGTGTTTTGACTTAGAGATTAGCATCATGGATTCATGGCACACACATAGCACTTTGCAATTTTTCGCGTTTCACTTCAGAAATTAATTCAATTCTCCCTTCATTTTGTCGCGTCCTTCCGATTACTAAATCCCTGCAAAGACATTTGCTAAAACCCCAGATTTCGTGCAGTTGAGTCACTGTGCCCTCCTGCTCAAACGGGGCTAAAGGTCGCGATGACCTCACTTTTGGCTCCCTGCGGCAACGCCGGCGGAACTAGTAGGCGGTGCGGTTTCTTTAGTCTTGGTGGTTAATCCACTGAGATCACTAGGTCCACTTGCCCAAGGATACCATCTGCGAACGCAGGTGGGAACAGTGTAAGCCTAGCGGAAGCTCGACCTCTACGGGCTGCTGTATATGGCGGCGGGAGTGTGCACCAGAGCGGACAGCAAGCGTACCCTCAACAATAACGGACAAGATTGGGGAGCATTTCCCTTTCGCCCCACAATATGCACGGGCCTTTTGGTGCTGTGGGGCGGTCTCGAGACTTTCTTGATACAGACGTCGGCGGTTAACCTTGCTCGGCGCGGTTATGATGAAAATCCGCCTGGAATGTTGCTGGCGCTTGGATATTCCCTCTTCTTACTGGTAACGCTTTTAGAATTCTATAGATTTCACAGGGGGCTGCGGGACAGCCTCCACAATCTCGCGACGAATGACTAATCATCATTCCGAATCTGGAGTGGTGCTCCCTAACCCCTGTCCAACCTTAAATGAACGTCCTACAGCCGAACAAGGACAAAGTCGGGTTTTCTGCAACCAAGAATAAACCACTCCAACTTGTTTGCGTCGAAATGGTCTAAAGAGCTTGGCGGACCCCCTCACACCTAGAGCCACTACTCCATAACCATTGGTAGCGGTACAGCTGCACATGGCTCGCCAAGAGCCCCGCTCAGCGACACTTGCCGTCGGGCAAAAGGGGGACTTACCGCGAGAGACATCTTCCCAGTATCACAGTGAGGTATATGGAGCGTATAGTTGCTTTCTTTGTACCTAGACACTCTACTGGGTCATGCGGCAACACCAAGATAGAGGTAGCATTCACATCTCTCACAGTTCGATTGATTCTCTCCCATTCCTTACGTGTGCACCTTACGAACCCTCGTGTTGGTGGTACTAGCTCCTCAACTACAGCCGAGTAGCTATCTTCGACCGGTGAGGAAGCTTATAGCCGGTGCTACTGCCCAGTGGTCTTCTCTTTTTCCTCCAGTAGCCTGTAGCGCTCCTATCCTACCTTACTAGGGGACAAGACCGTCACGTCACTAGAGAGATGGCAATGCCCTGCTGGAGCGCCGTCCATGCCATCTCTCTAGTGACGTGACGGTCTTGTCCCCTAGTAAGGTAGGATAGGAGCGCTACAGGCTACTGGAGTCTTGTAGAGTCGTTTGCATACACTTAGCAGTATATTGACTTCGCCCTGCTTACAGACCTATAGGAAAGTTCCCAGCTGCAGGCAGGGTTTCAGGATGTCCCTATAATAATCCCCTGTAGCGGACAAGACTATGCGGACGTAGCAGACCGTGATGGAGTCTGTGCCGTGTGAGGTTGAGGAGGCTTAGGCTGTGTATTTCTCTGCTTCTCCTAACGTGGCACTGGTGTGCTATGGGGGATTTCTTGTTGGATTGGTAGTGGCCTTAAGGATGTTGTTTGGCGAGTTCAATCTGAACAGGACAGAGTCTGTAAGGAGCTGTACCTTTCGTGCTTGTCTTCGATAACCTGGTCGCCGGAAGGAGAATCTAGCTCATGAAATCCACGTAAAGTGAACCATAACACGACCAGCTTATCCAACCGCCAAGGAAAAACTTGTCAACACATTCTGTGAACCCCAAAACGGGGGAAATATTGACCCCGAGTCCCCGGCTCTCACATCCACAATGACTCAGCGTGAGTTTCAAGCTTTTGACAACTCCAACTCCAACCCTCGACGAAGCCTGTAAGGCCAGGGACAATCGCACACTCTTGTGTCGTCTTTCAATAGTTAAAGTAGAGAGATCCTCGGGTATCGACTCCTCCTCACATATCTCAGAAACGATATGTGGAGCCGTGTTTGGAGGAGGGGACCCGAGACGAGCCGGCGGTAATTAAGTCAGTGAGTCGAAGGTAGTATTTACAAACCAGTGCAAGCCCCCCCACAGAGTTGTGGAGAAGGTGGGAGAATGAGCTTACAAATGTCGTCACTTTTTGTCTGGTTGGAGAGACCGGGGTAGTCAATTCATCTCCAACAGTTGGAGAGATGGAGTAGAGGTGTCATCAACTATGGGATTCTCATGCCCGAAGATCTTATAAAAGTACTTTACCTAAGGTACTCAATAGCAGCAATTCGTCTCAGCATCTTTCACAGCCATCCGCCTCTTCCATAACAAGATCGCACGGCAAGCCACCTGAAGACACAGCAAGCTTGCACCGCATCGCCATACAACTCTTTCACGATAACAGCACCTCCAACAATTCACCACCGCCCAGCAAACCCTCCACCAACATTCAAATCGCCGCCACAATGTCGCCGTCCACCCAGCGCGCCGACCTCAAGCCTCTGACCCTGCACGCCCACTCGGGGGGCCCGAACCCGTTCAAGATCGCCTCGGCCCTCGAGTTCCTCTCGCTCCCCTACACCGTCAAGGTCTGGGACTTCAACGACGACCCTACCACCGGCCTCAAGGGGACCACGTTCCTCACGACCATCAGCGAGAATGGGCGCGTCCCGGCCCTCGAGGATCCCAACGTCACCGTGGACGGGGGCAAGCCCGTGATCAGCTGGGAGAGCGGCGCGTGCATGAATTACCTACGCCGCGTATACGACGCCGATGGCAAGGTCCTAGGGCCCCGGAACGCAAAGGGCGAGACGGGCAGCGGTAAGGTGTCCGAGCAGGACAGGGTGGATTTCGAGAAGTGGGAGTACCTGCTCCTGACGACCGTGGGGCCGATGATGGGGCAAACGAACTGGTTCAGGTGAGCACCTCGGTCGTTTCCACCCAGGTTGATACCTCGGGGTAGTTGGTATGCTGACACATGACGGTACAGACACTACAACCCCACGCCGAACGAGGACGCCCTGAACCGCTACGTCGGGCAGGTAAACCACTACTTCGGCCTCATCGAGAAGCAGCTCGCCAAGACGGACGGCGCCAGCATCTTGCCTGGCGGCGTCACCGCTGTCGACCTGCACTACGAGGGCTGGATCCACCAGACCGCGTACGCCGGCATCGACATGCAGCCGTACCCGCTGTTGGCCAAGTGGGCAAAGATGATGATCGAGCTCGAGCCGGTCAAGGCTGCGTACGCAAAGATCAAGGCTGCTGCGAAATAGTGAATAGTATGACTGCAGAAGCTTGGGCAGAAATGATGGAAATATCTTGAAAGTATCGTAGCTCTGAAATATGAAAAAAGCATCCATTCCAAAACTCCTAGCGCCAAGCACCAGACAGCATGAACGCGTGCAGACGAGCACGCTGTACTCAAGAGTGGAGATATGTGGAGAAACAAGACAGACTCCGAACACCTAATACAATGTTGATGGACCTCGTAAGCGGGAAGAAAATGTTAAAAACAAAACACGTAAAAAAAAGAAAGAAAAAAATCATCGCGTGCCACGGCCAAGTCTCATGGCAGCAGCTTGTATCTGACCTCGATCGATGCTAGGTGTGCTTCCAACCAGTGCCTCGGGAGTTGGCGAATCGTTGCCAGTGGCCGGAACGAGCCTCTATTCTCGCATGGGCGCATCCATGCCAGGCCAGAGATCGGTGGGGATGTACTCGGCCACCTCATGGCGGAAATATTCTCGCTGGTGTCGATCTTCTGCGACAACTTTGTCGATACTGTCTTTGGCCTTCTTCCAGATGGACAGGACTTTGTCCTCCAGGGCTCTGCGTCTCTCGACTTCGAGGATGAGCCCATCATACGAGCCGGCATACGTTTCGTAGAAGGCCTCCAGCTGCCCCATCTCCTCCATCTTGTCTTCGATGGTGTTGTGCTCTTCTACCCAACGATGTCGGAACTCTGTCTCGGCAGCCACATAGCTGCTGAGGCGAGAGCCGATGTCTTCGAGCACTCTGAAGCCGTCCAGTGTTGCCATATACGTTGCTTTTACGCGATTCGTTTGTTCGTCGAGCTGTGCCGCCTCGGCCTCCATTTCCTGGATTCTCTCAGTCAATTCTTGCAAGACATCCTCTACCTCCGAGGCATCCTGGACAAGCACTTCAAGCATTTGAGCCCTGTCCTCGTGTGTCATGTTCTCGAATTGGCCTGCCATATGACTCTCCTGGTCGGCAATAACCCCTGATATTGATACGTCTTCGGTGCCGCCTTGCGACGCTGACGCTTCAGCAGCTTTTATTCGAGCCAAATCCGCGCCTCCGTCGGTGGTCCGAACTGCTGTGACACAGAAGTCGAAATGCTTGGTGAGTGACGCAAGCAGCTCAGCCATCGCATGGGAGTTGTTGACCATCGACTCGAGCAGATGAAGAAGCGACTGCTGATCAGCGGAAGCGGACGGTGACTCGGGCGCGGGTATCGGGGCCAGAGCTTTGCTGAGGTCTCGTAGGTCGGTCTCGAGTCGAAGTAGATCGCCATCAAAGGAGGTTTGTGTGCTCTACCATACATTCGTCTCTGTCAGCAACCGCATCAGCGGCGGGAGCGGGAGGGAGAGGGTCCTACCTGCAGTGCTGCAATATTCTCCTTGAGGGCGTCCCTCATGGCATCAACCTGAGCTTCATCCACAAAGTCAAGCAGGTCACGAGGTTCCTCACCAGGGGGTCTGAAGGCCTTGTCAACGATGCGCTTGCGGAGGACGGCCATTGTCTCTTCGAGCCGGGAGTTGGATGCATCCAGAGATTTGATGACAAGCTTGAACTCGCGCTTGCCACTGTCGTAGGTCCGGATCATGGATTTGCGGATGCGGAGGAGTATGCGAACCTGGTCGCTAATGCCGTGGCGCAGGAAACTAGATTGTGCCGCCAGGATGACGGACTCTTCGTGGGCGACGCGAGCATTGTGGACGAGCTCGTTGGCACGGAGCACGAGGCCGATGGAGGACAGCGATCGCTTCGCATCCAGGAGGTACTGCACGAGTGTCTCAATGGGTATTGAGTCGGCGGTGAAGTCGTACTGATGGCGGTGTTGCGACGTAGATGACCGGCCGGAATGTGGTGACTGGAGAGAGCTGGAGGGTGATGCCATGGCTGCGGCGGACGAGCGTCTGGAGAAGCAGCTGCGATACCGGCACACGGGAAGGCGGTGCCTGTGGCGTGGTCGGGTGTCTTAGAGAAGGGTTCTGGGGAAGTGTTGGCAGAAGTGAGGCTACATCCTCACAAACAAGGCCATGCGCAGATGGCTGATGCGTTCGAGAAGTGGTGTGAGTTGGCAGAGAAGAAGATGCGATGATGAGGGTCACAGTCGAGCTGTCGAAAGCACAGGCCGTGACAAGGCAGGCACGAGCGCGGAGAGGCGGAAACAGCGATCCTTGACATCCGCGGGGCCGCCTGGCGCTGGCACATGCGCAGGCCGGGGTCTGCCTTGCAGGGGCAGGAGCCAGCTAAACCGGAGCCCCGGGGGCTTGTTTCGACGGTGCAGGCTTGAGCGGCTAGCGCTGTCTCACAAACACCAGGAACGGATCATCTACCCGCGCAGCGAAGCATCACGCACATTCCCTACTGGCTATAGGTCCAACTCTGTCGAGATACGGAGTAGTCAACACCGGGGCCTTGGAATGAAATGGCAGCATAAATGACGGTGTCAAGAGGCCCCTTGATCTAGGTGCGAGTAAATCTTTATATTCACTGCTGTCGCCATATGCTCGCAAGTCTAAGTACGCAGGCTATTCTACATCGAAACCCGATCGCCCTGCCCGAAGGGCCTCGCGATCGTGAGCTCCATCTGCAGCTCGTCTACTGCAGCTGCTTCGTCCAGAACTGTCTCGTCAAGCCCGTCGCATACGCCGCAAGCCCGACGATCGTGCCGATCGTGCCAAAGTACCCGATCGGCCGACCTTTACCCATGGCATCGTCGCCCTTGAGCCCGAGCTCGGCGTGCAGGACGCGGAAGAAGAGCAGGCCGCCCAGCGCGCACGAGAGGTACGTCGGGTGCGCGCCGTTCAGCTCGGCGATGGCGGCGACGGTCAACGCAAAGGGCACGTTCTCGATGAAGCTCAGGTGCGACCGGACGTCTGTGTAGAGCTCGTTGTTGGCGAGCTTGTTGCTGGTGGTGTCCTGCTTCGCGGCCGCGGTTGAGGTGGGCGACGTGTCGCCGACGTAGTGCTTCTCGTGCAGTCTGCGGCGGACAACGCGCAGGCTGAGGAACGTGAAGTAGCCCGCGAAGGGGAGTGCAAACGCTCCTGTGACGGCTGGTTGTGGCAGGAGAGTCAGTGTCTGTGGTCATTGGTGTCATAGACTTTGGTGTAAGGTAAGTGTCTGTCAGAACAGCCGTTACTCACGGAGCAGCGGCGCAAGAAATTGCGTCGTGTATATTCCTGCCGCACCAGTCGCCATTTTAAAAAATCGGAGGTCGTAGAGAGATTGGCGGCGATTGACAAGGACTCGTTGGTCACGAATGCAGTAACCTCGGCGATGTGATATGTTGCTGAGACCTATTTAGCAGGACCCGAATGCCGCACTCTTTATGGCCTCGGACTTCACCCTGCGGTGCGTTCGATCGTGATCCAATCTAGTGCCGAAGACTTTCGCTGGGTGACACGGTCGATATGAGTTGTGGCTGACATGCGAATGCGCATTGGGCGCGGAGATTGGCCAGGCTATCCTCGGTTATCTGGCTGTCCTTTTCAGTTCTCGGCCATCGCCAAGAGATAGCCAGGATGACTCCAGCTGTTGCCAATGCCGAGTTCGATGTCTTGGTGCCAGTCTCCAGCCGTGCTCATGTGATTAATAGCCTGGCCATGCCAGCAACTTCGGGTTTATGATTATTGCAGTTGGGGAGCTGTTGCTCAATGAGCCTAGTGTGACGTCAGGCGGAGCTGAGCTGAACCATGATTACGTCACGAGCTCCAGGGTGCTCAGGCGGCACTCTATGTGCATGACAACAAGTAAGAGAGCATCTCGAGGTCATCGTTTGCCATTAAGATGGGTATATACAAGAGTAGACATCTATGTCAATTCGGCTTACTTTATTCATCAGCAACACAAGTCACGCAAGGAAGACAACAAACCCAACATCACCACCCCCATCAGCATCATCATGTCTGGCAACAACTCAACACAGCAGCCCTCGCTCGTCGGCGGCCACGCCGAGTACGTCAAGGGTGCCGCAGAGGTAAGCTGTCCTCGGCTGTACCCCCCAACAGGGCTGCCCGCCATCCGAAGTCCCTCCTTGGCAGCTCAGGGAATATGACTCTCTTATCGTGGACATGTTGTGCTGATCAGTCTGAAATTTTCTGCCTTGCGCCTTGCAGGCTGCGATTGGTGACATCTCGGGGTCCCACACATGGAAGTCATCTGGCGAGCAGGCCAAGGCGCGCGCGGTGGACACGATGAAGGCGGCCGGTGAGGCGCGGGACGCGACACATGGCTATGGCAAGGTCGAGCAGAAGCTGGGCGAGGTGACGGGCTGCGAGGGCATGGAGAAGGAGGGTGCCGCGAGCAAGCAGCCCGAATGAGCTGGAGCTGCCGCACAGGGCATGGATGGCGGATGGCCAGGTGGAGACCAGGGGCCAGCGGGCGACATCACATCTACCGAGCGGGGCGTGCTGCTGAGGCGAAGTGGGCCCTATTGTTCATCACGCAAGTCGGACGCAGCCTGCCGCTCGCCTGCTGCACAACACATGTAGTTACAAAGGACACGATTCATCATACGATCAAACAGGACATACTGGTGGCAAACATTGTGCTTGTACTTTCCAAACCAAGAAGAGGCGGATGCGGGAGCTCTGAGCTGGCCCGTCACATCGCAGATGGGATTGTTGGCGGAGCCGCATGTGGAGGGATATTTCCGAGAGTCCAGGGTCAATTCAGTCCCGATGCTTGCTTGAGCGCCGGCTGGGTCCATACGAGTTCCACTCGGGGCCATCTCCAAGCGCAGCGCAGCACTCGCTGCTGAGCTGTATTTGTAAGACACCCACAGCACTATCGGTGCAAGATTGGGCAGCGGCTGTTGCAGCTGCCAATGAGGAGCCCGGGTCCAGGCCGGCCTGAGCTCCAGTGTCCCAGAGTGCGCCTTCAGACTGCCCGCGCTGCCCCCCCCCCCCCCCCCCCCCCCCGAGGTCAGCGCTATCGCCACAAGGCGGTGCCTCGCCAGACCTTGCCAGGCTGGCCAGGGCCCCCCCGGCCCGGTGGCAGCCAATGGGCTCGCTTCCCTGTGGGCTCTCCACCTGCAGGTGCTCGCTGGTCTGCCTGGACTTCAGCCCCCGGGCCTAGAGTGCAGACGGCTCGGAACCTGGAAGTGACTGATGAGGAGGCCGCGACCAGCATTGGACATCGCCCGTCGGAGCCGCCTCCGGCCACGATATTGATTAAGGTTGAGCTCGCGCCATGCATGCTCGTTGCTCACTCGCCCAACTGCAATCTCGCCGCTCGGGATCCCGTCCACCTCTGCCAGCACCACCACATCAAAAGAGACCCAGCCAGCTGCCTCTTATAGCGCCACTGCTCACCTGCCGCCCCCTCTTTGCCTGTCCTCCTGCCCGTCTCTGATCCCGTCCCAGAGAGCCCTCAAAACATGTCGCTGCTGCCAGGCGAGCGTGCATGACATCTCGCGTCGTCATGGAGCCCATCAACAGCACCGGCGGCGCCTTCCAGGCCGACGCCCACGGCCGGCCTCTGCTGCGCCCGCTGCTCCCAGCCCTAAGCCCAGACCCGGCGCACGACACGCCCATGCTCAAGGGCATGATCCGTCGCACAGGAGTCCCCGCGCGCGCGGCCTGCCACGCCTGTCGCCGCCGCAAGTCTCGGGTGAGTCCTCCATCTCGCTGATGGTGTTTTTGGTGTCGGTGTCGGTGTCGGTGTCGGTGTTGTCGAGTCTGAGAAACCCGCAGGATCGTCCGCCCTGCTGACATCACACCCTCCCCGCCAGTGTAGTGGCGGCCGTCCCAAGTGCACCTCCTGCCAGGCTCGCAACGTCGACTGCGTCTACGACACGGCCTCGAAAGGTGAGACCCGCGTGCAGGCGCTCAAGCGCAAGTGCGTGGAGCTCAACGAGAAGGAGTCCTCCCACCGCAAGGTCTACGACCTCCTCGCCACGCTGCCGCTGCCCGAGGCCAGGGCCCTGTTCGACCGCCTCAGGCAGACAGATGGCGCCGACACGCTCCTGCACCTCTTCAACGATGGCGATCTCCTGCTGCAGCTCAAGCTCACTCCCGAGTCCCGCACCCGGTACGAGTTTCCTTACCGGCGGGAGATGCCGGCCACTGTGACAGAGTTCGACAACCCTTACCTCAACTCCTTGGTTTACGAGTGCTCGTTGCGTAACTCTGGTGCCCACGACTCACTCGAGACCATCGACGTCGCGTTCGAGGCGTACCGCGACATGTACCTCAAGCCTTTCCACGCTGCCGCCGTCGTGGATCCGCTCCTGGATGCCGTCGAACCATCAAAATGGACCAACGTCAGCAAAGACGATGCCTTGATGCGCAGGATCCTTGCTGCCTACTTCATGAACGAGTACCAGTCTCTACCGGCTTTCCACAAGGACTATTTCCTCAAGGACATGGTGGAAGGCCGTCATCGGTTTTGCTCGCGGCTTCTAGTCAATTCCGTCTTGGCCATGGGTTGTGTACGTTTGCAGAGTTCCTCAGACCTACTTTTGCAGGACTGAGTGCTGACCATCCAACGCAACAGATCTGCTACAACGCCATCCCAAAGCGCTATGAGTATTGGAACCCCCAGGGCCTGGTCTACCAGTTCATGAACGAAGCCAAGCGGCTGTGGGAGCTCGAGGCGCACAAGCTCAAGCTCACCACCATCCAGGCCGGACCGGTTCTCAACGTGATACACAACATGTGCTGCCAGGACAAACTCGGTTGGGCATACACAATGCAATCAGTGACCATGGCACACAGTCTCGGATTGTTCTCGCCTGCATACAGATCGCCTTCATCCAGGCAGTACAGCAAACGAGAACAAGACGCGCGAGATTTCACAGCGTGGTGTCTCTTTACGTTCCAAACGTAGGTCCACTGGAGGTCCCAATGTGCTGATTCGGTTGCTGACATTTTCATTGTAGTTTGCACTGCCTGCTCTTGTTTGATGCTCCGCTCATGATCAAGCCTCCGGACATCCCACTCCCAGATCCAACGACGGACGCAGACTGGTACAGCGAGGTGTGGCTCAAGTACCCGACAAGAGACCGACTGTGTCCCGCCAGCTTCGGGCAACTGTTCCACGCAAGAGCAGCAATCCGAGTCATCACGAACGACATCCTGCTTGCGTGTTATGGCGATCATACACCAACGCGCCACCTGTCGATCCACCAGGCCAGCATGTTCAACTACCGCCTCGAGGCCTGGTACAATGCTCTGCCAAGAGTGCTCAATGCCAAGAAGTCGGTGTTACCAAGCCACCTCTTACTACAGTGAGTCTCCGACCGCCGTCCCGACCTGTTCGCCCTCCCCAGCTGAGGGCGCCCACCACTGACACCTCATTTTTGTAGCATAAATTACCAGAACGTCCTCATCAACATACACGGCCCATTCCTACAAGCAGGCCCATTCGCCGACGGTTACGACCCGTATCTCAGCCGGGAGGCGGCGCTGATGAGACTCGAGACCCTGCTCCGCCTGTACTACCTGCGCCACGGTTTCGAGGTCGCCGACGCCTTCGTCATCCAGCCCCTCAGCCTCATGGCGTTCGAGAACCTGCAGAAGCTGCAGGCGAACCCGTACGGCCCGCGGTCCGACGCAATCCGCTCGTCGTTGATCCTCGCGGCAAAGGGGCTCTGGGACCTGGGTCAGAGCTGCTACCTCTCGCGCACGACGCTGTGCCTGCTGCGCAAGCGGCTCCTCCAGCAGGGGCCGGCGGAGCTGCAGGCCGAGGCCGAGCTGCACACGCTCGACAAGGAGGTCAGCATCACGATCGAGCCAGACGCCGCGCACCACATGCAGATCCGCGAGGTGCGCAGCCGCTGGCCGCCGAGCATGCACAGCATCACCGAGGATCCGGAAGGCCAGCGGCTCAGCGAGCTGGTCGAGCGGTACATGAGCATCAAGGGCGATTCGGACAGCGATTCGGAGGGAGAGGGGGGCGATGACTTCATGGACGACGATAACGGGTATGGTGTCACTCATGAGAAGGCGGCGGTGCAAGCTGGGCTTAGCAGCAGGTCGCCGGGGACGATGACGACCAACACCAGCACGACACAGGTGGGGAGTCCGTCCTGACTGTCGGACGCACGAGGTGCTGTTTTGGGACGTGCAAGGTGTACAGTACATGCAATTATACACGCTGGGGCCTGTCATTAATGCCCAACTGGGCGCCCTCGAAACATTGAGGCTGCAGATCAAATAACGTAATCCACAAGCAAGCGGGCCATACAAGCAAGCGGGCCACCTTCCAGGTGCTCGTACGATAATGTGTAAGTTAAATCAACCACAACGCCTTAAATCAATTGAAACTATTCGAAATCCTCTTCTCCAGAGGCAGACTCAACCTTCTGACACGTACGTGCATTGTGACCGGGCTCGCCGCAGACGCCACAGCGTCGCGCGCGTGTCTCTAGCCTCCTCGTACGAGGATTAGGAACCGGTGGGTGCCCTTCGTACGACTCTTCGTATGGAAATCGAAGTGTTTTACCCATTCTAGACCTCTCTCGTTCGTCGTCCAGCCGTTCTCTGAAAGCGCGATTACCCAGTCGGCCGGTAGAGGGCTATTCGCGGTCCAGGAGTCGAGGTGGACCTTCCCCGCGAAGATGATATATGGTGGGATCGAATAGCCGTACGACGCGATACCCTGGATTACTGTAACCCATTCCTGATTGCCTTGTTGTACGGCTCTTGGCCTCCCGCGTCGGTCGGAGGTCGTAACGACAGTCTCGGCGGAGATCTTGCCCATCGCGAAGCCCGTTTCGTCGAAGTTATAGATGTCGTCATCGTGGATCCCGTATTTCGCGATTATGTTTCGGACGAGCTCAAACCACGCGCGATACGCGTCCGGATCTTCGCAGAGGACTCTCTGGTGGTCGATTCTTCGATTAAAACGCGTACGGAGCTCTGGTCGTCGTCGTACGAAGGTTGAGGCCCAGTTCGTCCCGACGCGTCCCGCGTCGCGTTCGCGGAGTAGTCGATCCGCCATTTCTCGCACGCCACTTAAGCGCGGCGGAAACGATCGCGAATCTAGGTCGATTATGTATCGTACGATACTGTCCTCTTCGTATGAGGTCAATTTCTGGCAGGATGGTGTGATGGGGCCGGGCTGGATCGGCCAGGCTGACAAAGGCAGGGCCCACAATACTCTGGTTCATGTACTTAGACTGCGTTTTCTCTTTTTCCATAGACACCTTCCGCAGACATCACCCACACACAGTCATAATTCAAGCTGTCATTTTTCCACTTTGCGACAAGGAGATCCTCTTCTCAGAGCCATGATCAGCATGTTCCGCACTAGGTAGCAAGACTGCAGGACCCGAGGGCGCCTGCAGTGCTCCTTACTTCAGTGAGGAACTTGAATGATTATGTGTCAATTGCGAGATAAAAGAACAAGCGTTTCGAGGGTGATGTCTTGTAGAAGATCACCAAGTTCCCCTCTCAAAAATCCTCCCTCTTGGGGTTTCTCACTCCCCGAGGAGAGGTTGGCTCCCCTCTCTTGTTAATAAGGCTGACCTGTCTCGGCCCCCCTCGTCAGGTCACTCTGCCGTGGAACGACACCACCGCAACCTGGGCACTTTTGGTGGTTTGGTTTGGTTTTAGGGTTATTTCCTCCCATGATCAGATCATTCCTCACCTGCCCCAGCTTAATACGCCGATACTACTAGGTTCCTCTATTAGACTACTATTACCTTAGGTCTTGAAAATACTAAATAACCCGATTAAGGCCGAATCGTAGACTAAATATATTAAATATCGTATTGTACGATATTAAGGTCTTCGCAGAGCCACAAGACTTGGATAGGGCATATAGGCGCTGCAAATGTGGCCCAATACCTCCGTGTCACGATCCGACCTCCGGGGTCAGCCGTCTGGTCGGGCTTCGGTGGGTTGCTGTTCTGCGGGTAGGTAGAGCCGTCGCAATATCACTTCCTGTCGAATGTCGTTCTCTCTGGGTGTTGCCGTGTCTCTTGGAAGAGATACCACTCTCGTCAATTGAGTGACTGGTTCAAGTGATGTGTGAGAATGATACTTAGATTGATCGCTGAAGTACAAAGGTAGTGACTGTCTGGTCAAGGAGATCCTCCAAGCTATATAACCCTTTGTCCTTCATCGCCTTTTGGCGTGGTCTTGACTTCCTTCGTGACGGTCAGTTCCCTGGTGGTGACCGTCATGCTTGGCGAGGTGATGGTCACGCCCGTACGCATGACCGGTGGTACCGTACCCGCCCCCTTTATCCTTATCGTGATTACGTAAGAAACCTGTGACGGTCCTGCCGCATGATCTGCCCTTGTCCTTGGCCCGATCGTGCGGCCTGGTTGTTTGTGCCTCTTTGCTCAAACAACCGTCCCCTGTTGGTTGGTCGTCACACCCAGTTAGCTGCCTATTACCGTTTCACTAGTAGTTTTCTATATCTTTGAGATTGCCCGTAGCGAGGGCTATTAGTAAAGGCAGTAAAATCCTTATAAACAGCTATCTTATCAGTACTTCAATTCCACAATTGTAACACGGACTCTAAATGCCCAAATTCTACGCAAAGCAAGTACTAATGTATACAATAAAAGTCTATATTTGAGTTCGACCCTGACTCTCCGTATGATCTTAGTAGCATACCGCCTCAGATCAAAGCGGCTGAAACCCACGGACAAGACCGGTATGCTCATCCCTTACCAGCCCAGCGCTCGACACTACGCCAAGATCACTGCTACTAGACGTTGCCCTCTCAGCGGCCTCGAGACTACGAAGAGCCTTCTCGACGATCTTGTAGTCCCCAAAGAACGCGTGGGTGCGAGCGTCGTGTTGCTGAGCGTCTGACGAACCGTCTGCGTGGTTGTTCTCGTGCTTGGAGTTGCGAGTAGATGGTGTGAGGCCGTGGCAGAGAATGACGCCCCAGACCCGTGTTATGCTATCCGTATAGACCCCATTCGCACCCTGCGCTGCAGACTGACGGCTAGACCTTGTGACGGGAACTTTCTGTCCGCTTACGAGGATAGCGTGAGCCATCGGGTCCGCGTCGGGCTCAAGCATCAGAGAGTACACGTAGCCCGTGTACGTGACTATGTCGTCCTTGGATGATATTTGTGCAGGGGATGTCCAGTTCGCCGCGTTCTCTGAGCCATTACTTCCTCCTGAGGTCGAGGGAGAAGCTGCCGACGGCGATAGGTCGATGCAAATCGGATGCCAAGCCGTCACAAGGAAACCCTCTTTCCCGCCACCGAAACCTCCTCCCTCTCTCCCGCCACTAATGCGATACAGCGCGGCGTCCTGTACCGCCGTTTGTAGTACCCACCACACTTGTCGCGGCCCGAGGGGCGTGACAACCGCCATACCCGGGCGGATCTTACTGATCGGTAGCTCCACTGCCCTCTCACTGTGATAATCACTACCGCCAGCGGCCGCGATCCCCACGAGCGTCGAACCCGCAAAGCACGTCGCGTCGACGTTGTTATAAGCCTCCATATTTGGCCGGCTGCTTTCAAACCGGGCGTACGCTGGCGGGGGCGTCTGCATGCCCGAGGACGTCGATGGTGCAGCGTGGGACCCGGTGAAGTAGGCGGCTATCATGTGGGCAGGCCTAGAGAAGCCACTTGCTATCGCGGCCCTTGTCCCGTGGCGGCCGTAGCTGCCGTGTCCCCGGCCAGCATCGTTGTTCTGGCTGTGATTGTACTGCGTGCTACTGCCCCCCAGTGTGTATCTAGGAGGAGCAGCTAGCGACGGCGCGGGTGGCTCGATCCGCTCGAATACGGTGTCTAGTTCGTCCCTGCAGCGGCGGAAGAAGGGATTATCGTTGTAGCCCTGCAGGCCCGGATCCTTGAATGAAATACACTGCTGGCGGGAATGGGCGTGGGAGAGAGAGGCAAAGTACGGCATGGACCAGGTGCTGAAGTACTGCTCGCTGGACAGGGCGATTGTGATCTGGCTTTCTGCGTCGGCGAGGAGGGACTGGTGAAGTCGGGTGGTCGTTGTGGAGGAGTGGGGCGAGGGGGGGGAGAGGTATTGCCGCGCGGGAAGGTTCTTGATGAGCTTTGTGAGCTCGTCGCGCCTCTGGGACAGATCGCGAGACTGGAAGGCCAGGGTGTACCCGGAGTGCGGATGCGGTCTGAAGAACGACGCGAGGAACGCGGAGACCTGGGCGCGGGACACGTGATACGCTGCCATCGCAGCGGACATGCCCTCGCCGGCGTCCTGCTTCTCCTGAGCCGGAGGGAGCCGCCGGACAAGTGACTTCTCCGCCGCCACGGTGCGCAGCTTATTCTTCATGAACAAGTACTCCAGCCTCGTGCTCAGGACCGCCGTTTTCGGGTCAAAGTTCCGGTTAGCCTTCTTCTCCCCGGCGACAACCTGGCCCAACGTTAAGGGACTGCCTGTATGACTATAGTACTCGAGGTATATGTCTCGGGACTGCCCGTACTGTAGGTTGCCCAGGTCCAGCTTGAGCACATTGTGCGTAGGTGTGTTATAGGCGCTGGCCTCAGTCGTTATAGTCCCGTTAATAACAGTGGCTTGCGTTGTACGTAGCCGGGCGGAGAGAGGGGTAGTGATCTCTAGAGTACAGCGCGTTGCGTATGTTGTTTGGAGGTGGGCGACGGCGTGGATAAAGACGGTTCCCTGGCAGTACCTCTTGTGAGCATTTCCGACGCTTGGGCAAGAACCGATGAAGCAGTATTCATATTAGAACGACCAAGTACTCACAATCATCCCAGCATCTGGGATAAACGAAAAGTTCCCGCTTCCCACCTCGGCAACAGCCTGACCATCATTCCCGGGAGAACCTGCCTGACCATCATTCCCCGCGGAGCAAGAGGACGCGGTGTGCAGCTCCGGGCGGCGATTGGCTGCAGCCGGGGGGGAATTGTGGGGCGGTCTCTTGCTCCCGCAGCGAAAAGGGCCGTGGGTTAAGGACGGCGGACCCACTTATATGGCCCCCCCAACCCCCAACCCCAGGCTTAACCTAACAGGGGGGGTGGTAGGTAGGAGAAAGTCAAACGCGACGCCAAAGGAACGCGTATGACGGGACCGGGGGCGGGAGGAAAAGGGGTATTAGAGAAGAGAGGCGTGGGGAGATAGGTAGGTATAGCTAGTTTAGTAGTAAGGAAGGACAGTAGCAAGACAGCAGTACAGTACACACGGAGAGAAAGGACGACGACAGCTATGCCAGGCAGAGCAGCAGACGGTACGAAGGACGAAGCCGATAAGGGCGCAGCGGCGATCTGGCTGTACGAGCCGGCGCGCGTTCTTATATGCGCCGACTGCAAGGCCGCGATCCGACCCGGGCCGAACATCGCTCAGCACTTTAGGAAGACGCACGAGATTAAAGGGGACGAGCTACAGGGGATTCTAGAGCTAGCTCGGGCTCTCGCGGAGACAGTAGCCGGCACTGGCGGGCTGCAAGACCCGTACGCAGCAGAGCTCCCGGCGGACGGCAGCGAGCCGATCCAGCAGCTCACGATCCAGGCCGGGCTACGCTGTACGGCGTGCCGCTATCTAACGACGAACGGGAAGCGGATGCTACAGCACTGGGGCGCAGAACGGGCCAGGCTAGACAAGGCACACGACAGCCAGAGCAGCTGGCTAGAGGTCGCACTACAGTCGTTCTCGTTGTCTAGAAAGCTAATACGGTACTGGGTCGTAGACGCGCCGGTTCTAGGGCAACCCGGCCGACAGAGGAGGCTCGAGCTTAGACCGGCAGCTCCGTCCCCGGCCCCAGCCCCGGAGAACCCGAGCCCGGACTGGAAGGCCCACATAGAGACGTACGAAGCTAACGTCGCAGCCGACGAGGCCAAGAGAGCACGGATTATCGACTACGAGGCCGGCGTCGATTTCGAGTCGCCTTGGGTCCGCCAGATGGGCTGGGCGGCGCATCTGGCCGGCAAGGATATGGCCGAGCTGCGCCGTACCGCGGAGCCGGGCTTAACGACGAAGGAGCTGGCTAAGCTGAGCTGGACTGCCCGGAAGGAGAGGGAAGATTTGGAAGCGGCGCTCGTACGTCTAGGGCAGAGCTTCGATAGGGTAATCGAGCGGTGCAGCCGACGGATCAGCTAGGTACCCGTCGAGACGCTCTGCTGGCTGGCGAGCCGCGACCCGAACCGGCCAGAGGCGCAGCCGTTTAGCGTTAAGCAAGAGGTACACACAATGGAGAAGTACCGAAGCTACTGGCGACGCTATCTCTGCTACTGCGTACGGGTGTTCTGGCTTAGCCGAATAGAGGCGAGGAGGAGGCACTAGGTCTAATTCACCGATCAGTAGTGGACCGCTCTTGAGGCCGTCACGGAGGCTCTCGATTTTACGAAGGAGAGCAGCTCCCGGGTAGGCGGCGGCGACAGCGGCGACCATAGCGACGAAGACGAGGAGACCGACGATAACGAATATCTAGACGAGGCCGTTTTCACGTTCTGTATCGTATCGCTGACGCAGCGGGTACTGGTGCGGCCGTACGTCAACCCGCTACTGCACTTTACTACAGTGCTCGCGATCGACCCAGTCCGAGCAGGATTCCGGGCTCCAAGCGAGTTCACGACACTACTAGCAGGTCTGGCGTGGTGCAGCCGCGTACTGCTACTCGAGTACTTGTTCGAGCACGTCCCGATCCAGGAGGAGGTTACTGGGGAGGACGGAGAGGAGGAGGAAGGGCCCAGCCAGCTACAGGGAAAGGATCTCGACGCTTTTACAGACGGCTACCGGCAGTGGATCGCGGACGGCTCGTACAACCCGTTCAGTACGCTCACGCGGTTTATGACGATCGGGAAAGGCTACCGAGTAAAGGAGGGCGGGACGGCACGGATTATCTGGGAGGACGGGAAGCAGGCGCTCCGGCTTCACGGGTTCCGGATCGAGGTCCAGGACTTTAGGCGGATGGCCCAGGGGCTCGTCTCGACAGCCGAATCGACGCTAGACGGGCTACTCTACGGCCGATCGGCGGCTCTGTTAGACCAGATCAGGCTCGACCGGATCAGCGACACTATGCTATACGAGGGAGACGGTAGGTCGTTTATTACCGGCTCCCAGAACAGCTGGCTCCGAGCCGGGCCACGCGTCGTTGCCGAGGTCGTCTCGGAGAAGCTATGGTCGTACCAGCGGCAACAGTACCACCGGGAGAGGTCGCAGAAGTGGCTGAACGGGATAGGGAAGCTGAAGAGCCAGCTGCTCTTACTAACGCACGTCTGGGGAGGCCAGCCAGGGCGAGGACCCGAGATTACGAGCGTACGGTATCTCGATACGAAGCAGCTCAGCCGGAGCGTCTACGTATTCGACGGGCAGGTTATGCTCGTTACAGACCGGGATAAGGCCAAGTCGATCCGCGGATACGGGCGTAAGGTCGCACGGTTTCTGCCAGAACGGATCGGACAGCTGCTCGTTGCTTATCTAGTCTGGCTCGTCCCGTTCGAGGAGATGCTAGTCGATATTACACGAGCTCGAAAGCCGTCCGACTCGCTGCACCACTGGCTCTGGAAGGACGCGCGTAAGGGCCGCTGGGGGACGGAGGTACTTACGAAGGAGCTCAAGGCAGCTACCGCTAGCTATCTCGGCGTCGGACTAGGCACTTCGGCGTACCGACATTTAGCGATCGAGCTAGGCCGTACGATCCAGGGGCTTATCGTACAGCAGAAGGAGCTCGAGATCGGCGTCGGGGAGGACGGGTTCGGGCCGGAAGACGAGGAATTCGACGAGGCGACGGGCGAGCAGCGGCAGAGGGGCCGGACGGAGCTGATCTGGGATCTGCAGGCGACACACAGCAGCGCTATGGCACGAGCGCACTACGCGATCAACATCCAGTTCCCAGGGCAGCTACAGCCGCAGATGGTAGCGAACTACCGCGAGATCAGCCGGCTCTGGCACCAGTATCTGAGCTGGGATGGCCGGGGCAGCAAGGGTCAGTCGCCGGACAAGGCCCAGGAGCGGACGAGGAAGCGAAAGCGAGAGGCTACGGACGTCGAATCGTCCGGCGACGAGGGCGCACTACCGCCGGGCAGCAAGGGGACGACGGAACCGAGCTCAGAACCGCCGAAGCAGAGGAAGCTACTCCCGGAAGCTGTCGGAGAGATAAGGCGCCGGATCCAGCAAGGGCTCGAGTCGATTATCGGGGCCGGTGCGCGCTGGAGGACGGCAGAGCAGGAGCAGGGCATGGTTCAGATCATGCAGATGCGAGGCGGCTCCGTACTAATCGTTGTACTCCCGACAGGCGGTGGCAAGAGTCTGCTATTTATGGTCCCGGCGGTACGAGGGGTGAACGGCGGCGTTAGTATCGTCGTCGTTCCGTTCGTAGCGCTGATCGACGATCTCGTAGCTCGGGCACGTTCGTTCGGGATCGACTGCGTTCGCTGGAGGTCGGCTGAGGAAGAGGGCCGGGAAGCTAACTCGCTCGTGCGCGTGGCTAGTCTGGTTGTGGTCAGCGCCGACCAGGCAAGTAACTACGAGTTCTGCAACTACGTAGATACGCTACGGAGCCGGAGGTTACTACGGCGGATCTTTATCGACGAGTGCCACACGATCATTATGGACGTCAGCTACCGGAAGCGACTCGCGGCGCTCAAGGGGCTATACCGGTACGACTGCCCAGTAATCTTACTTACGGCTACGCTCCCGGTCGAGCTCGAGGGCTGGTTCCGGCAGCAGATGATTGCGGAAGACGCCGAGATCATACGGGCACGAACGACAAAGAGGAACATCCGGTACGCAGTTACTACAGTCCCGGGTAAGGCCGGAGGAAGAGGTCGGAAGCAGGGAAACGCGGTCCAGGAGGAGGTGGTACGACTGGTCGAGGCGAGGAACAGCTCCGGGGCGCTCGACGGCGACAGGAAGGGGGTCGTGTACTGCCGATCGAAGAAGGACAGCGAGAAGCTAGCGGAGCAGATCGGGTGCGGGTATTACCACAGCGGGATGGAGAAGCAGGCGCGAGAGGAGGTACTCGAGGCATGGGTCAGCGGCAGCAGCGCGTCCCGGTGGATCACGGCAACGACAGGTCTCGGAACGGGCGTGGACATTCCCGGAATCAGCGTTATCATCCACGTAGAAGAGCCGTACGGGCTAGTGGACTACGTACAGCAGACGGGCCGCGGCGGCCGTAGGGAAGGAGAGGTAGTCGAGGCGGTTATTGTGCTAGCAGACGAGGCAGGGCCAGGGCAGCAGAAGAGGCGGCAGGAGATTGAAGGCCGAGAGACGGACGTGGAGAGGACGAACCGGCTGGCGATCGAGCAGTTCGTTAGGGGCGGAGAGTGCCGGCGAGCGGTGCTGGGTCGGTTTATGGACGGGGTGGAAGGGGAGGACTGTGATACAGCCGGGGCGGTACGGTGCGACTGGTGCGAAGGCGGAGCGGCTAGTGGCGAGGAGACGGGAGACGATAGTACGGCGGACGAGGAGGAATCGGAAGATAAAGAATCGGAAGAGGAGGAACTAGACGTATCAAACCGGTTCCAGGAGCGCCAGATACAGCAGCAGCAGAGGAAAGAGCTGCTCCGGAACTGGCTAGAAGCGGTTGAAGGAGAGAGCCAGTGTGCGGTGTGCTACGTACAGTGGCGGATAGTAGGGTCACCGGCATCGAGCAGGAGGTCGTATGAGCACGGGCTGCACAGGTGTCGTGTGATCAAGAAGGCGGACTACATCGAGTGGCGGACAGGTCTGCAGTTTGTCGAAGGAAGCTGCTGCTGGCGATGTGGGCTGGGGCTCGACTGGTGCGAGAAGCTGGGCCGCACGGAGGGCTCGGAGTCGGAGTCGGAGGGAGAGGAGATTGACTACTTAGGTCTAGAGCGCGGGTGGAAGAGAAGGCGGCAGGAGGAGTGCCGATGGAACGACAAGATACTACCAGTACTGATGTACGTGCAGAAGCAGGATTTGCTGCAGGAGATAGTAGAGGACGAGGTCGAAGGGGGCTTGCCGGATATGGGGCAGTGGCGGGAATGGATCGTGCGGCCGCGAGAGGTGCTCGGGGAGAGGATGACGAACGGGCTCGCGGTACTGGAAGCCGTCGTACGGGAGGTTTGTTAGGGATAGGCAGTAGCTATATAGGATATATACGTAGATATCAGGGGCGAAGGTTAAGACGCCGCTTCACTAGTGATCTGAGGCACGCCCAGGTATGGTCGTTTCTAGGGGGTGATTCTGCTAGCTAGACAATCACCCGCTAAAAAGACACACGCCGGTATTAGGAGCGAAGGTTAAGACGCCGCTTCACTGCTGATCTAAGGCACGCCCAGGTATAGTCGTTTATAAAAGAAGCAAGTACGCAGTTTAGGAGTAGAGGTAAGTTAAAAGAGAAAGATAATAATAATATTTAGTAAAAGAAAGGAATTAAAGATTCTATAAAAAATCAAGAAATAACATAGAAAATAATAATAAAAGGTAAGTTAAAGACAAAGATAAAACATGGGCTTAGATAAGTAAACAAAATATTATAAATAATAATACAGTAATCCGTGAATTCATAGACTAACCATTAGGAAGGTTTATAAGAGAGTAGTTAAAGC